AGAATTTAATTAGTATTTTTAACTAATATATAATAAGAAAAAGCTTATCTTATAGTATTCTATTCTTAACCTTAGTAATACTATTCTATTAATACTAATTAGTAGTAAAATATTATAGGTATATACCTAAGGAAATATAAGAGTTCTTAAACTAGGTTATAATATTCTCCCTTCCTTAATCTAGCTAAATAAAATAGTATTTATATTCTAAATATTCTTATATCTTTAAGAAATTTAGTATTATATTAGGTAGCTAAGATTTCTTTTTAATAGGAAATAACTAATATATTCTAGTATAATTATTAATAATAATAACTTAGTACTAATCTTTCTTTTAAAAGGTAGGTAAGGTATTAATAATATTAATATAAAAGCTTTTAAAAGGATATATTCCCTTTTAGAATAAATAAATATAAAGGCTTTTTTTTTATCTCTTTATAAAATAGCTAATATAATATTTATATTAACTAATAGGCTTTATATTAGTAAAGATAAAGATAAGTTTAATAATATTCTATTCCTTTAAATATTTAAGTTAATTATATTATAGCTTATACCTTAGGTTATTTATTATATAGGCTAATATACTAATACTTAAAATAATATAGTTAATTATATAGACTTTAGTAGTTTATTAGGTAGTAAAAATAACCCCTTAATTCTTTATTATAACTACTCTTTCTTTATTAAAGATTATTATAATATTCTTTACTATTAAATAACTAATAAAGAGTAGGCTTATTAGGGTACCTTCCTATAGAATACTATTATATAATTTTAAGGTAGTCTTAAGGCTCTTTATAATAATAATAGCTATTTTATAAGTAATAGGTTTTAAGATAATACTAATAAGACCTTAAATATTAAGACTTAAATAAAAGAATAAGTCTTTTATAAATTCCTTATAGCTTAAGATATAGCTAGATATATTAGAGTTAAATAGTATTAGTTTTTAATATAATAATATAAAAAGACTAAAATCTTATCTAGGTTTAATACCTATAAAAGTATTATCTATTTTAAATTAATTAAAATATTATAAGCTTTAAAAAATAATAAAAGTAAATTAGGCTAGCTTAAAGTTTATAAAAGGACTTATATACTATTTAAAGCTAACTTTCTTATATTTATATTTACTATTATATTTTTTAGTTAAGTATTAGTACTTTCTATTTTATTAAAATAAAGAGGGTAGGTTTACTAAATAGAGTTTAAGGTATAGCTTCTAGTATTACTTATTAGAGTAACCTAGAAGCTTATAAGAGAAATAGAAGTACCTAGTAATATTAGGTTTTATTATATTATAAAGGGGATACTTTCTAATAGCTATTATAGTAATTAAAGTAGCTTATTATTTAGACTTTTTATTATTTTATTATTTAAGCTTAATAAGGTTAGCTATAACTATAACTACCTATATAAGTATAGTTATAAAAGCTATAATAGTATTATTAGTCTACTTTAGAATAAGATAAAAGGCTATCTTAATAGTATAGAAGTTAAACTCTTTATTAAGATTATTAATAAAAAAATATATTATTAAAGCCTTAAGGACTTTAAAGTCTTTATTAAGAGATTACTACTTAGCCTAAGTATTAATAAGTATTATAGTAAGTTTCTTAATAAATCTATATTAAATAAGGGTTAATATTAAGAGATAATTAGCTATAGTTTAGAAAATAATAATACCTTTTAGTTTAAAGTACTTTTTAAAGGCTATAATTATATTTAATACTATAACCTTATCTTTAATAAGGCTATAAGTATATTCTTTAAGGCTTATATTAATAAGAGTAATAGTATAGACTTAGTCTTATATTTATTCCTAGATAAGATTCTTTATAGTTTTACTATTATAAGCCTTAGTTAGGATAGAGTTATTTCTTTAGCCTTTTAATAGTAATTTATTAAGATTATTAAGTCTTAGTATATTAATTATTTTTAACTTCTATTTAACTTAGTTACTTTTAGATTTAAGCTTTAAGATATTTAATATCTCTTTTAATATTAAGAATATAGTATTAAATAATAAAGTAGGTAATAAGGCTATAAAAGGATCTTAACTTATATATAAGAGTTAAGTTACTAATAGTATTACCTACTAAGGGAGTAGAATTTTAAGATAATAAGGAGGATAATAGGCTAAGTATATAGTCTTTCTTTTTAAACTAAGTATTTTATATTTATTTAAAGGTAAAAAGTATTTAAATAAGTAATAAAGAATTCTTCTTACTAAATAAGTAGTTATTATATATTTTTTATAGTAATTAAAACTATAAATTATAATAAGTAATCTAATAAGTATATTTAAGACTATAGATTATAGTAAGTAATCTAATAGGTATATCTATTTAAGGGTTATAACTATATTAAGTAAATTTATATTATAATATATATAAAATAAGTATATAAAGTCTATATATAAATTACTAGGTAGAGTATAGTAATAGAATTTCTTTTTTTTTATATAGAATTTTTATAGTAAATAGACTTATTAAATATACTTTAAATTAGCTAGAGTTTAGGGTCTTTCCTTTTCCTATATATAAGGAGTTATAAATTTCTTAAGTTTTATAGTAAATATTAGCTTATATAGATAGTAGGTAAATTTAGTAAGAAATTAATACTTTCCTTTATTTTATTAATAGCTTTTATAATATAAGCACTATTAGGCTTATAACCTATTAAGACTAATAGGGTATATATAGGGTAAGAGGTAAGGTTATTATATTATATAACTTCTATCTAGTTATATAGTATAGGTAAGTACTAGATATACTAGGTAATAGGAGATTGTTCTTCTGGCTTTAGAGCTGCCTATTATTAATATCTAATATAATTAGAGTATCTACCTATAAAGTACTTTCTTATCCTCTTTCTTTTCTTTTTCTTTTCTTATATATTTACTCTAGGAATTAGGCAATATACCTTAATACTATAATAAATATACTAGGCTATTAATATATTAGGAATATTATAGTATATTTATTTTTTATTTTTACCTTTAGCTTATATTTAGGACTAATATCTTTAGCTTATATTTAGAAATACTAGTTTTAAGCTAGCAATTTATTAGGAGAAATAAGAGTAATAGGAGATAAGGGAGCTATATAATAACTAGGTTTAAAGCTTAGCTTTACTTACTATATAAGAAGCTTACTTAGATAAGGTATTACTACTATAGTCTACCTATCTTCTAAGTAGTCTTAAAATTAAGATTTAAGAGCTTTATTTTATTATACTTAATAAGCTACCTAATAAGAATAATAAAAGTTTAGAAATACTCTATAATATATAAGTATAGCTTAATAACTATATAGTTAGTAGTTATAGTATAATATATTAAGTTTAATATAGTCCTTTTATACTTAACTACTATACTTCTATATATTACTAGGAGGTAAAAGTTAAGTCCCTACTATTTCCTATTATCCTATACCTAGTAAAGAGCTATTATATTCTACCTTAAGGTAATAATAAGCTACTTTTATTACTATTTATTCTAGTCTTTATATCTTATTATAATAATATATATCTTTATATATTAGAAAAGAAATATATAATAGGAAAGAAATATATCTTACTTTAATATATTTTAGAATTAATCTATATACTCTTATCTTAAAATATATAATCTCTTAATAAGGTTTATATTACTCTATATTAGTATATAATCTAGATATTTAGCTATATATAAGTTATATATAAAATATAATAAGTTCTCTTTATAATATAAGAGTCTAGAAATAATTCTATAAAATATATTATATTATTTTATTATATTAATTAAAATCTAGATATATTAGGTTAATAGTATAGCTATTATAAATTTCTAGACGTATTAGAATACTAAACTATATTAAAACACATTTAGTTACTTAGCTTAGCTATAAGTAGCCTATATAGTATGTCTAACCTCTCTATATATACGCGTATACCCTACGATATACTAGCCTAGTAAAATGTCTTATTACCTATGTTAGAAAACAGGCCTCCAGCCGCTAGGTAGGTACCTACCTATGCGGCGAGTACACTATAAAAACGTCAGGGAGTAGGGCGGTGCACGCTAAACGGTTGCCGGACGCACTCGCCCGCAAACTCCGGATGCAGCGTTGACTTTGTGATCAGGGTACGAATACAGGAAGCCCAAGACAGTCATTAGGTCACAACGCACAATTGGCGATGAAGGAAGAGAGTAATAAATGCACTCGGAAATTCCTAATTTTATAACTTTTTTCTGAAGTAGCCTGGTGGCTGTCACTCGGCCTCATTCCGGATGGACACTAACCACGGCCATTCGCGGGGCTTCCAGTTATCACCGCAAGGCTACACTGTATACCTACGCACGCTGGATGGACTCCTCTGATGTAACTCCACTACGTTGATGTGACTCACAGATGTAGACAAATCGATGCAAATCCCATCCTTGTTCGTACCAGCCACTACAGCCTCAGCGGCTCCAATAACCGAGCAACCAGCACCAAACAGAAGGCTCACGAGTTTTATTTGTCAGCCAGCCTCCTGCGGATCCTACAGTTGTGAATGTATAGCTGCTAGTTAACGCAGGTCGGATAAGTGTTATCTTTATTAACCGTGACAAGGTCAACCAACGTCAACGCCTTATCAATCTGCCCTCCAATTTGCCCTTGTCACCACCTATGTGCATATCACGACTCGCACAACAACAATTCGTTTTGCACATTTCGAGTTTTTTTGCTTCCCTTTTTCCCTGTCAGTTGGCATCTAAAATCGGAACGCAAAGCGACCTATTCTGGGTATTCTAATCATAAATCAATAAATTAAAAAGGGCCCTCAAACCTGTTTTTGACTGTCCATCCACCTTGATGCTGTTCCACTGGCGCACCGCCCGTATAATTTATTCATAGTACGCCATTCTTGTGCGCATGCGATCATGATAGAGCCAACTGTCTCGATGACGTCCTCTGTGACTGGCGCCGCAGATAGATTGCGGTAAGTATAGTTGCTCTTGAACTTAGGCTTCATGCTGCCGCAACATCCGCCGCCGCCGTGTACGCCTTGAAGAACGCGCCGTTGTTTTCCATCTCTTCTTTGACCTACTCGCATCATTGGTTAGCCACCAGGACATGTAATGCGGTGATGATTCCACGTACGATATCCAACCCACCAACAAGCTCGCCGTCCATCCACAACTGGGGGTACGTGGGCCACTCGGCATATTCCTTGAGACCCTGGCGAACCTCGTCATCGGCCAGGATGTTAAAGAAGCCGTACTTGACCGAATTCTCGCGGAGGACGCCAACCAGCTGTCGCGAGAAACCACACTGGGGAGAGCTGGGGGTACCCTTCATGAAGAGCATGACAGGGGCCGCCTTGACAAGATCCTCCAGCCGCTTGAACAGATCCGCCTTCTTCGTTTCGGGGTCGAGCTCCGGTTGGCTGGTGACAACCGTAGCACTGGCGGCAGCTCTGACTCCGTTGGCCGCCGCCACCTCCGCCTTGTTTCCAGCGTGCGACTCGATGGCATTGCGCACCTTGACGGCGTTGCTGCCGCTGACCGTCTCGAGGACCTGGCCACCGCGCAGCAGCACCAGGAAGGGCACAGCAGTAACATCGTAGGTCTCGCTAATGTCGCTCAGCTCCTCGGCGTTGATGGAAAACCATTGTGTGCTCGGCGGCGAGGTGATGGGGTATTCGGAGGCGAGTGTGGACAGGACCGTGGCCATTTGCGTGCAGGGAGCTGCCCAAGGCGCATGGAACGAGACGACGAGGAGCGTCGAGGGCGCGGCGGCGGCGAGGACCTGCTCCCACTGAGCCAAGCTCGAGACTTCAGTAATGGTCGACATGGTGTGCGAGAGGCGTGGGAGATTGAACTGAAAAGAAATCGACGCAGATTCGATGGTGTGCCAAATCGGGACCCAAGAGAAGTTGTTGGATGCTTTTGGGATGGCGGGTGGTGCAAAAAAATGGAGGGGCAGCAGCCGGCGCTCGGAGGGGTTTTGCGTCACTTGGGAGAGCGCTTGCGCTATGTGGCCAAGAGGCACATGTCCGCGCCCGTTGTTGGGCGCTCATAGCTCTGTACCTACCTCTCTGTACCTACTACCTGATACCTAATACCTCTAAGACACCTTGGTGGCCAGCCAGCCAGCCCTTCCAGTTGCCATCTATTCCAGGCGGCCATAATACTGCCCGAACGCCTGAACGAGCCACTGTACCATGACATAATGGCTCTTGGCCGCAGGGAATGCCACTTACAGCTGCCCAGCCACAGTGCCCCACCAGCTCTGCGGCGCCAGCCACTGAGACCACTGTCTCTTCAGCAGTCGAGCAGCCCCTGCATCGCTAAACTGTAGCCTGGAAACTCACCCGCCGCCCGCACTCGTCAGCACCAGCCGGCCACCCCGCTTCCACTGCTGCGGCTCAACTCGTCATGGCCAGCGTACGTCAATTCCCGTCCAGCAACTGCGCCAAGCTGAGGAGCTCTTCCATCCTCACTCCCTCGACACCAACCAGCTTGCTTCTTGTTCCATTCACCCTCCCGAGACTCACGACGATACGATCCCAACGCGGACGACGCGCTTCATTTCTCTTGCAGGCCTCGTGCTCCTTTCTCTGGCCACGATCCCGCTTTCTTTGGCCCTTGTCAATTCCGCCATTTCCAGCGCCAAAGCTGCTAGAGCTTCTGTGGAAACTTGTTCGCAGGCTGCCTCATCACCAGCCCTGTAGGTACGCTCGACACCTTACGCACCCTCATGGAGACTGAACAGTCCAACAGGAGCTCCCATTGCTTCGACGACGTGCTCTTATTGGTTGCTGACCTACCTCCCAGTACGCGATGGCTTCCCTCAACCTTTCAATAAACGGCCCATCCATCAAGAAGGAGTACAGCTCGGTAGTCGACGCTGCCCTGCCTGCTTCTGGCTCACCCACATCTGCTAAATGGGCTCTCTTCTCTGTCCAGACGCCTCTTGTCAGCGTGTTTGAGTCTTCCGGAAGCAACGAAAGCGTGCTGAAGGTAGAGAGCACTGGCGGTAAGGAACTCCCGACAGTCCGACAAACCCGGACCACGTCTACGTCCATGCTAACAGACGCCTCTGCAGAGGGCGAACTCAGCGAACTCTTCGAAGACTTTAGTGAGGGCCGCGTCCAATTTGGCTTCGTCAAGGTCAAGGACCCCAATTCCGGCCTGCCCAAGCACGTCCTCATTGCCTGGTGTGGCGGCGGCGTCCCCGAGCGAACGAAAGGCTACTTCACCAGCCACCTCAACGCCGTCTCCAAGGTCCTCCACGGATATCATGTCCAGATAACTGCTCGATCCGACGACGATCTCGAACCCGATGCTCTCATCCGCAAGGTCGCCGATGCCTCCGGGTCCAAGTATGCTGGGAGTCCCGCCACTGGCGCTTCCCGAGCCCCTCCTCCCATCAAGTCCAAACCAGTCTTTTCACCCTCCAATGTGAGCGCAGGCCGCCCCGTGAATCCTCTCGTCGCTGCTCGCTCGCGCAGAAACGAGGATGTTGACGGCGACGGCTGGGGTGCCGATGCACCGCCCGTGACAAGAAACCAAGTCGAAAGGGTTGAGTCCGCCTACAAGCCTACTAAGGTTGACATGCCCAGTCTCTCTCGCCAGAGCGAACCCTCCCGATACACTCCTGCTACCCCTCAGCAGAATAGAGACGTTGTTGGCGGCGGTTACCAGCCCGTTGGCAAAGTGGACATTGCCGCCATTCGCGCAAAGGCCAAGGAGCAGCGTGATGACCGTCCCACTGCCGTCAAGGGCGCATATGAGCCTATCGGCAAGGTAGACATTGCTGCAATCCGCGCAAGGGCCCAAAAGCCTGCATCTGAGCAGCCTGCTGAGGAGGAGGCTCCGAAGCCTCTTGCTGACCGCGCCGCTGCCTTTTCGCAGCCATCCCAGTCTGAAAGACTAACATCACTCCCCAAGCCCAAGGTTTCCAACAAGTTTGGTGGTGGTGGCTTCTCAGCCACCAAGGCACCCGTACCCGGTGCCCTTGGTCTACAAGGCCCCGTTGCCAATGCATCTTCTGCGCCTGTCACCACCACTAGCCGCACCTTTGCCAACGAAGGCGGCAAGACTCCCGCCCAGCTCTGGGCTGAAAAGAAGGCACGCGAAGGCGGTATTGGCGCTGGAGTAGCTCCTTCATCCCCCCCACCCATTAACCAGCAACAGAGCGGAGGCAATGAGTGGAAGAGCGGATACGCTGGCAAGTCTTGGGCGGCGGTACAGACGCCCGCCTTTGGACGCGGCGGTGCTGAAACTGTGCGTGAAAATGACCAGGCCATTGAAGAAGATGAGCAAACTCGCAGCGCTCAAGACGAGCCATCTGGAGGTGTCTCGGCCATACGCGATCGTTTCAAAGGCGCCACACCTATGGGCGGAGCGCCGCCCGTTCCTGGCGCCACCCGTGAACACAGAGACGAGGAAGAAGAGGAGGAGCCTGCGGCACCCCCTCCGCCTCCTACAGGCTCTCGGCCATCCGGTGGATTTGCTCTGCCCGGCCTACCCACTCGCCCGGCACCTGTCAATGACGAAGAGGAGGAAGAAGATGAGCGTGAACAGTCTCCCATCCGGGTCGCGCAGCCTGTCGCCCGTGAAGCTGAACCAGTCCGCGCTCCCGCACCTCCGCCTGCTGCCGTCCCCATGCCTCGCGAGCCTACGCCTGAACCGGAGTCCGAGCCGGAGCCCACACCAGCGCCTCGTCCTGTTCCCGCCTCTCACCAGGGTCCTCCTCCTTCTGCTCCTGCGCCTGCGGCCGGCGGAGCTTCGCAACGCGCCGTTATTCTGTACGACTACGACAAGGACGAAGACAATGAAATTAACCTGGTCGAGGGCGAAATCGTCGCAGATGTTGACCAGGTCGACCCCGACTGGTGGATAGGCACCAACAAGCATGGCGAGAACGGCCTTTTCCCGAGCAGCTACGTTGAGCTCATCGAAGACGCTGAAGCTGAAACTAGTGCTGCGGTCCCGCCCCCGAGCGCCCCCGCTCGCGCTGCTGCTCCCGTGCCAACGCCAGCTCCTGCTGCCCCTGCGCCGGCTGCCGCTTCATCCGGACCTACCGCCACCGCTCTGTATGACTATGAAGCCGCCGAAGACAATGGTATGTCCCTTTTTGCCTCGTATTCTGCGGGGCTCGAAGAGAAAGTGTAGTTGACTAACAAGTATTGGCAGAACTTTCCTTCCCCGAGGACGCACAGGTCACAAACCTCGAGTTCCCAGACGATGACTGGTGGTTTGGTCACTACAAGGGCGACTCGGGCCTCTTCCCTGCCAACTATGTGCAGTTGAACCAGTAGAGCCGCCGTGCGACTGGCCGTGGTCGATGATGTGGGAACAGTTGTGCCCGTCAGTTGTTTGGTCCATTCTTGTATCAAGCTGTTGATACGATACAAAAAAGGTGATGATGCGAACTATGGTGGGGCGAGTTACGTGCTTTCTACTCTTTCGTTGTTTTATAACAGTTGATCTAGTTGATCTGCTTTCGTATCATGCTACATTTCATCCTTGAACCATTCTGTTTCTATATCTACTTGCCTGTGAATGCTCCTGATATCGTTTATCAGATGTATTGCTATCTATGGCATCCTTTCAACCTTACTCAAGACACCGATCATATTCAACACATGTCAAGCCAAGATTCAAGCGCTTAAAGCATTCGCATTTCGCGTTCAAGGCGCCATATGCGTACATATGTCGCAAGCAGCATTGACGTTAAGTGTAAATACATGTATGTACATTCACATGCATCGTGGACGAGTTGCAAGTTGTGACCATCAAGTTGAAACCAAGAGCTGTATCAAAAACCGCGCACGGAAACCATTTTTACCCTCCGATCTAACCCTTGTGAAAAACACAATTGACATGGACATAACTGTTTGAAAAAAAAAAAAACAAGGCCGAAAAGGGTGGTGCAGCGACGCAAGAAAACGTGGAAGGATCGAATAGACGTGAGATATAAAGTGGCGCAAAAATACGACTCGGAAGCGCCAAACAACAACGTCTGATTGGATGAGTTCGGCTGAAATATGCAATAGCGCAAACAAGGTCGCTTTCCGAGTTGTTGTCGTGGGTATGTATACCAGGATATCCAGCCCCTCGCAGACATGAGGCATAATAGGTCGCCTACCTAGTATATCCAAGTAGTCCGCCGACTAATCAGGTAAACGGGCCATTGAAGGGAGGCAGTCGTGATTAATTCCCCGGCGTGTCCTCATTTTTTCAAGAAAGGTGATGTCGTCGTTTAGCAGAGGCACTCGCAACACTCGAGACTAGAGGCACCGTGTTAGGAGCTAGCGCAGCTTGATCGGCTTGATCGGCACGGGGAGGAGGTTCAGTGTCACTTACCAGCACTCGCATGACTCCTCAACAACACAGCAACAGCAGAGAGCAGCAAGACAGGCCATCAGGCAGTTGGAGCCACCACCACGGTTACCGCGGGTTTCCTGCGCGGGAGGGGGGGCCTGCTGGTACTGCATGCCGCCCTGGGGGGGACCGTACTGGCCCTGGGGATACTGGCCCTGAGGGGGGCCATACTGACCCTGACCCTGGGGAGGACCGTAGCTCTAGAGAATGTTAGCAGGCTTGATTCGGGGATGAAAGTACCATGTCGAGTATGAATATGGGAGAATCGCCGGCGCCGTCGCAGCTAGCAGCTCTCGTTTGCGTCTGAATAGCTCTGATTGTGCAATCCAGCGCTGGTGAATTTGACAAGCTCATGAGAGCTAGCAATACCAACGCTCTGGAGTAGGCGCGAACCATCTCGAGTCTATAACGAGTCGTACGTTTGTTGCGACGAGCTGCTCCGACAGGCGGGCGTGTTTTCTGTTGAGTTTGGCGCGGAGCATTAACTTACGGCCTGGGGGTGCTGGGGGTACTGGCCGCCCGCATTGTTGTTGTAGTAATCCTGGTTGGACATTTTGGTAGAGATGTGAATTGGAGTTGGATATGAGGAGAAGCGCAAATGTCACGGTTAGGAGGTGGTCAAGAGATGGAAGAAAAAGGGAGGGTGGGGAAAAGGGAAAGGGAAGAAGGTTGAGGTGTGGGAGCAGATGGACAGGGGACAGGTGGATGCAGAGTACAAGTAATTCTGGCTAGACTGGGCGCGGTCCGGAAAAGCGGCAGGTCGGTAGATGTTCTGGAAAGGGCAAGGCGCGTTGAACAACTGATTAGCGGGTTCGGGGGCTGTGGGTTTCACTGTTCAGTGAGCTACGGGCAGTGTTTGGCGCTGAAATCGGGGGGAGTATTTACGCTGGTGAGCGGCGAAGCGGCCGAGGTGTTCCCCGGCCAGTGGGACCCCTTTTTTGTGCTAGCGGTAAATCAAGGGTTCTGGGACAAGGCAGCTGACAGTGCAGATGGCGCAGCCATTCAGCACTGTCTCTTGCGCTGTTACAGTGGGCCGCCCACCAACTTTTGCACGTTGCTGCACGTTGCTGCTCGGAATGAGCAGGATGGACAAGCACATTATCATCCAGCCAGGCACAGGCACCTCAGTGGCTCTGCCGCCGACTTTTTAGTGGACAGGCGAGGCTGTGCTTCAGTGGCGTAGCAAGCAACAGCTGTCCCCCCGATGCAGGCTCGCTGGGTCCTGAAGCAGGGTTGTTTTTCTTTCTTTTCTCGAACTGGTAGGTAATTCACTAATTCGTCAAGTATTTTGACGCAGGTGTCATGAGTTGTACACTCGGTGTACCACCATGTACTGCGGCGCACAAGGACCACAACAGAGTTTGTGATGTGGCTGGAGAGGGTGGATTCTGTCATCGTGCTGTGCTGATGTACGAGTACCTATTTGTTCCTAGTAATCCCGCCAGCCCTGCGAGAACGACGACGCGTACATCGTTGCGTTGTCATTGCCACTAGCAAAGTAACATGTCGCCACGGCGAACAAAGACGGCAACTCCCCCTTGCCGCCTCCGAGAACCTTTATCTACGATTGCTGAGCACTGAGCACTGCCCGCCATGCGGTGTCACTTGCGTACGTTTGTACTCGCGGCGCTCTCCCTTGACAGCCAGCCCTGTCCTCACCTCGGCTGCGGGCTCCTCAATCCAGCCTAGTGGCGATGATGCTGGCGGGAAGCCCATGTTTCCAGCGGCGGCCGCCCGGCCTGAGGCTGGCCGCCATCGGCCTACCAGCCTGAGCATACCCACCCCTTTGCAAATTTGTCTCAGCGGTCGCCGTCAGCGGCGGCGTTTCTCGGCCTCTTTTATCAAAACTCCTCGATTAGGTCTCGTTTAGGGTTCCAAAGGGGGCCTGGTAACTAGGATGGGGACGATATGCGCCAGCCACAGGATAACGTAACTACCTAGGTAGGCAGGGACCACAAGATGGATGGATACAGAGTTTCTGTCGGATCGTCGTCGTTATGGGGTCTCTGGCAAGTCAACTAATAAAGACCTGCTTGCCAGTGAGCGTCTTATTACGAATTACGGAGTACAGAGCACATACTTGTTCTCGTGGCGCCGGCTGGAGCACGAATACGTCGTGGCTGGTGGAAATTATTGCAGGAGGCTACCGATTAATATCAGACAGCCAGTTGGCCGATGAACTGCGGCACCTTTGACACCTCGACACAAAGTCCTTGGCGCGGCAAGTGGGTATCTCTCTCTCAAGAAACGCGCATCTCGGCCAAGAATACTACCTAGGTAGTGAACAGTACATAGCGAGCTCGTTCTGTCCGACATTCGTCTGGTCTGGTTTCGAATTCCCGCCGTCATTCAGCATCGACCCCCAAAACAACGGACATGATGGGCGGGTAGAGGACGGCGCTTTTGTAACAAGCCACTGCATGACAATTTTGAAACCCAGCAACAAGGCTCACAGCGTGCCGTAATTCCGAGAAAAAGAGGGCAGTGCACAGCACAGAAACCCAAGCAGCACAGCAGCCCGCACCCCCAACATTTCAGCGACAGGGTCTTTAATTGCGAGTCTATGGCTAAAAAGAAGGCTCTAAATGCGGCACGATCCCTTGCAATGTCCGTCAGTCGTAACTAATAGGAACAAGCGACAGCGCAACAGTGGCCGGGAACGCTGTACCATTATTCCCGTGACAAGTGACAAGCATCTACGGAGTAGTTAATTTATTAGCACTGCCCCAGCAAACAAAAGGCCACGGCATCATATGAATCAAGTAGGTGCTCCTTGGCATAATAATAATAAAGTCCGTCCGGGCCGTCCCCCAGCGTCTTATGCGCTGACACTGACAGTCTCAAACAAACTCACCGCCAAATATTATTTATCCTCCCGTGCTTCCGCTGCTTGTAAAAAATCACGGGGGTACGGGGACCATCTCCAGTTTATATTCTGCGTCATTCTTGGCATGCGGGAGAAACAGACAAGCATCCTCATGGCATTCTCGTTGGGCAACAATGCACCAGCGCCAGGTGAAACCCGGCCCTGTGGCTGTGCTCGGCGCTTAACAATATGTGCTCCCTGTTGACTTGCAGGTCTGCAGCGGGCTGTAGCACCGTTTGGTGTCGTTCTGATAATTATGCGCAGGTGAGGAGCTGCCGGTTCTACACTGTTGGAAACAGGTTCGTCGTGCCGGTGACAGTGAACAGCCTAACTACCAATCGCAGCCTAGTAGACACAACTGCTCGGATCCGATTCCACGGATTTGCGAAATGGAAACTCCGATCTCTATCGTTATAGCTAGCTTCAGGACACGTAGTTTCTTGGCCTTTGCTACCCTGTGGAGGCTGTGTACAGCGGAACGCTTCCCACGCACCGCACTGGTAGCCTTATTACATACCAAAGACAATATCGACAAAAGGCTTGACATGGAAAGACTCCCATATTGCACGATTCAAAACTAAGCAGTTGATGATTTGTTATATTGCTGACCCCCACGTCCTGCCATTAACATGTCAAAGTCCGTCTTTAGAGCACGGCCTATTTGTCTACAGCAATAGTTAGAATGACATTATTTAGCTTCTAAGTGGCTGGAAAATAAGACCAGGTTTTGGTTTGCTGCAGTTCAGCACGATGAGAAAAGTAAGCTTGAAGGGCTGCAAATGCAGCCGTGGCCGTGGTGAGAGGTAGTGGCGACGGGTCCTTCGCCCTGCCAAGATGCTGGCACACTGACGTCAATGCCAGACACTGGCTGGACTGGACAAGTTTGTGACCACGCATCTTCAACTCTCCACCTCTCAACAATCTGCTGCATCTTTGCCTCAAAAGACAAGCGGCAGCTCTGAATCCACCGAAGTCCTCTAAACATACAATACTCGAGTACCAAATTCCGTCCAGCATTAAATCAACCTACACCGGCTGCACTCTGCGACCTACCCCGCCATGTCCTTCAGAATCATCCCAGCCAACATTATCAATCTGGTACAGGCCATAGATGCCGGCCTTCCCCTCGATGTACAGAAGCAAGACCGATCCGCTGACGCACCGCCCACGCCATTCACTGGACAGCACAATGATGATGGCCACTACGACCCCTCTCCCATAGACGTTGCCGTCGTGCGCATCATGCTTGCCAAGGCCACCAAGCTACCCATTGACGTTGTCGACGGCATTTTCGAGCTTGCAGAGTACTGGGTGCGCACCACGACGGCCGCCGATATTACGGGGAACGAGATGTCGATTAGCTCCCACTTCATCCAGGACAAGTTTCTTGTAGGGCTGGCCAAAATGCCCCAACAGGCAGCAAACATGTGCTAATCGCTGCAGCTTCGATCACTGCCCGTCGGGTTCACGAGCGAGCATGGCGGCGACCTAGGTCTCAAGGGCGAGGCTGCCCCCGCGAAGCCTTTACGTAACGAACCCTCCGCCAAGACGCTGGCGCGAATGGCAGACTACCCGCTGCCCAAACTGCAAAGCCCTGTGCGCAAGGTTGTCTTCAAGTTGACCTCGCATGATCAGGGCTGGTCGGGTGAGAGTGGAGGATTATATGAAAACTCTTGGACTTGGTTTGAAGCTGGTCTAGAGCGGTTGGAAGACTCTGCTATTGGTAAGACAATATGTTTTCTCACATTTTCAAGCGATATACGTTGTACGTTGCTGACCCGTATAGGTGCACCTCTCGACCCTCCCCCAACTCCTATGTATCGAGAAGCTCTTCGACCAGTATATCCGACCTTGGAAGAAGTCGTCCCAGAGAAGGAGGAGGAAGATGGCACAGAGCTCGAGCAAAATGAGGGGCAAAAAGAACAAGGACACAATGAAGAAAGTAATCCCCAAGAGCCCCAATTTGACTACAAGTTCCCGCTGGCCCACAGCCCGGTATGGACCATTTGCAGAAACAAGCGCGCCCACAGAGACTGGCAAGACCACGTCATTACGTGGACGTGCTACGATGACGTCAAGTCGGACTCTGACGCTGGCCAGGCGCTGGAGGAGAATGGGCGCGGACGGGAAACCGGTGATGGCGAGTTTGTGCGCAGTCTGAAAGTTGGTGATGTGGTGACGATTTGGGCAAAGGCAAGGTTCCCAGGTTGGACGAACAACCTGCGAGCTGCCAGCATTGACGTATACTGGGCGGCTACTTGAGTGGCAGATTGATTATTCTACATAGCATACATTAAAAATAGCTTTAATGAACAAATTGTATTTCCTAGCTGTTCCCTGCGAACTGGCTGTTTAGGTTGTTAGGTATGCTGGCGTCGCTTTTCGCCAACTGACCCGCTGTTTGCACGTCAACGATCGCCAGAGGATGCTTAATAACGCAACTAATGGTTGACTTTACACTCCCACAAGGTCCCCGGTATGAAGCGACCGTTGCATACTTTAATTTTCAGCAGAAAATTTGCAAGAAACTCGTATTCCTCATCTCGTTGTCCTACTTTCTCTCCAGTTGCCTGCTACACCCGGCGCCAAAGCATCATGTCTCGCCATATCCTTTCCAAAGACGGCGTTCCCATCACCCTCCCCGACGGCCTTACGGAAGACCAACTATGGTCATTCAAACCATTTACTGTAAGCGACACACCAACTAGTCTTTTCCCCTCCGCGGGATTTACCACACCCTTCCCGCTCCCGCCCCGGGCCGCTAACAGCCGCAGACATGGATGTCCACCCTCTCGCGCTCCCTGGCGCTGCAGGCCTCCTCGTCCTCGTCCTCTCCCGCGCACCCCTTCCGCGTGGACCCGTACGTGCTGCGCTCCGTCACCGTGCAGGCCTTTGACCGCTTCGGCGGCTCGCGCGTCGGCTTCGTCAAGCTCGCGGCCGTCGTGTCCAACGGGGCGGGCGAGACGCTGCCCGCGGCCGCGCTGCTCCGCGGCCCGAGCGTGGCCATGCTCGTCATGCTCGTCCCCGACGACGTCCCGGACGGCGGCGACGAGCGCTACGTGGTGCTCACCGTGCAGCCGCGCGTGCCGGCCGGCAGCCTCGGCTTCGTGGAGCTGCCGGCCGGCATGGTGGACGACGCGGGCAATTTTAAGGGGGTCGCGGCGCAGGAGATGGAGGAGGAGCTGGGCATGACCATTGCCGAGGAGGACCTGACGTGTCTGAGCGAGTTGGCGGCGGCGGGTGAGGTGGAGAAGGAGGAGGAGGAGGGTTTGCCGGCGGCCATGTATCCGAGCGCGGGCGGGTGTGATGAGCACGTCACAATATATAGTTGTGAGCGCAGGATACCGCGCAGCGAGCTGCACAGCTGGAGCGGGCGCCTGACGGGCCTGCGGGACCGTGGGGAAAAGATTACGTTGAAGATTGTGCCGATGAAGGAGGCGTGGAAGGCCGGCGCGCGCGATGCAAAGACACTTGGCGCGCTGGCTCTGTGGGAAGGGCTGCGGCGAGAAGGCAAGGTCTAAATTTCCAAGCCGTCTTCTACCCAGCTTGTAGTCTACGCAGTCCTGAAGACGTGTTTGGCGGCGGCGCAAAGGCAAGGTCTAAATTCTAAGTCATCTTCTATCCAGCCTGTATTATATCCCGTCTTTGGTATCGTGCCAACATGTCTTGCCTATACTCCCCCACGGCGACCTCATCGCTCCTTGTTTGTTTCCTCACAGCTTGAGCTGTTGGGCCAGGAGAATGCCCTCGGCGAGGGTGCCCACGCGGGCGTCGATGGCGACGCCCTCGGCCTCGAGCTTCTTGCAGAGGTTCCAGAGGTCTGCGAGCGGATGGGTGAAGACCTCGATGAACTCGTCGTCCTCGAGCTGCGGCTGGGGGTTCCGGTTCTCTGGGCGGGCGGGGTCGACGGTGACGTGGACCATGCGCAGGTTGGTGTTGCAGAAGCCCGGGTCGTTGAACATGACGGGCGACGTCTCGGCGACCTCGCCGACGTACCCCGTCTCCTCGCGCAGCTCGCGCAGGGCGGCCTGGGCGGGGTCCTCACCGGCGTCGACGAGGCCGGCGGGGATCTCGAGCGAGAGCTGGTCGATGGGCGGGCGGTACTGCTTCTGCAGGACAATGTGCGTGGCGCCGCTGGCGGCGTCGGTGAGGAGCGCGACGATGCCGACGCCGTCAATGGCGCTCCCGGCCGGGCGGCTGCGGCGCTCGGCGGATTCCCAGGTGCGCGCCTTGCCGGTCTGGTCCTGGTAGTCGATCCTAGAGAGAGAGAGTGGTGGCAGGGTAAGTGGTGAGTTTGAGAGAGAGAGAGAGAGAGGTCGAGGTTGGTGAGTGTTGGGTCGGTGAAGCTCACTTGACTAGCTTGATCCAACGGGCTTCGTCGTCGGGCTTGGGGACTTGTCAGTGATGGGGTTCTGGAGTGGGAGTGTGGGAGTCATACCAATGGCCCGGTGGCGAGGTGCTTGGGACCTTCAGAAGAGCCCATGATTGTTGTGATGGTGCGTGATGCTAAGAATCTTGGACATGTAATCTGTAGGTGAGTACTAAATTATGAGAGTGAGCCACGGGTGGTGCCCGATATCCACCAGAGGCTGCCCAGTGGGGGTCTCGGCTCGGCTGTCCAGATGTACTTTGCATCACCCGCCAGATGTACGGATACAGAATGAAGACTTTAAAGTCCAAAAAAGAGGAAAAAATCCAGACGACTAGAATGATGTCGAAGGCGTCTTTGGCAGCGATCTGGGGAGCATTTACCGATTGGTGTTCCAGTCCGCACCTGTCCGAGTCTCTGCTCCTCCACCGGGCCGACCGTCCTTGTTCAGCCAGCTGAGTTGATCGAGGCGGTGGTCGATTGAAAATGGGGTTTGATTTAAGGTGGGCCTATTCAAATTTGTCCTTCTATGCCCTTTTCCCTTCGGACGCCCGCGCAGGGAACAGGTCCGTTCCAAGGAAACAAATTACAGTGGTGGCTAGCCTTTATTCTACGTTATGTACGTTCTTGCGCGAAATGGTGGCTTGCTTTGCCAAGCAGATTCCCGCTCGGATTACACATATCTGCGTAATGTTTCCGCAGTTATTGCCGGAAAAGGGACTTTGGACCGTCTTCAAACTTCAAGCCTCAAAACCCGCATTTTTCTTTTCGCATGTCAACAGCGGGCTTCATCTTATTACCTGGCCGGTGAAGCAATATGTGGCTTGTCTTATTATACAATTTTGCCATTGGCGGATCGGAGAACGCAATTTTGCGCCCCGTTGGCGAGGACCCTAACTAGAGGCTGTTGCTGTTAACTACCTATTGCTCCGGACGGATAGATACTGGTATTCCTTTTCGAATTACTGCAGCAAGTTGCTGATTATCGACTGCAGCTAAAACCTGCATTACCCCACGATGAAGATGAAACAGCAGCAGCAGCAGCAGCAGCAGCAGCAGCATCGACAGCATCTACAGCATGTGCAGAGCAGCATGCCGCATCAAATGGAGACGAACCCAAGGTTCCCTCCGCAGTGGAGGAACCCAGAATTATTAGCCCGCAGCTAGATTGCATCTACCCAATATACCAATATGCACCTCAGGCCATTGCACTCTAGTGTCGCAGTTTGCCGCTTTTCCCAGGGTGACAAACGGCGGTCCTGTTTGCCCCCCCACAGCCAGCAAAAAGTCAGCACTTGGTTTAAATACCCCAACCATTCCCAGACTGCTCAAACGAGCACAAGAGAGAATGTGGCTTCAGCCTTGTTACTAGAGACGGACGTAAATATCTCACATTGGGCTGCATTTGGGTTCAGCCGCAACCCGACTGGGACTATGCCGTCGCACACCATCTCGGCTGTTGCCGACGACCACTCGTCGTCGACCGACACAGCCCGCGACGACCTGCACCGCTTCGAGCAGAACCACCAAAACGACCCGAACCTGCCGGCCGAGAAGCTCGCCGCCGTGCACGATGCGCTCGCTCGCGACGACGCCAAGGAGTTGGCCGCCACGGATGCGCTCCTTGCGCAGGACTCGCCGTACGAGGAGGTGCGCGTGGCGGTGCGCAACACGGACGGCGGCGAGGTGGCCAACACGGTGCGCGCCTGGATCCTCGGCATGCTCTTTGTGACGCTCGGCGCGGGCTTGAATATGTTTCTAAGCATGAGGTACGCATACGAATCAGGCACTGACCACACACACACACACTGGTGGTGCGCCTTGCTGACAAGTTGCCAAAAACTCTAGGAGCCCAGCGATTGCGTTCCCAGCCATCATCATACAGCTCCTGGTATACCCCATCGGCTGCTTCTGGGCGCGCGTCGTACCCATGCGGACATTCCGCCTCTTCGGTCTCGCGTGGACCTTTAACACCGGGCCCTTTACCATCAAGGAGCACACCGTCATCACGCTCATGGCCAACGTCACCTTTGGCTACGCCTACAGCACCGACGCCCTGCTCGCGCTCCAGGGCAGGCCCTTTTACGACCGCAACCTCGGCTGGGGCTTCTCTCTGCTCTTCACCCTCAGCTCCCAGCTCATCGGCATCTCCTTTGCCGGCGTCTTTCGCCGCTTCCTCGTCTGGCCCGCCGCCATGCTGTGGCCCGCCCAATTCTCCAGCACCACGCTTTTTTACGCGCTCCACGACCGAGGGCGCCACGGCGCGGCAGCAGCCGACGGCTGGCGCATCAGCCGCTACAGCTGGTTCTGCCTGGCCGGGCTGAGCATGTTTGCGTACTACTGGCTTCCGGCTGTTCTGTTCCAGGGGCTGGCCGTCTTTTCCTTCCCCACCTGGATCAGGCCGGATAGTGTCGTCGTCAACCAGCTGTTTGGCGGCTACTCGGGGCTCTCCCTCCTGCCCATTACCTTTGACTGGACCTATGTCACTGCGTATCTCGGTAACCCGCTTCTCGCGCCCACGCACTCTCACATCAACACGCTCATCGGCCTCTTCTGCTTTATGCTGCTTCCCATTATCGGCATTACCTACAGCGGGGCGCTGTGGTCCAAGTACCTACCTCTGGTCACGTCGCAGGTCTACGACAATACTCAAAATGCCTATCAGGTAAACAAGATTCTGGGCCCTGGCTTCACGTTCAGCGAGAAAAACTACAAGGACTACTCGCCCTTGTTTCTCACCCCTGCCCTGGCCCTCAACTACGGCCTCTCCTTTGCGGCGCTCATGTCCACGCTTGTACACACGAGCCTGTACCATGGCAAGGAAATCTGGCACCGATTCCGCTCCTCGCGCAACCAGGAGCCCGATGTTCATCTAAAGCTCATGAAGAAATACGACGAAGCCCCCGAGTGGTGGTACGGCGCGCTCTTTTTGTTCTCGCTCGCTCTGGGCCTGGCCACCGTGCTGGCATATGACTCCCAGCTTCCGTGGTGGGCATTCTTCATCTCCCTCCTCCTGGCGCTCATCTTCATGATACCCAGCTCCATGATTCTGGCCGTGTCCAACATTGTCATAAGCCTCAACGTCCTCTCGGCCTTTTTGGCAGGCTTCATGATTCCCGGACGGCCCATTGGCGTCATGATCTTCAAAGTGTTTAGCGTCATCACTCTCGGGCAGGCACAGACTTATTCTAGTGACCTGAAGCTTGGACACTACATGAAGATTCCACCCAAGGTGACCTTTTGGTGCCAGGTCATTCCTACGATTTGGGCCGTCTTTGTGCAAATTGCCGTCATGAACTGGACGCTGGGCAACATTGAGAACGCTTGCGACAATCGCCAAAAAGACCACTTCACCTGCCCGAATGGCCGCGCTTTCTTCTCCTCCAGCATCGTCTGGGGTGTCATTGGCCCGCGGCGCATGTTTGGCGTCGGTGGCATGTACAGCTACTTCAACTTGTTCTGGATCGGCGGCGCCGTCCTCCCTGTCATTTTATACCTCCTTTCTTATAAAGTAGGCATCAAATTCTTTCGTCATTTCAATGCGCCCATCATGTTTGGGTCCATGGCCTGGCTTCCGCCGGCCACACCGCTGAGCTTCTCCTCCTGGGCCATTGTCGGCCTGATCTTCAACAAATGGATTCACAACCGATGGAACGGTTGGTGGTCAACGTACAACTACATCACAGCGTCAGCTCTCGACGCGGGCTTGATTTTGAGCACTGTACTCATCTTCTTTGCGATAACATTCCCAGGAGTCCCTATACCGCAGTGGTGGGGTAATGTGGCCGTACAAAACACTCTTGATGCGTCGTACACTGCGATTCTCAAGACGGTGCCAGTGAATGGCACGTTTGGACCAGAGTCGTGGTGATGGCTTCAAGATTTGAACGTTCCATATTGAATATACTAATTTTGAACTATATACAATTGCTATTTGTGCAACAGGTGGTGATGTTCTTCCAATGCGGCATCCAGTCGACCAGCTGGCATGTCGCATCTCCTAGACGCGTATAGGCTTACCGATCTCAGGCGACTTGTCAATGCTGCACTTTCGCTCACACTTCCTCCCTGCTGGCAAAATGTCATAAAGCATCTCCATCCACTGCACATTCTGAAACGCCTCGCCGCCGGCCGCCATCTTGCCTGTCCACACGCCACCGTCGCTCCACACGTTGAGCAGCACCAAGCTCGGATCGCGCGGCGCCTGGAACGTCTGCGTGTGGCTCTCGCCGCCGTCGACGCCAAACGTGGTGCGTCCCGGGGTCCAGTCCAGGCGGTGGGTGAGCCAGTCTGACCAGCGGCGGCCGCCGGGCAGCGTCGCCGTGTAGGACGCGCCGGCAACCGTGCTGCCATCCTCGCGGTACGATGGCTGGTTGGTGTAGTGGATCGTGTTGGCGGCCGGCTCGCGCGTCAGCATCTCGACGTCGCTCTCCTGCACGTCGGCGAGGCGGGCGCCGCCGAGATAGGTAAAGACGGAGGTGCACGCGCCGGGCGCGCCGTGGCTGCGGGCGCGCATCCGGATCGAGGCGTGGTCCACCTTGCTCATCGACTGCAGCTCGGCGGCTGTCTGGAAGCCGGGCAGGCGCGCGGTGCGCATGGTCAGAAAGGTGGCGCTCTCGCCGCCCGGGTTGTGCTCGATATACAGGTTGTTGTACGTCGTGACCATGGGGAACGTCTGGTTTCCGTTGGACCAGTGCTGCGGCCCCCAGAACTGGGTAAAGGGGTCGCTCCAGTCGAACAAGGAGCAGGTCGCTTTGGCCTGGAGGTTGCCGGCGACGTCCGGGAGGACCGCGGGCACGCCGGCGCAGCGCGACAGCGAGCGAAAGTCCCAGAAGCCGTGATGGAGGTAGTAGGTCGGAAACGGACCGTCCGTCACGTAGCAGTCGCACTGCGAGTCGTCTACGACTTGGGCCGAAGCCAATGCGGCAAGGGCTGCGAGAACAGCGAGGGACATGGCGGATGTTAGCATAGCTGAGGTGTAGAAATCAGTTCCGAATACCAATCTTCATCATCCGCAGGCTGGTCTCCTTTTCTCTCCCCGCAATTGAGGCCAAGTTCCGACCTTTTCGACCTGCATGGCCGACAATCAGGCTGACCAAGTTGCCACGACTCTTGGCGATGTAAACAACCGTTGCAGTCAGATCAGCAATGCGGTCTCAAACCTAGTGCAGCACTAGAATCCAGAACTGGGTCGCGAGGCTCCGTGAATGGAGACATTATTGAGCACAACACTGTAGAGTCGTGGGCTGCGCGATGCTGTGGGCCGAGTCTAAGGTCTAAGTCATGGTTGACAACTTGTGATGTGATAGATTTATTTGGGGGCCGTTTGTGGGTCACGATTTGATAGATTTGTTTCTTTTTCGGAGAAATGAGAAAATCTTTTCCTGAAAAGTATACGCAAACCCCGCGATCTGCGGCGGCAAAACCCGATATGGCTGGAATGCATTGGCGCCCAATGCTGTTGAGAGTATAGTTGGGGACCAGCAGCGGCGACACCCCAACTCCACCAGCAAATAGTGATCGAACGGTTTAAGCAAATCTTCGTAGCAAAACAAGTATTGTATAAGATCAAATCAAGAAAGCCCAAGCACAGCTGATTTACCTCCTCCAATAAAGCATCCGCCTTTTGCTGGCCGTATGTCAGCCTGAATCCTTGCAAGTTACCCCCTTGCACCTTCTCCACCGACCTCAAAACCCAGAACTCAGGTCATTGACCCCTTCCGGCCAAATGTTTGTACCTTGAAAGGCGCTATGAAACACTTGGTCTATGGACAATGCCGAGTCTAGTTGGTCGAGGCCACCAAAGTCAGCATGATCTGCGGCGATGACACGGGGCGCCTCGTTCTCGCGACCGACTGACGAGGCTCTGTCAAATGGTATCTTGTCAATGGACGTGGGATCAATTCTAGGGAGTCTTGCGCCTGCTTCGGGTGACTGGTTCTGCTGTGCGCGGAGCTCGCCAGCAAGACCGGGCCCAAGAAGAAAAGACCGCCGTCCTCGTTCTCGGTCGGGCGAGGCAGGCCTACTCCACAAGGACTCCAGGATTTCAAACGGGCCAGAGAGACTGAATCCGGCTTCAGATGAATGATGAGAGGACCAAGGGTCGAGTTCACCAGCTAGTTTCGTCAGGCTGCGTTCCTAAATGAAAAGAGGTCAGTATGCAAACACCGCACAGAGGAGAGGAAAATCTAACGGCCCGGCTCATAGAGGGCAAAGTCTTGCTCATTTTTGTCACCAACGCTAAACACTTTTCAAAATTTTGTTTAGTCTGCGTCGCAACGGCCCCTTCGGTGGAAACACCCCTTTGCACTTCTATGCTGGCCAAAACGGCGACGCAGTAGCCCATCAGCGGATCCGAAGCGTGGAAGCCTCTGCTTTCGATAAAGTCCAGGTAGTGGATAATCCATGCCGTATGGTTGGACAAGGCGAATGCGGCATGGTGTAGAAATGCCTCCGACACGTTCTGGACACCGCGTATCTGCAGCGTGATGAGCAGCGGATGGTTGAGGATGCACATGATGGTGTGGTACATGATGCGCGTGCAGAGCCAAGGAGACCAAAAGTGCCTGCTCTGCTCGAGATCTTCAAGCTTGACTTCGGACAGCTTGATGTGACGCTGCCTGTGGTTCATTGGCAGTCGCCGCCCCATGTTCATCAGACTCTCCGTCGCCCGCGAATAGTCAGACCCCTCCTCCCACGGGAACTTTCTCAACTCGGGTGCGTTCTTGACAGATCGGATGTAGCCCATGGCCATGGACCACGGCTCGCTCAAGGTGAGGAGGACTTGCATGATGTTGCTTGGCGCAAGCGGCGCCTCTGGGACCTCGCGCATCCGCGCCGGCGGCGAGTAGCAGCCATCTGGGAACGGAGGTAGCATATTCTGGGACAAGCTGGCCAGCTGCGGCGCTTGTTCCCCGACCAGATGATGCAGCAAGACGACGCTCCAGAAGCACCTATGCCGCTCCTTTGTGACAGGCAGACTCTCTGCGCCCGGTACGGTCTGGTGAAGGCGTGCTTCATGACACAGAGAGGAAGCGAGAGCACATAACATCCGACTCCTGTCCATGCGTGCGCCTACAACGAAACCCATGAGCGGTTAGTTGGCTGCGTGACTGAGATACGAGCGGAGGCGCTGTACTTGCCCTCAATATCAGCAACGACCAGCAAACAGATTGCCTGTATAGTGGAAAGTTCCACCTGCCCCTGGGCAATGTGCCTCATTACAAGTTGGTAGGTCGCATGAGCGTATTCGGCAGATTTCGACACTTGGTCCCTGTCAGGAGCGATGTGGTTGATGGCCAATGCTGCTACGGCATAGACGAGTTCCGGCGGCTGGTCTGTAAAAGAGGCGACGAAGTTCTGCGACTCAAACAGAGGAAGAAACTGGCACCAACAAAAGGCGAGGTAGGCTCCCGCCACTTGTTCCCGGCCCTGCCTGGATAGCACAGGCAACCGAGGGAGCTGGCTTTGGACGCCTACATTATAAGCAGAGTTTACAGACGGCGGCGCGTCTAGTCGATCGAAGGCGCCGAGACCTCGATGGTGACTGTATACGCGGTCCCTCAGCACGGGATGGCTGCCGGTACGACGATACTCGGGGTGCTGGATGATGTGCGCCAAAGCAGACTCCAAGCTCGCTACCCGAGAGTGCTACATCTCGCCGGCGTTCATACTGTAAGCTTTGGCAGAGGGAGGAGCTGTAAATGGTCAATTTACACTTACCAGAGGAAGGTCTGAGGCCGGCTCCATATGCGTCTGTCTGCGGCTGGACGGATGACCCGACGGCACAGTCCTGGCACTGGACTCTTGGGTCAACTGACCAGCCTGCCGAACGGGATTGTCGTCCTCGCTCGCGTAATAGCATATCCGGAGTAAGCGGGCGCACGAAGCGCAAATAGGCTGCTCACCCGAGCATTTGGACTTTTTGCGCCTGTTGTCCACGTTTATCGATCAGCACACCTATCCCGACGGCCCGGCTACCACACACGTACCGGCACGCATCGCAAGCTTTCCGGACCCGTTTGGCGGGCCTGTTAAACAGGTCCATTGCTAGTGCGATGGTTTGGAGAGAAAAAGAAGAGTACCTGTATAATACACGCACTCTTGGTATAAAGAGACCAAATGATTCTCCCAGTATTCACACTGGACGACCCCTTGGACGCCGAGGATCCAACGGTTGATTCCCTTTTCGACGCCAACAGCCAAGGGGGCACAAAGCAACGGATACTCTTGTTAATTTCTCACTGGCTTGATTGGCCGGCTCGTTGGGTTGTAGTTCGTGCATGGAAGGGACATGGCGATGCCGGCGGGATGGTGCAAGCCGCCACGGCAATGGCGCCATAGCTATCCGTACTCAACCAGTGATGCTGAAAGTGGTGGATTCCTCTAATTATGAGGCCTTTTGACGCGCGGTGATATATCGTACATGGATAGTATTTCTGGGCCCTGACCATACACAACTGATCAATTCACGTTGCAAGCTTGGTATCATCCGCATCCAGATCCCGGTCCGGGTGGGGTCCGGGTCCGAGTCCGGGCCTGAGAGAAGTGGCAGACTGCCTCAAAATTGCTGTTAAATTCTACGCAGGTTGGTGTGTTGATACATTCTATTTACTTAATTAAATTTGAGTTCTACACCACCTTGTGTGCATCATTCGGTGAATAGAATCATCGCCTGACTTCCGATTTTATCAGACTGTCGTGTTTTCATCTCAAGACCAATGGTGCCCGAAATAGGCGAGGAGACGCCGCTTCTAGGGAAGAAGCATGAAACCACACGCCAGTTATCCAGAACAACCGCCGTGTTCGTAGTACTGCTCCTTGGTAAAGCATAACCCCCCGACACCGTCATCTGGCGCGCACTTACCACCAGACTCCTAGGCGAACTGCTATCCCACGCCGAAACAACCCTCATGTTCACCACGTCAGCCCTTATCGCCTCCGAATTCGCGCATCTCGAGGCCGCCGGCTGGCTCGTCACCGCCTACACGCTGGGCGTGTGCGCCGCGCAGCCGCTGTACGGCCAGTGCAGCGACCTCTTTGGCCGCAAGGCCGTGCTCCTGTGCGCGTACGGCCTGGCCGCCGCGGGGTGCGTGGTGTGCGGCGCGGGCCCCGGCCTGTGGACGGTGGTGGCCGGGCGCGCGGTCAGCGGCCTCGGCGGCGCGGGGCTCATGATCATCTCGTCCATCATCATCACCGACGCGGCGCCCAAGAACCGCATCGCCCAGTACCGCGCCTACGTCAACATGGCGTCCACCCTGGGCCGCGGCCTCGGCGGGCCGCTCGGCGGGTACGTCCTGGACAGGGCGCACTGGCGCTGGCTCTTCTTCGGCCGCGTGCCGCTCCTCGGCCTCTTGGCCGTGCTGATGGCGGCGCTCTTTGACGAGCGGACCTTTATGGGCGGCGCGGCTCTGCGCCGGCCGCCGGCGCTTGGCCGGGACGGAACCTGGGGCCAGAGGCTCGGAGAAATCGACTATGTCGGCGCCGGTCTGCTGTGCGCCTCCATCACCGCTGCCAATCTGCTGATCAACGGCCAGACGGGCGGTCCGCTCCCACAAGCGCTGCTGCTCGCGTTGCTGGGCCTGGCTCTGCCCGCGTTTGTGTATTTCGAAATGTACGGCGCGCGAAAGCCGCTGATTGACCTGCGCATCCTGGCGCGCCGAAACGTGGCCGTCTCATACGCCATTGTCCTGCTGCAGGTCATGGCGCAGGTCACCATGATGTTCTCCGTGCCCGTCTACTTCCAGGTCACGCGGAACGCGTCGGCGTCGCGGAGCGGGCTGTGCCTGGTGCCGGCCATTGCGGGCAATGCGGCGGGTGCCTTGCTGACGGGGCGGTACATACGCAAGAGGCGGCGGTTCCGGCCGGTGCTCTTCGCGGCCGGCCCGATGGCGTGTCTGAGCTACGTGCTCGTCCTGCTCTGGTGGAACGGCGGGTCCGGCGAGGCGGCGTGGGAGGCGCTGTGCACGGTGCCGGGCGGAGCGGCGACCGGCATGGCGACGTCGGCGGCGTTTGTCTCCATGACGGCCTTTTTGCGCCCCAAACACATGGCCACGGCCACGGGCATCTTCTTTCTCGTCAACAGCATGGGTTCCAGCCTCGGTGTGTCCGTGGGCAATCTGGTGACGCAATCGCTCTTCGGCAAGTATCTACGAGCGAGATTGCGGGGAGAGGACAGCCTGGAGGTGAGCCAAGTAACGGTTTTGTCTGTGGGCGTAGTTAACGCAGCTAATTTTTGAAGGTGATACGCCGAGTTTCCTCTGATATCAGAACAATCGCTGATATTCCGGATGGTATCCGTGCGACGATTGTCGAGGCATTTGTGGACGCTCTCAAAGGAACATTTGGTATGTTTTAGCGAACAGGAAAATTTATGCTCCTTCTCTTGGCTAACAAGGTGATTAGTTCTTGGGTTCATCGTGTCGCTTCTCCCGTTTCTGCTCGCTACCATGGTGGAGGATGCCGACCTCTAGCTGGCTGGGGTAGGCAGAGGATACGCTGTCTACCACCGCAAGGCCTGGATAATCATTTCATGTCTATCAGCGGCATCCGTTGTCTGTCATCTAGTCGCCATTTTTTTTAGATTATTCTTCTAGCAGTTGCTAGAGCCGTCCCTGGCTTTTGAATATTGGCCTCATCATCACGTAGTCATTGTCTGAAGCGGGTACGGCACTTTTAGTACTATGCAGCATTAAATCCAGTTCGCTGGACTGGGACGCAGTCCAAATAACATCTATATTTTTTCGAATAAACTTTTACTCGCAGAATGTTGCAATATACCTCAGTTGGCGTGATAGAGCTCCGGAATGACGACTCCACCCCCGGTCCGGACGCCACGTTCCGGGCCGCGTTCGAAACGAATGGTCACAGCCTATTCACCATATCTGGAGGTGACATGTCAAGACCTCATTACGAGATCCGGATCCGCCTCGGGAACGGAAGGGATGGCGAAATATTGCGACTTGCCGCTATCATGCAGTAGAGTTGTTCGTCTCGATTGATGGGTCATGCTTAAATACGCTGTCGCTTTCCTAGGAAGGCTACACTCTCTTTCGACAGAAAATCATAATTTCTCTCACGCAATTTTGACAGAAATGAAGCCCTTTTATACGAGACTTGGCCCTCTTTTGGTCGGGCTCAGCGCGCTGGTCGCGGCCGACCACCGCTACGTCACCCGGCCCGAGCTCGCAGCACCGCGACTCAACATCACGGTCCCAGCACACGCCGGTCAAGTGGCCGAGGGATTCCTCTTTGTGGCCCCGTACCCGGGCTTCGAATCCGGGTTCTCGGGGCCGACGCAGCCGGGGGCCTACATTTTCCGCGACGACGGCGAGCTCGTCTGGTCCGGCGTCGGCTACCACGCCGGATGAGTGGCCAACTTTCGACCCGATACGTGGAATGGCGAGCTGTATCTCCGAGCCTTCCAAGGTCGGATTGATGGCTCTCACGGTCGCATGTACGGGTTTCATACACTGCTTGGGCGCGACTATGAGCTGGCCAAGAAAGTCAAGGTCGGAAATCACCGTCTCGTGTCGGCGCATGAGTTCAAGTTGATTGATGGAAAGACGGCCCTGGTGGAAGCCCCGACACCAATCGTCGTGTCCCTCAAGCCCTGGGGTGGTAGAGATCAAGAGTGGATAGTCTCTGGTGGCTTCCAAGGCAAGTGCGCGTCTTTACAAGCAGCTCAGATCTAACACTGACTCCAATGTAGAGCTTGATATTGAGACTGGAGAGGTTTTATTCGAGTGGCAGAGTCTCGACCATGTTGACCCCAAGAGTGAGATTCTAGGCCCAACCTGTGGAAGAATGCCGAAACTAATCAAGAGCTCGCAGAAAGCGCGTTCCCGCTCGATTTTGGCCCTGGGCTTCCCGGCTCCGGTCGGAACGAGACTGACGCGTGGAACTATTTCCACATCAACAGCGTCGACAAGGACGACGAGGGCAACTATCTCATCTCGGCGCGAAACGTCGCCGCCGTCTTCAAAATCAACGGCACAACCGGCGATATCATCTGGCAGCTCGGCGGGTACCAGGGCGGCTCCGACTTTGCGCTGGCCGGCGAGGACATCTTTGCCTTTCAGCACCACGCGCGGTTCCGCGGCCGCTCTGCGGACGGCGCGACGGAGCGCATTTCTCTCTTCGACAATGGCGCGCACTCGGCGCCCGTCAACAAGACGCATCCCGCGTCGCGCGCCCGCGTCTACGAGCTGAACCACCGCACAGCGACGGCGCGGGCCGTGGGGACGTACGAGGCGCCCGACGGCCTCTCGGCGCCCACGCAAGGCAGCGTGCAGCTTCTGGAGAATGGCAACGTGTTCGTCAACTGGGGCCAGGCGGGGGCCGTCACCGAGTACAGCAGGGACGGCAAGGTCTTGTTTCACAGCTACCTGGACTCGGCGCCGAACCGGCTTGCGCAGAGCTATCGAGGTTGGAGGCTGCCTTGGACTGGGACCCCGGCGGAGGAGCCAGCAGTCACGGCCAGGCGTTCTGGTGGAAAGCTAGACGTCCATGTGTCCTGGAATGGAGACACGGAGACGTCTACATGGCGTTTTTACATACAGACTGCAGAGGAGGGTTCCCGTCGAGCTCTGGGAGAGGTGAAGCGGGTAGGATTTGAGACGCACGGGTCGTTCCATGTCGGTTCAGTGGACGGCAGACAGTTTATATCGGCGGACGCAATTGGGGCGGACGGTGCTGTTCTCAGACAGTCCAAGGCAATTTTGGTGAAGAAGGGCGCTGATTCGCAGCACTTCGATCCCACTCGGCTTCAGTGGCCTCTAGTAGAAGAGCTATAGTGAACAGCGGTTGCAGCCCTGTGGCTATAGTTCGTACAAAATCGTCGATCAAATTCGCGCCATTATAGCTGGCATCGATTGATACGTCTCCATTCATAAGTGAATGAATAGTGAGCATTGTGTATGGAGAAATCGTGGGGGGCACCAAGAGAACAGTGTATCCGTTTCCTTTTACACTGTGCGGAGAAGCTTGTTCTGGAGATAGGCTACCGGATCAGTTTTACATATCTATAAGCGCAACCGATCCAGGACAAAGTTCTGGCGGACTTGACATGACCACCGTCAGAGGCGTAGTGCGATTACCGCAGCGGATCAAAAATCAAGTCCGCCGATGAATGTTGTGTGAAGCAGCGGCTTTTGACGTTTCGGGAACTGTGCAAGTACTAGCTTGCCGCGAAGTAGCACGGTCGGAACCACACGGCGGGCTGCCGGGTTCTTGAGGCAACCCGAGCGGATAGGGGGTGGCGGCAGCGAACTGGGTCGCCACGTTGGGACTATTCTATTCAGTGGGTGACTTGGCCTGTGAGCATGACTTGGCGCTGGAGCCGTGTCAGCTCTGACCGTACTCTGCGGCGTGTTTCCGCGTGTTTCCCTTGCTGTACTGACATGTTGTTATGTTGTTATACTAACATGCTGTTACTGTCAGGCTGTCGCGAGTCGAGTAATACAGGGGTTGCGTGTCGGCAAGCAAGGGAGTCGATGTTTTGCTGGTTTCACGTCTCATATCGAGGTCTTTGTCTCGGGCTGGCTTCGGCAGCGGCTGGTGGCTTTTCATCGTACGGATGAAAGCTAGGTAATTACATACTACATGCCAGTAACTAGTCATGCAGACAGATCAACACGCAGAAGCGAGGGAATGGGGTATGAGCCGGGTTCATCATAGCGTTGCTTTGAGCAAGTTCAGCCTCGAGACTCCTGCCCAGACAGGGCTGGCCCATGTGGAGGCTGTGGCGTAGGGTGGGCCTGACTATACGCGTACTGCGTAATTCACGGAAACTGGTGCGTAAATAGGGAAATAACTAATTTGTACTGTAACTAATAACTACCACCTACCTAGTTAATAATAAGAGTAGCCACTCAACCAAGCGTTGTCACTGGTGGATAGGGCTCGGGTTACTGAGTCTTTGCGGTTGACTTGTTCGGGGCCGTGTGCTATCAATCGCCCCGAACGCTCCACACTCCATCCACGTCGGCAAAAACGAATCATTCAGGTGCGGAACGACATCTGTGCTCAGTATAGTTTGTGAATGCCTGTCATGGGCTACGGAGGTGAGCTGGCTGTGCAGCGAAATGTAGCTGCCGCAGATCCTCGTGTTTCCGTAGTGGATGCAAGTTGTCTAGTGACCGACACAGTACGTACGGACTGTAGGACAGCCGAGACAGTGAGCTTGACACCCTCACCAAGTCCGCAACTCGTACGTCCATAACCTGGCAGTATTCACTAATATAATATAACTATGTACCTAGGTACTAGGTAGTTAGCGAATGAAGCCTGGACTTGTCGTGGACCCGCCATCAGATGCCAAGTTCTTGCCTAGTTTCGAGCTAAACAACTGGCCAAGAAAGGTTCAACCCTTGACTCTGGAGGGTCAGGGCCAGGCTCGCGTCTTCTATCCGTGATCCTACGTATTCGCCCACCATCATGCTCCGAAACCCCGCCTATCCCGCATCTCGGAGTCTTTTTTTATTTTGACCTTAATTTGGTCGGAGTTGATCCACTCGTGCTGACCAGCGTCTCGCCTGCTTCTCGACTTAAGCTTCGGCTCCCCGACTGCCGTTTGCTGCCTACTTTGTCTCTTTCTCAATACCCTTCATTTATTTGTCCTGGGTATCTTGTCGTGGCTGACGCGCCGTCTATTCGGAGAAACACCGATTATCGCGGCCACGGTGCTCTGCTTGGAGCTATTTCAACCTCCTCCCACTCGGACGCTCACTCCTGCCACCCGCACCCGCACAGTTCATAACCCCCCCTTCAGTCGCCGCGCCTTTGCGCGCCTCAAGTCTCCATCATGTCTCTCGCCTATGGAATGACGGGTAGCAACGACGCCACTGCGGCAATGTATGGTGTTCCCAACGCTACCCCCCATTACAACCCCGACGATGTCGACAAACACGACATTTCCACCGAGGACGAGGCGCACGACGGCAGCTCCCCCGCCGAGACGGTCGCCAAGGGTCACAACGATGTCACTGAAATGATCCGTCGCACGTCCGTCGTCGAGGCCCTCGCGCGCAGCTACTCGCGTGCCTCAGGCGCCGCCGGCGACAACCCGTTCCTGGCTGGCCCCGACTCGCCGTTGAACCCCAGCTCGCCCAACTTTTCCGGCCGCGAATGGGCCAAGGCCATTGTCGAGCTCGTCTCGCACGAGGGCTCAGCCTTTCGCACCGCCGGCGTGTGCTTCCAGAACCTCAACGTCCACGGCTTCGGCACCGCAGCCGACTACCAGAAAGATGTCGCCAACGTCTGGCTCTCGGCCGCCGGCAGCATCCGCAATCTCATCACCAACAACAAGCAGCGCATCGATATTCTCCGCAGCTTTGACGGCATTGTTCGTCGCGGCGAGATGCTGGTCGTTCTGGGCCCGCCCGGTTCCGGCTGTTCAACCTTGTTGAAATCGATTTCTGGCGAGATGAATGGAATCTACACCAATGACGAGTCCTACATCAACTATCAAGGTGAGTGATGCGTTCTTTCAATGCGCCACAGAAGAAGCGTCGTAGTCCAGATGAAGTGAGACCTGGCGTATGTCCACAACTGACTGACCCGCTGGGCACTGCGACATGTCGCAGATGACATACCTGATCGGGAAAGGTTCAAGACTAATACATGTGCATTCTAGGTATCGAAGCAAAGGAAATGTACAAGCACCATCGCGGCGAAGCCATTTACACTGCCGAAGTCGACGTCCATTTCCCCCAACTGTCGGTTGGCGACACCCTCACCTTTGCCGCCCGCGCTCGTCAGCCGCGCCAGCTGCCACAGGGACTAAACAGAAACGAGTTTGCAAACCATCTTCGCGAGGTTGTCATGGCCATGTTTGGCATCTCGCACACTGTCAACACCAAAGTCGGTAATGAATATGTCCGTGGTGTCTCTGGTGGTGAGCGAAAGCGTGTGTCCATCGCCGAGGCCGCCTTGTCTGGCGCACCTCTCCAGTGCTGGGATAACTCGACTCGCGGCTTGGATTCGGCCAATGCCATTGAATTCTGCAAAACCCTCCGCCTTCAGACGGAGCTCTTTGGCAGCACAGCCTGTGTCTCGATTTATCAGTCGCCTCAGACCGCGTACGACCTCTTTGATAAGGCCATTGTTCTTTACGAAGGCCGTCAGATCTTCTACGGGCACGTCAACGATGCCAAGCAGTACTTTGTTGATCTTGGCTTCGAATGTCCAGCTCGTCAGACCACGCCTGATTTTCTGACCTCGATGACCTCGTCGCTGGAGCGAGTCATTCGCCCTGGTTTCGAGGGACGCACGCCCCGCACACCCGACGAATTCTCCGCTGCCTGGAAGAATAGCGCCAATTACAAGGCTCTTCAGGCCGAAATTGAACAATACAAAAAGGACCATCCCTTTGACGGTGCCGATGCAGAGGCCTTCCGTGCTCACAAGAAGGCTCAGCAAGCCAAGGGCCAGCGCAATGCATCTCCCTTTACCCTCTCCTATTCTCAACAAATCAAGCTCTGTCTCTGGCGCGGCTGGAAGCGTCTCACAGGCGATCCCAGTCTTACCGTCGGCATGTTGGTCGGAAATGTCATCATGGCTCTCATCATTGGCTCCGTTTTCTACAACCTCCAGAAGAATTCGTCTAGTTTCTTCCAACGTGGCTCCCTTCTCTTCTTCGCTTGCCTTATGAATGCCTTTGCCAGTGCGCTGGAGATTCTTACGCTCTATGCCCAACGTCCCATTGTTGAAAAACATGCTCGATACGCCTTTTATCACCCATCCGCCGAAGCCGTCTCATCTATGATTTGCGACTTGCCGTATAAGCTGGTCAATGGTGTCATCTTCAACCTGACCATCTACTTCATGACCAATCTGCGGCGCGAGCCAGGACACTTCTTCTTCTTCTTGCTCATCTCATACGCCACCGTGCTGGTCATGTCCATGATCTTTCGAACAATTGGTTCCGCAACTCGAACACTATTCCAGGCTCTTGTCCCTGCTGCCATCATCATCCTCGCCTTGGTCATCTTTACCGGTTTTGTTCTGCCGACAAGATATATGCTTGGGTGGTGTCGGTGGATCGGCTACATCAACCCGCTTTCCTATGCTTTCGAGGCACTCCTCGTCAATGAGTTCCACGGCCAAGAGTTCCCATGTACCGATTTCGTGCCCAACCCCATGGTCGAGGGCTATGCGGACATTACCGGGGATCATCGTGTGTGCAGCACCATTGGCGCTGTTCAAGGACGCACCAGTGTCAATGGTGATAGGTATGCCGAAATGGCTTTTGGTTATCAATGGGGGCACCGATGGCGCAACTTCGGCATCGTCATTGCGTTCATCGTCTTCTTCCTCACCTGCTACATGATTGCTGCTGAATTCGTCTCGGAAAAGAAAAACAAGGGCGAAGTTCTCGTATACCGTCGGGGCCACAAGTCGGCGGCTATCGGAAGTGCCGAGAAGAAGCGCGACCCTGAAGCTGCCATGGCGAACATTGGCCCGGTCGTTACAGCCGAACGGAGCCGAGGCCAGGATGGTGGCCTGCTTCAGGAGCAGACTTCTGTGTTTCAATGGCACGATGTTTGCTATGATGTCAAAATCAAGAGTGAAACTCGCCGAATTTTGGATCATGTTGATGGCTGGGTTAAGCCGGGCACGTTGACTGCGTTGATGGGCGTTTCCGGCGCCGGAAAGACAACACTTCTCGATTGTTTGGCCGATCGTGTTAATGTCGGTGTTTTGACGGGCGAAATGTTTGTCGATGGCCGACCCCGCGATACGTCTTTCCAGCGCAAAACCGGTTACGTGCAGCAGCAGGATCTTCATCTCCAGACAACCACTGTTCGTGAAGCTCTCGTCTTCTCCGCCGTGCTTCGGCAGCCTGCTCATGTTCCCAGAGCTGAAAAGGTGGCATATGTCAATGAGGTGATCAAGCTACTGGACATGGAAGAGTATGCCGACGCGGTAGTTGGTGTTCCTGGTGAAGGCCTTAACGTTGAACAGCGAAAGCGTCTTACGATTGGTGTCGAACTCGCTGCCAAGCCTCCCCTGCTTCTCTTTGTCGATGAGCCAACTTCTGGTCTTGATTCACAAACTTCTTGGGCTATCCTGGATCTACTTGAGAAGCTTACCAAAGCCGGCCAAGCTATCCTGTGCACTATCCACCAGCCATCCGCTATGCTCTTCCAGCGCTTTGACCGTCTCTTGTTCCTCGCTAAGGGTGGCAAGACTGTTTATTTCGGCGAGATTGGCGAAAACTCAAAGACCATGACCGACTACTTTACCCGATACAGCAACAAGGAATGCCCTGAAGCATCGAACCCGGCTGAATGGATGCTCGAGGTGATTGGTGCCGCGCCTGGCTCGCACACGGACCTTGATTGGTTCAATACCTGGCGAGAGAGCCCTGAATACAGAGCCGTACAGAAGGAATTGGAAAACATCAAAGTCGAAAGGTTACAGGAACCCGAATCTGTCATTGACGCATCGCCGATCAACCAAGACCCGAACAGCTACCGCGAATTCGCCGCGCCGTACTCGGTCCAGCTGAGAGAGTGCCTCCACCGCGTTTTCCAGCAGTACTGGCGTATGCCCGTCTATATTTATTCCAAGGCGGCCCTTTGCACGCTTGTTGCGCTCTTTGTTGGCTTCGTCTTCTTCCGAGCCCCCAACAGTGTGCAAGGGTTGCAAAACCAAATGTTTGCCATCTTCCAGCTGCTGACCGTCTTTGGCCAAATCGTGCAACAGTCTATGCCACAATTTGTGATTCAGCGATCGCTCTATGAAGTACGTGAGCGACCGTCCAAGGTCTATTCATGGAAGGTCTTTATGCTGGCCCAGATTATCGTGGAACTCCCGTGGAACTCCCTCATGGCAGTCATCATGTACTTTGCCTGGTACTACCCAGTCGGCCTATACCGCAACGCCGAAGCCACTGGCCAGGTCACGGAACGTGGCGCGCTCATGTTTCTCTATCTCCTCATGTTCCTTCTCTTTACCGGCACTTTTTCTACCTTTATCATTGCTGGGTTTGAAACGGCGGAAGCCGGTGGTAACATGGCCAACCTCATGTTTACTCTCTGCCTCATTTTCTGTGGTGTCCTTGCCAACGAGAACAGCCTTCCCGGCTTCTGGCACTGGATGCTTACAGTTTCGCCGTTCCGATACATGATATCTGGAATGTTGGCGGTCGCGGTCGCGAACACGGATGTCGTCTGCGCGGACAATGAAATCGTCACTTTACAGCCCCTTGGCGGCACTTGCTTGGACTATCTGGGGCCCTATATCAACAAGGTGGGCGGGAGCCTTCTCAACGAGAATGCCACCAAGGACTGCCAATTTTGCACCATTTCGGACACGAATACATATCTCGCCGGCGTCAACAGCTACTACAGTGACAGATGGCGCAACTTTGGCATCCTCTGGATCTATGTCGTGTTCAACATTTTCGCTGCTCTATTCATTTACTGGCTGGCGCGCGTGCCGAAGAAGAATAGCCTGAAGAAAAAGAAGGAGGACAAGAAGAATGATGCCGAGGTGACTAAGGAGGCTGAAAAGGTGACGGAAAAGGAGAAGACTGAAATTTAGTGCCGCTAATACCGATCCAGTTCATTTTTGTCATTTTTGTCATTTTTCTATTAGTTATATATATATACTTTAGAGTTTTTATGACGAGGCTCGAGTCTCGCGGATTTGTTCCTTTATTTACACCTCTATAGAATCGCTCCTTATTCCTTGAATGTACTTGTCCTGCGAATTTTGTTGCCATTGCAGAATAAAAGAACAGGCGCCGCTGTCAGCGCAAGCCCGACGAATCCAAGCAAGCTGCTTGCCCAGTCGTAGCCCAGCCTTTCATACATTGGCTTGGCGGCCAGCGGCAAAAAGGCAGCAAAAAAGTTCTCACCAAATGCGACAGCCGCAATGGCACTAGCTGCAAAGGTCGAGTAGGAGTCTGTAATGTAGATGCTCGCCGAGTTGACAATAACCATGCTGGCGAAACCCACAAGCACCAGTCCAACCGCCGCCACAATCCAGTGCGGCTGGTATATGCTCCATCCGTACATGAACAATCCGCCGGCCAGCGCTACCGGGGTCGTCGGAATCGACAGGTGAAGGATAGCTTCCGGCACGGGCACGCCTGGGTCCTCGTCATTCCGTTGCGCGCTGCGTATGTAGATGGTGCGCTGGAGCAGGCAGGCCCCGAAGCCGAGAACCTGGCCGAGCCCGATGGCGCTCTGCACGAGGCCGCTCCGGTACGCCGGCCAGCCAAACGCGGAGCCGAAGACGAGCGGGATCGACTGCGTGGACAGAAACACGAGGCCAAAGGCAAAGGACGACCACAGGGTGAAGAGGGCGACGGCGGGCTCGGTGGTGAGCAGCACGGCGGAGCGCGTCGTCGCGGCGCGCAGCTCCTGCAGCGCGCCGTTGCCGCGCGGTTCCTCGTCGTCTTCGGGACAGCATCTGCGGCGCACCACCGACCCTCTGGTCTCTTTGAGAAAGATGTACACGATGGGGAATGAGGCGCCGCACAGGATGAGTTGAAGCCAAAATATCCTAACCCCCCCCCTCCGTGTTAGCAAAGAAAATTCGCGGCAAGCCAAAGTAGGGGGGGAAAAAAACTCACCAGCGCCAGTTTAGAGGCTCGCACACGGCGCCCAGCACCGGCCCCATGGTGACGCCAAACACGAGGCAGAAGACGTAGCCCGTCAGCGGCAGCACACGCGCGCGCGGGTCCGGCCACAGGTTGGCGGCGATGCCGTCAGCCGCGTTCTGCAGGGTGCCGGCAGCGGCGCCGGCGACGGCGCGGCAGCCGACGAGCGTGGCAAAGTTGGGCGCCAGCGCCTGCGGGATGAGAAGCACAGTAAAGAGGACGTAGCAAGCCTAAATATTCCCACATCTTTAGCTGACAGAGGGCATAGAACAAAAGGGGGGGGGCCTTACCAGGTACCCCCGGCGCACGCCGTAGGTGTCCATCAAAGGCAGCGTCACGAGCGGGACGAGCGCGGCCGCGGCGCTCCAGGCGGTGACGGCGAAGAAGTTGGTCTCGAGGAGGCTGCTGCTGCCGCCGAGGCGGAAGTCGGCGGTGAGGCGGTCGCCGGCTGTGGTGATGGATGTCGCGTTGAGACCGACGAGCAGCGTCACGAGCAGGGCGGTTGCCATGACGGCCCATTTCGCCCGGTCCGGCCACGAGTACGGGTTGCCGGGATGGGCGTCCCATTCAGAAGGGCGCTCTGTCATTTTGACTGCATTATGTGTCCAGGATTCAGAGTTGGTGGTTTGGAAAGCTGTTGCTCGCGTCTGGGCGTGCTCCACAGAAATGGGACTCTGGAGGACGCTAATTCCGTTCTAATATTAATTCATCATTAGAGCTTGGTCTGTATATTCCGTCCTTTTGGCCTTGACGTCATTTATTTGCGGCGCGGCAATCGCTGCTGGCATGGACTCGAGAGGAGGGCTGCGGCCAACCAGGAGGAGGACGGCCGGCAGCAACGCCGACAGTCGCAGGAAGTGCGGACATTGGGTCTTATTATATGGTAAGAAGATGAAGGATAAGTAGTAGGGTGGCCATCGCTAGGCCAATTGCCAAGCCGAGCCCAAATCGAGTACAACACATCTCTCAAAATACGACGACGGCAACTCTGTATCCACAACTTGGGCGACGCCTATACATCATTCCGCAACCTTGTCGATTCGATGTCACTTGGGTCACTTTTTCAATGTCTCATCTTTAGTTACATCTCGTCTTTACAACTGCGTCGTGACAGTTGATCTCCACAACTGACATCTATATGCTCGTCCAATTATGCAGGAGAGATCGGCACGTGGCGCCGCTAGACGTGGGCATTTACAGGGAATAATGAGGGCAATATAAGATGCCGTTGCAGGGGAGACATTTTCTATCCATCACGTGCATATATCCTTGCCGTCCCCCTTCAGCCTTGGGCATTCTCTTTCGTGTACCAACATGACACTTAAAGCCTTGGACGACGTGTATGCCCGTCCCCGCGGCATGCCTGCACAACTTGCCAACGGAGTGGTCATTTGATTGCTGAACATGGGCGGAAAAGGAGCGTCAAACCCCGTCGTCATGGTCTTCCAAGGACTCCTGTCACTCTTCCGCGGCGCTGGCCGTCGAGCTCTCCTCACCCGCTTCCTCCTGGCCCTCGTCCTCGCCGTGCTCACATACCAGCTCCTCCCCCACGACGCCAGAGTTTTTCTCCTCAGCCAGCCGACTTCTGCGCACTGCAGCGCCTCGCAGATCGCCGCCGACTACTCGTGCCGGGCCGACGACACCTCGCGCGCCGCCATCCCCAACATCCTGCACCTCGTCTACGTGCTGCCCGACCCCCTCGACGGCACCTTTCCGCTGCAGTTCAGCCACCTGCTGTCCGTCTACGCCGCGTGGCACCACTGGCAGCCCGACGCCATCTATCTGCACACCAACGCGGCGGCCAACAGCTCCGCGGTGCGCCGGGCGCGGAGCGGCGAGGCCGGCAAGTGGGCCCGGCGCTTCTTCGCCCTCCCGGGGCTCGTCGTCCACACGGTGGCGGTGCCGACGCACGCGGCCAACGGCGTGCGCATCGCGGGCATGGAGCACCGCTCCGACTTTGTGCGCGTCCAGGCCGTCCACGACTTTGGCGGCGTCTACATCGACATGGACGTGCACGCGCTCCGCAACCTCGCCCCGCTGCGCGACGCCGGCTACGGCGCCGTCGCCGGCCGCCAGACCGACGGCTGGCTCAACAGCGGCACCTTCATGTCGGCGAAGCAGGGGCGCCTGGTGGCGCGCTGGCGCGAGCGCATGCACGCCGCCTACGACGGCCGGTGGACGACGCACAGCAACGTTGCGCTGACGCGCGTCACCGCGGAGCTCGCCGCCGCGGAGCCCTGCGCGGTGCTGGCGCTGCGTCCGGCCGCGTTTGCGCCCGTGGGCTGGCGCTCTTTCAACACCGAGCGCCTGTTTGCGAGCCATTTCGAGCCGGCGCCCGTGTACCTGGAGCCCGACGGCAGCCTGCCCGCGTACCCGCAAGACCACGAGGAGCCGCGGGGTTCGCGCATGTCGTGGGCGCACGACTGGCGATGCACATTTCTGCTGCATGCATTCTCGCCCAAGAAGGAGAGGAACGGCGTCAGGGATAACGGCATCTCGCCGCGGTCCGTCGTCGAGAGGCGGAGCAATTTTGCGCGTGCCGTGTACCCGATGGTGAGGAACATGTATGCCAAAGGACTTGTAGATGAGGAGGATCTAGAGTTGACTAAACATGAATGACTATTAATACCCCAATGACACGCTTAAATAAGAATGAATAAGGACTATACTCATGGCACCGATACAAGTCGGAAAATACAGAGCTCCATGTAAGCATCAGGCAACTTCAAACATCTTGCCTGTACTGACATTGGCCTTTTCCCATTTCTTCCCGCTCACCAAGCAATAAACCAACCGAGCTGGCCATTGCACATGATAGAGCCACCAGAATGGCCAGGGATCCCACGCCTCAAATGTCCCGTCTTTCCAGTACAGTACATGATCGGTAAACAAGGCTACTTGAGAAAGCAGGCCCTTTATGCTGCCTTCACCGCGGCATATGATGTTATACGCCGGACAAAACAGCGTCTCCACCAGATCTTGTCCAAACCAGTAGTACCGCTGCACATGCTGCGGGTACAGGACTTTGCTGCCGCTGACGTCTGGGTCCAGAGCCGAGAGATAGAGGTTGGCCAGTTGCGGCGTATCCCTGAACAACACAACGGCCGTGTGCGCCCTCGGATTACACTCGATGGGGTATATCTGCCCTGCCTCGTCGGAGCCGTCACTCGAGGGGCGGACCATGAAATCGAAGCTCAAGTGCCCAGTGAAAGCATCTCCGGCGTGCTCCGCCACGGCCGAGGTGAATCGACGCATGGACTGACAGAGTGGTGAGTTTTGCGGGAGCGCTTCGTATCGCATCAAAAGATCGCTCGATCGACAGCCAACAAAAGCCCTGACTCGACCGCGGATGACCAATGAGTGTGTGCAGTACTCGTTGCCTTGGACGAATTCTTGCGCAATGTAGGACGACATGCGGAAACGGAGAGTGTCGATGCGCGACAGCGTCTGCTTCTCGGTTGGAAGCGGCAGAAGCGGCATGTCAAGTCTGGCTGCGTCGTCTACGCCCACGGGTTTGATCAGGTACCGGGTTGAACCCGGCTTCTGGACGAGCCCGCCGCGACTGACGAGAAACGAGATCAGGTCGTTTCTGTCCCGGATCTTATGGCTGTCGGGGACTTTGAGACCTTGGTTCCGCACGTAGTCAATAAAAGTATCTTTAGCGTCCAAAGTAGTTACCAGCTGCGCGTCGAATTGAATGACTCTCGTGGCAGTGAGCCGCTCAATTACATCCTTGGCGACGGAATCCTGGAAGGCGGACCCAACTCCGGATACAGACACCCACAGATCAATCTCCTCTCTCTTGGCAATGCGCACAAGAGCTTCCACGTAGTGCGACGTTTTGCCCAGCCGAGAACTCGGATTGGAAGCCGGGGCTGGTAAATGGTAAAACCTGCGGACAGCGCGCGACACGCGACCGCACGCCAAGGCGTCCACATCAGCTCCAATCACGGTATGCCCTTGTTGATGAAATAGACGCGCAAGAGCCAGACCCTTTGACATGGATACACCCGTGACTAGGATCGTTTTCTTTGACGCTGTAGGTTCAGGCTCGGCATGCTTGACAACGAAATGGTACAGACAGGTGGACAGTACAATCGCAGTCGTCCAAGGAGCAAGACAGAGACTGAGACAAAAAAGAAAAGAATTCTGAAAAATATGTCTGGCATAGCTTTGCTTCATAATTGCAATGAATTGAATGGGATGAGCGGATAAATACTGTATTCGTACACGTGGTAGATTTACTCCCATATATACGTGACAGACCGTAGATGTAGCTGTCATCGCGGCCTGACCGTTTCCTCACAAACGGCCTGTTATTTTTAGTCTACTCGCGAATTCAGAGGAACAGAAGCCAGACGAATTTATCGACCGATCGTTATAGCTGTGGATCTGGGTGCATAGCCGCACGATGAAAGCTGATGTCATTGACTCGCAGGCCGGTGAGAGAAGGAAAGCCACGCAAGAAAATCTTGGTGCTTATATATAAAGGGTAAATGAAGAAAAGCAAGTAAATAAGTAACTTTAAAAAGGAGTATGTGCCGATAGTCTAGGGATAATAAAGAAAATAATAAAAAATAACAGGAAGACAATAATATCAGCAGCCGTTGGTTTTTTTTAACACCTTGGTGACTAGTTGTACTAAACTTAGAAAATGTCAAACTCAATTATTATTAGACCATTTTCAGCAAACGCTACTTAATACAGTAAACCATGAGCTATAATACTATCTCTGCGAATTAGAACGGTTTACAAGGGGGGATTGTCCGGTCCGATGCATATAGTGACCTCGACGCCATCCTACCGAGGAGTTAGTATCTACAGAAACCACAGGCCCTGGTCCTGAAACTCACCGGAATCCCAGTCGGCTCGAAACTCGGAATCAGTTCGCTCTCGTACACCAGATTCGGGTCCCCGCGCACCGCGCCGTCGGCCGCCGAAGCGTACGCCCGGTTCTTGCTCTCCACGTCGCTGCGCACGTACGCCAGGTACGGCGGGTTGCCCGGCTTGACGACATTGTCCGCGACGAGCAGCGTGCCGTTGCGGACGAGGCCGAGCTGCTCGCACAGCTGCAGGTCCGGCAGGTACGACGGCTTGTGGTGGTCCAGGAACAGCAGGTCAATGTGCGCCAGCTGCGACGCGGCGTGCAGCGCGCGCAGCGAATCGTCGCTCGGCCCGACCGTCATCTGCACAAAGCCGCCGAGCCCCGCGAGGTCAATCAGCGAACGGGCGATGCCGGCGAACTCGACGTTGCGCTCCAGGCAGTGGTACGCGAGGCCGCCGGCGGCGCGCGCCGCGCTGCCGAACAAGATGGCCGAGTACCCGACGTAGCTTCCGAGCTCGACCTATGATTTGGGTCACTATATGAAAGGGCTGTCGGCAGTGCTGGGCGGCTTGTACCATGACTTTCGGACGGGTCTCGCGAATCAGCTTGGTCACGATGCTTCCCTTGTCCTCCCCCACATTCATTAGATACTTTTCTTGGCGTCCAAACTCGTCAATGGCAGCGAGGACCCTCTCCGGGGAGCCTATCAACGAGTCAATGTCTTTGCGCGATTGGATGTGGCGCAGTAGCTGCGCTTCTCGCCCGTCGTTGAAGTACACCTGCTCCTGCTGGGCATACGCCTTGGATGGGTCGAAGGTGTTGAGCGTGGACATGGTAGGAGAGATATTCAAGTTGGTAGAAAGAAGAAAAAAAAGAAAAGGAATGACAGAAATAGACGCGTCGGGCATATTAGGCGTTGCTTGTTGGCGCGTTTGTTCCCACGCCCGTTTGTCACCACGATTTTCAGTGCCGTCACTCACCACTTTGCATCGACAAGGCCGTCCCTACATATGAATGACGCGTACATTCCGCACCCTTCTCGATCCCTGGTGATTCAAGTCCATTGCGATATCTCTCAAAAGAGAAATCCGTCAGCATTCGGGAAGCCAGTTCGAATTTCGAGATCGGCATCCGGTCCACACCACCCGTTTTCACGCCACATCGATTGACCTGAGACACGGCTTGATGACGGGTTGATTTTCGGGGTCATTCCTATTCACCACTGTTGCGCAGATCTTGGAAGCTCATTTATTCACGCTGATGTGTGGAAACATGGCACAAGCTTGTGATCGGGTCTTCAATGGCGCACCCATCAGCGGTCCTGGGTAGGTTGCAGAGAGCCGTGCAGCTGTGCCGCACGGTGAGGGGTAGAGCAGCAGTTCAATATCAGACCAAATATTGGACGAGTCCGGTGGTGGCGATCTGTATCGTGGTCCTGTTCCAGATGCCAGCCTTGCGATTCTCGCACTTCGAATGGCTTCCATCCATCGTTTGGCGCCAACCTGATAGGTGCTCGCACGTTTGAGCAGCAGGTACGGGTTACATGCTTGGCTTTTAAAAGCCAACCCTTGCACTCAGTAACCAGAGTACTCATCTCAAAGTTTGTCAACGACCCAGCCCAGACAAAAATAGATCACAGCATGTCCGACTTCAGGGCAACCGTTGAGCCGACGCCCAACGGCTTTGCCGTGTGCGGGTACGAGAAGATTGAATACGACTTTGAGTTTCTCGACGGCGTCTTCCACGTCGCCAACCGACAGCTGGCAGACTGCTACGTCCCGTGGAGACGCTGCCTGGCCATCATGGACCTCAACATCTCCAACCTGTACGGGGAGCAGATCCGGCAGTACTTTGACCACTACGGGATCGAGCTCCAGGTGCACAAGACCATGATTGGCGAAAAGGCAAAGAGCATGGAAACGATGCTCAGCATCGTCGACTCCATGACCGCGTTTGGCGTGTACCGCAAAGAGCCTGTTCTGGTGGTCGGCGGCGGGCTCGTCACCGATGTTGCCGGGTGAGTTTTGCGATGTTGACAAAGCCTCCGAAAACAAGGGCCCTCAAAAACTGAACAAATCCCCCGACCAGCTTTGCCTGCGCCGCCTATCGTCGAAGCACAAACTACATTCGCGTCCCGACCACCCTCATCGGGCTCATCGACGCCTCCGTCTCCATCAAGGTCGCCGTCAACTACGGCAACTACAAGAACCGCCTCGGTGCCTACCACGCCCCGGCCAAGACGTTCCTGGACTTTAGTTTCCTGAGGACCCTCCCGGAAGCGCAGATCCGCAATGGGTTCGCCGAGCTAATCAAGATATCCTCGTGCGCGCACAAGGAAACGTTTGACCTCCTCGACCAGTTTTGCGAGGAAATCATCAGCACCGCGTTTGGCAGGCTCGGATCGTCTGGTGCCACCGTCAGGGACACCGCGGACAAGATCTGCCGAGCGGGCATCTACGAGATGCTCAAGCTGGAGACGCCCAACTTGCACGAACTCATGCTCGACAGAGTGATTGCCTATGGCCACACGTACGTAACTAATGTCACCTTTTACACCTTCATGTCTAATCATGTTGCAGATGGTCACCCATCCACGAGCTCGTGCCAGACCCTCCTCTCCGCCACGGCCATGCCATCTCCGTCGACATGGCCTTTTCCGCCACGCTGAGCTTTCTCCGCGGCCATCTCTCCCAAGCCGACCACCTGCGTCTCCTCCGTCTGTTCTCGCGCGCCGGTCTGACCATGGACCACGCCGCCTTTGACGAGCAGCTCCTCGCGACCGCCACGGCCGCGATCCTCAGGACGCGCAACGGACAGCTCCGCGCCGCCGTGCCCGTGAGCCCGATGGGCGTGTGCGTGTTCCTCAACGACGTCACCCACGAGGAGATGTGCGCCGCGCTCAGGGCCCACAGGGACCTCATGAAGGAGTTTCCGCGTCACGGCGCCGGTCTGGACGCCTATGTGGACGCGAGCGACACGGGGTACACGCTGGACGGAACGCCCATTGAAGCCATGATGCAGGAGCTAGAGTCCAAGGACGACCAGGAAAATGCCCTGGCAGCGCAGGAAATGCTGCCGCGGGCTGCGGACCTTCCCGTCCAAGCGTAGTGCAAAGTGGCAGTCTACTTGTTATTCTATGGCAAAATGATGTTAAGAGCTTTACTTGATCATTCTTGGATGTTGTTTATTCATGTTGGTGCCAAATGATTTGATGAGCACCAAATTTGTTCATAGCCCTTCTAGCCCTCGTACCTTTTTTCTAGAGACTGATTGCTTGTGAAAGCTCTCTCGCTTTCTTTACCACACCTACTTATATGGTAGAGGGTACGTTCAGAGGAGGCCATGTCCAACTGTCTTCGATCGCAATGGAGCGGCGACACTTTTCGAGAACTGCATAATCATGAAAATGATTCAGCAAGAGGACGCCGAAATGGTTTTGGTGGGAAAGATGGCCCGTTCTTCTCCGAATGGCCTTGTACATGTCCTGCTGGAGTTCTTGGGGGAAGGGCACCTCCCAGTACGGCGGCCTATTTGCCATGTAGTTCAGCAAGTGATTGCACATCATGAATCAATGTACAGACTACAGGGATGGGCAAACGGATAAGATTGATTGGTAGCGACATATATTTGACATACATCTACATATATAAGAGGGATATAACAAAGCCAATATTCTTTTCCTAACAAACTCCACGCTAAAATGCAATCATATAATGCCAGATGTCGTCTTCATCGGCTATTTCCCACAAAACAAGATCTTTCCGGTAAATCCTTCTTGAATCTAGCCAGTTTGTATCATCTGCAAAGATAGCTCTCTTTAAGTCTTTTTTTCGTTTCAAAAATCGTCGCCGTCGCTGTCTGTGGCCGTGGCGTCCTCGAGCACATCATCCTCATCGTCCATGTCATCGCTGTCGTCGCTGTCCTCATCCGCATTCAGCCCCGGGACCGACTTCCAATGGATATAGTCATTGTCGAGCCAGCGTTTACTGACCGGCAGCTGGTACGGGTCAAAGGGAAAGTACGAGTCGAGCTGGTGGAAACTCTCGCCCTGGCCTTCATGGCCGGCGTCGCGAAGCGCGCCCCCCGTGGCGTACGTCGCCGACAGAAACTGCGTGAGGCGCACACGCTTGTTGCTCTCGACAAGCGGGTAGACGTACATGAAGTTGAGGCGGTGGGCAAGCCTGGCGAACTCTTCGACAATGACGGGCGCGCACACTTTAAGTGGGTTCAGCTTGCCAAAGATGTGTACCGAGAGGTCCTTGCGTGTGCTGCCGATCCACTCGAGGTCCTGGCCAATGTACGAGGCCGCGTCGTCAGCGTCGACGGCGTCGGGCGCCGCCACGACAAGGTCCTGCCAGCGAAAGCAGAAAATGTACAGCGTGGCCTGTACCAGGCTGTAGTAGGGGTGGAAGCGCTTCAGGTCGGGGCCTCGGCAGAGGGGCTCGTACTTGCGGCGGTACTGTCCGAGGTGATGCAGGAGCAGTTCAAAAATGCTGCGCACCAGGTCACGCGGCACTTGGGCGCCGCGTGCGACGAAGCTGGCGAGGTATGCGGCAGCAGCCTGCTTCAGCACGTTGGGCGTGTTGCTCTGGAAGGCCGTGGCGATGAGCTGGCCGCAAAGCGCATCCGTAAGGCGCGAGTGTTGCTGCGCAAAGTGGAAGATGAGGAATTGTGTATGGCGCGATTTATAAGTAGGGAGAACCAGTTGGTCAAACTCGCGAAGGATAATAGTAAAGGCGTCAAAGGCCATGTCTGAGCCTGGGTTCAGGAAGAAGGGGGTGTAAAACTTGAACAGAGTGTCGAGAACGGCGTCCATCTTCTCGACATTTGCCTTAACTGTTTTGATCCTTGTGGCCTCCTGGTCAAAGTCCTGGTCGTCGCTATCGACAGACTCATTGTCACTCTCATCCAGCTCGTCCTGCTCCCAGCTGGAGGTGTGTAAGTTCTCGTCCAGTGCAAACAGCACAGCGTTGGTGACTTCATCGTCAATGTCCTCGAGATCCAGTTGCATTTGTGAGTCAATTTTGACGACGCGGTTGAGTATAATATCGAGAATTTCATCTTGCAGCTTGGGGATATACTCCCTGACCTTGAGCAGGTTGTTGATGTACGCCATGTGCGTTTGCACCGAGTCATCCGGGTAAGGGAACTTGCCGCTGAGCTGGTTCTCGAGGACGCCGACCGCCGAGGGGAACATTTGCAAAAGATACTGCACCGTCGCGTGCAGCCTCTGGCGCATGGCATCGCGGGTAACCTCTGGAAAGTCGGGGACGCACCAGTGAGACTGGCGCGTCAGACGAAACTTGTCCACGAGCATGGACAGGACGGCGCCCAGGTAGGAGCCCTGAGCGCTGACGAGGGCGGCGAGGAAGTGCGTAAATGCCTTGACAAAGGCGTCGTCTCTGCCGAGCCACGAGCACTGCAGGATAACGCGCACGAGGCCATTGCACTCCCTGCTCTTGAGGATGGGCATGCAGCTTGTCAGGGCCATTACGTAGACCTGCAGCTCGTGCGGCTTGAGGGTGTCGTCCGCCTCGCCGACGACGGGGGGCAGGTAGCGCTGCTTGTCGGTGGCGAAGATGTCCTTGAGAGTGTCGTACTGGCCGTCATGGCCGCGGAGGTGGCCCTCGAGGGCGGTCCGCACTTCCAGCTTGACCTCATCCATTGTGCGGCGGCCCCCCACCTCGTATGTAATGTTACGGATGTCGTCGAACAGAACTTTGCGTCGCTTCGTCGGGGTTTCGGGTGGTTCGAGTCCGTCGGAGCTCGCCTCAGGCAGGTGCTTGCGGCGGCCCAGGACGGAGGTCGTCTTGAGAATCGACTTGACCGGCGTCGGGGTCTGCGACACAGCGCCAGGCAACACTCTGGCGGCTGGCGAAAATGGTCGCATGAGGCAGGTAATTGTATCAGATGTATGGTTCGCTTTTGCCTTTCTATTTCTTTCGGCCGCGAATACGTCGTGCGACGCTGGGCTCCCTTGGCTTGCGTAGCTGCGGCGAGCTGTGAGTTTTCCCCAGCAACCGTTCAGGCGGCTAAGGTCTAGGCATGTAGAGAGTCACTGCGTTTAAGAGAGGCCAAGTATATGATATCATAGTAATAGTAGCAGTCAGCGAGTCTATAGCAGATGCTTGCGCTGTGCATTTATCCCAGAGCGCTGTTAGGCGATGGAAAGAGAGAGACTGGATGCAGGGCAAAAAGTGAGATGGCGGAGACGCTCTAACGGCGAGTCTGAAATTTTGCTGTCATAATTTTTTTTGATGGAAAGTGGGGCCATGCACGTGCCCTTCCGGGACAAGATGGTCCGTGCACAGGGGAGCATTGACGACATTGACGACGCCTCTCGAGATGGAAATTTATAGATTGTGTTAAAGGCAACGTCCTATGATGAAAATATGATCGTATGCCATTATTTCCTTTCTGCTCTTAGGGCTCGGACTCATTAGTACACGTCAATAACAATCACAGGCTGCACTTCCAGAGCCTCCAGCTGCTGCCTCCTGTACTCTCAACACACATGCACTGGTTATAAATCTGTAATAGACGCTTGAAACCCTTCAACATGCCAGAGCAATCGCTCACTCTTTGGCAAGTTCTATCCTGTATTTTGAGTTTTGGGTGGCTTCGACACCTGGCAGTGGTAGCTATCCCCCTCACTCAGCCAAGCCACCGGAGTGTCAACGAGATCTATTGTATAGGAAGCCGGTGTGGAAGCCAAGCTAACGGCGCAAAGTAGACAAATCATAACAAGAAAACCCACGGCAGTAGCAAACAAAGAAACAACATCGAGCGCCGCGTTCTTGATCTGTTCTCCCAACCAAGACAACAAAGGTATCCCAATTCTGGTGGCAGCAAATGTTGCCGCCATACAAGCCATATTACAGGTCGGCCACGTCTCACTAGAGCGAGCCAGCGTTCTAGTAAGCGTCCCCAGATCCGCCGGCCGCAGCGGATCCATTATGCGCGGTGCCACTGGAGCTGTACATGTAGTTGGGATCGCCCGATGCCTCGGCGCTGCCTGCACCCTCGGCAAACTCCCCAGCGCCGGAACCAGCGGGGCCAGCGCTCTCGGGTCGGTCGCCGCCTGCTACTGAGCCACCCCACGGGATGTTCTCCGCGGCACGCTCACGATTGGTGGCATTTTGTTGCTGTCAACAAGTCAGCGGTTGCTTGGCTCCGGCGATGCCTTGTCTCTTACCTCTCTGTACTTGGAAAGATACACCTTGAGCGCCTCGGCGTAATTCTCAAAGCCTAGCGATGTCATGGCGAAGAGAATATCTTCTCCATTGACAGTCTTGCGCTTCTCCTGCTGGCATTTCTCCGAGGCTATACAACGTCAGCTCGCTGCTAAAAGTGAAGCGCAGAGATGCGGCGACCTACCTTCACTGGTGATGAAAGAGATGAACTCGCTAACACACTCCTGCATGCACTCCTTTGCCTCTTTGGCGATTTTGGCATTATCAGGGAGCGCATTCTTCATGATACGGGCGACTGGGGTAAAGGGTTAGCACAGGGCAGCTCCACATGGTTGAGCCAAAGCTGGGGCCGTACCATTGGCAATGGGCAGCCATCTGTCTTGTTCCTTGACGCCGTCAAAGTCGTAGGCGGTGGGATCCTGGGAGTCGTCCATTTGTCCCTCTTCTCCAGGGGATTGAACATGTTGCTCGGCATCCTTGGGAGGCGACTGGGCGGGCTCCGACATATTTGGCTGTTTTGGGGGCTTGGCAACGGCGACCCTCAATCACAGACTTTTCGTCTCGCGCAACGATTGGGCTGAGACACGACTGGCTCCGGCTGGGAATTCCCTATTACCACGGGGTCGTAGGCTGGAGCTTCCAGGTTCAGTCAGAGGGAGGGGGGGTGCGGGTCGGAATCGGGTTGGCTGACGAAGCGAAGAGGGCTGCGTCACTGTGAGAGACCGGGTCAGTACAAGGTGCGCTGATTTGCATTAGTCTCTGGAAGCAGGGACCGGCGGCTCCGGGTCCTCGGAGCACGGTTGACAACGGGTCACGCCAGAGAACGTAATGGGGGGACGAGGAGTGGTATGGAAAACCACGTTGGGTTTCCAAGCCGCAGAGGATGGAGGGGGAGGGAGGGGTGGGAGGGGTGTTGGGAGCGAGCCATGTGCTGGCGCGCGCGCGCCCACAACAAATGGTTTCGGCACACCGGCGATTGCATCGCGCCAAGCCGGCAGGTGGTGACAATGACGTTGTGTAGGGGTCACGGCTGTTTCGTACCTCGAAGCTGTCGTTTGGCGAAGGCGAACGCGGGCGAGGCGTTGAGGAGAGAAGCGCGCGTCGAGGAGCGGCTGGTTCGCAAACGGTGTTGTTTTGAAAGCTTGCTGCGGCGGGCGGGGAGTCTCTGCTGGGTCGAGAGGATATGCGCAGGGCTGCAGTGCACAGTGGTATGGACGGGGAGGGCGTGCGCCTGGGGATCAAGAAGCAATCAATTGATGCGCAACGCAGGGTTAGAAGGGAAAAGGGTCGCGGAGGATTGAGCGGCGACGACTGCAGGATGCATACGGCAAGGTGGAGTTGCTGGGGAGGCGTGGAGTGGCTTGTTTTGGAGGAGCCTAAATAAACCCGAGGGCAATGATGTCGCTGTTCCAGCGTCTTTGGCTTGCATATATTTTGTGCTTTTCGATAGTAGACGTTTTTTATTATTTTGAATTAGCAGGGATGCATTGGAACCTTTTTTTCACTGGAAATAGCCACAGGTCGGTTGCAGCTCTGTAAACAGCCCTTACCAAGCCCCGTTGTACCATCGCCTCGGTACTCATTCCGCACTGTGGCTGTTGCCGTGGCTGGTTGGGCTGCTGGTTGCTCTCTCGGCCCCCCACCGTTCCTCTTCCCTTTCAACGCAGCATCAGCATCAAATACCTGCATACTCTAATCTACGTGTTTCTGAATGCCTCTTGTCAACTATTATCCTCAAGTAAATCACGCCTGCAAACAGCTACCCAGACAGTGATGTGACTGGCTGGCAGGCCCAGCACACCAGCTTGATAGTCCCTTGCGCCCGCACAGCAGCCACTGCCAGCACAACAGGACCGATATCACCTAACCGCACGGCATACCAGAGCATCACACTCTCGCTCCCACAAGCAACGCATTTTCCGCCCCAAACCGATGCACCTCTTCATCACTCGCGCATTAACTGACTACTACCGCTGCCGTCTTGGCGTGTCCCGTAGACGACGGAGCAAAGTACCCACATTCTGGCCGCCAACTCCCAAGCAATGCCGTCCGTTTCGCACCTCGCCGAAGAGCGGTGTGCCTCTCCACGAACTCCCGGCAGACTGTTCATGCCAGCTCTTTAAAATTCCTCATCCATTCTGCTCTTTTCTCACGAGTACCTGTGCATTAGCGTCCACGCACCGTGGTCAATCTGCCCGCTTCCCCGGCGCCAACGCTTCAGTACGTCGCACCGCATCTGCTTACATCGGGCACCGTGATGTTTGGCAGCCGTCCATTGACTTGTATGCAGCATGCAAGCCACTTGAAAATTTTCCAACCCATCGCTGCACTTTTTCGTGATTTCCTTTGAAAATTTTGTTTCTATTCCGCTTACCTTCGTCATCACAATCCATCTGCATCTCGTCGCTCCTCATCTCAGCACGGCTTGGCTGACAACGCACGATTTGACCCGTCAGGCTGACCTTGGGCCGCATTGCATCTCGCACACGTTGAGGGCTGTGTATGTGGCTGGCTTATCATTAGCCCTGTAAATTATAAACGCTGCAGCTTGTGTGCCGTGGACACCGATGAGCCTCTGTGATTATGTCACGTACTCCGTAACTGACAGCCACGGCGTGCGTCTGCCCTGGCTCTATCGTACAGGTGATGTAATAATGCAGGCAAGTTATTTCATCACACCGCGGCCAGTGAATTCAAATCAAGACCCAACAAAATCGAGACAAGCCATGCTTGTGTAATTCGTAGGCAGCAGCAACTCCTCTGTCAAGGATGCTCGCTTATGAGTCGAACGATGCTGTTCTGTCAACATTCTAACCATTTCCATCATAAGACGTCGACAATAATGAGGCAGGTTTCCAGTGCTGTTTACTGAGAGTTTCGTTGTAAAATGCAAATTCATTATCGTATAATCCCCTCACGTATTCTATTGCTGTACAACCTGCACATTGTTCTTCTTCTACAACAAAATTAGCTTCTGTTCTTGACGACCCATCTGGTCACATCCAACATCACATACCTTCCACATATCGAGCTCATCCTGTTTCGTCTTGTAGTTCTTTACCAGATCATCCAGCACCTTCTTCAGGCCGTCTTGATTTGTCTTCAGCGCAGGGACAATATCCTTGACGGTTCGCTCCACAAGGACGCCGTTGATGAGTCGGAAGCATTTGCGATCTTCTTGCAAAGGCTCGATGGTCTCGAGTACGAGTCTAAATCGGTGACGCTGCCGTTAGTCTCATCGGTTTCCATCACGCAGACGTTGGACGCGATGGCGGGGTCATCACTCGCGAGATGCCTTGATGCAATCCCCATGCACGCGGCACTGCAAGCATAATAAATGTACGTACTTGTGCTCTTCGGCTTCCTGCTCAATGTCTCCGATTTTTTGGGCAATTTGCTGCAGCATATTCTTGAAGTTGGAATATTGAACTTGCAGGTCTACACCAGGTTAGCGTAGCTCCTCAGAGCGCGAACGAGGTGCTGGACACCCCGCCGAACAACGTACCTTGCTGCTTCTTGCCGGATACCTGGGGCTGGGCCGACATGATGAATAGCGACTTGTTGTCCTTAAACAGTCCTGGGCGATGCGATAAACCGGCAAAGGGCGCGGCTGTATGTGTGCTTTAGCGTGATAAGTTGTGGTTGTCAGTGGTTCGTGGATTTTAGGCTTAGCCCCAGCTTTTCTGCCAACTGGGAGCTTTGGTGGTGACAAAACATTAACATCGTCGAAATTACACAGAACACAAGATCATGATATATATTATATAGAAAATAAGCTCAAGTGCAATTCATTTTCTTTCCTCCCTCGGACTATCCCCATTTCACTTTTTATGCTTGATTTTTTTAATCGGAAGTACTCACCAGCCAAGCGCCTATGAGCAGGTGTTTTGTCAGCCGCAGGTGGCGTGGTCGTGGTGCGCCATCGGCCCAGCAGTCTGGGGCCTAGAAACTTTGGACCAAAAATACCACACGAAACCCGACTCCAACAACTCTTCCAGCCAGAACAATAACGAAACATGCATCCTCATCTCCATACCAAGAACGCTCTAGGTACGGCGACCGATTTTGCGACGTTTATCTGCGTGATTGACTAACGACGGATGCTACAGCGTGCGAGGAAATCATCGCCCAGCTCGAGGAGTGCCATGCAAAGGGCTTCATGCACAAGGCAGCCGGCGGGTGCAACGATGCTAAAGAACTGGTAAACCGGTGCCTGCGAGCCGAGCGAACCAAGATGCAAGCCGACAACCGAGCCGCGGCGCGGGCGAAGCGCGACAAGATCAAAAAGGCCCAAGAAGAACTCGGTCTGTAATGGCGGAACCGGCTGCGCTCGCCGCGGACAGTGTACGATACGGAGAAGAATAGAGACGGTGGAGGAATTTGATTCACTACCGAAATACGGGACAAACTGTACAATAATGGATGGCGTTCATCTGGGCCAATTCGGTATGGGAGCGTTTGAGAGGAGACTTTATCATTGGTATATTTATACATGTTGACCAACTGTCCATACACCACGATGCAATCTGATACAACTGCATAGACTCCGAAACACACGCTTAGGCAGATTTCTTGAGGGCGCTGCCAAAGGTGACGGCACCAAACGTGGACAAGACACTCAGCAGGATGGGGACGGGCTTCTTGAGACGGATGGCGCGGGGAATGGACGCACCGCCGAGGACAACCGAAGCGAGAAGGCTCAGCTCAACGCCATAGGGCTGGCGGTTCTGGATGCGATAGCCACCGAGGGCGTCTGTTTCGGAAAATTAGTTCGTTTACGCAGAAGCCGCGTGTGGACGGCTCCGCGCACGCAGAGCGCAAAACCGGGACTACAACACGTACAAAGGAGACCGACGGAGCAGCCGGCAATGATGGACGGCATGGAGCGTGTCTTGGCGTAGCCCATGATGCCGCCGCCGGCCGTCAAGGCGGCCAGGATAAAGGAGGTGTACTCGAGCTGGGAGGACTGGACCGGCAGCTTTGTGTCAGCGACGACGAGCGGCATGTTTTCCGACGAGCGGGGGGGGGAGCCGGATGTCAAATGTGAGCTGTGCTTGCACATACCATAGTGGCGATACCAATCAAAATGGTCGTTTGTGTGGGAGTTGAGACTAGCAGTTTCTGCTGATAGAATTATGCAACAGCGCTCTTGCGATCGTGAAGCCGAGCTCCCGACCTGCTAGACTGACGACATTCGGCTGGCTGTGGGTCTGTCCAGCGCCGCCGCCCGCCGACAAGATCCCCCAAGGTGGGATGGCGCTGCAGCCAATCACCAGCCGCGCTCCTTGGAGCTGTCGTGTCCGGTACCTGTCCTCTGCTTCACCCTCCAGCATCTCGACAACTCACAATCGTTTGTACAATCGCCGACCTCGCCATTGCCTTTTTTTCCCCTACCGAATCCCCACCCATCGTACTTCTCGCGCCAAATCTCCACCCCCTTCTTTTTTCCTCTCCCGGCTTTTGGACAATCTCCTCGTCATGGCTCCCAAGAAAAACGCCGCCGCTGCTGCGGCCACGACAGCAACGGAGAAGCGACCCGTCACCCCGATCGCCCCCTCGGCTGCCGCCGCCGCCGCCGCGAAGCGCTCATCGACGGCAAAGGCTGGTGCTACCAGCTGGGACGTCGTCTTCCAAAACATCTACAGCCACTACGTCAAGGAGACGGCGCAGCGCACCAAGCTGATTGACGTCTTCCTGGCCTTCCTCGTCTTCGTCGGCGCCCTGCAGTTTGCCTACTGTGTCCTTGCTGGCAACTATGTATGTCTCCGCGCAACCCAAGCTTCTAGCTCCTAGTTTGTACGCAACAGCCTGCTGACGGTTTGCTCAACAGCCCTTCAACGCGTTCCTCTCTGGTTTCTCCGCCGCGGTTGGCCAGTTTGTCCTTGCCAGTATGCCAAACCCTCCATAGCAATGGTCGCCCCAAGTCTAAAACGATAGCTAACGACGCCAGTCTCTCTCCGCATTCAAACAGCAACGACCGACAAGACCGAATTCCCCTCCGTTTCGCCAGAAAGGTACGACTTCCATACTGCCCTTGATACTGCCCTTGCACACGACTCTGTGATGCTAACCAATCGACAGAGCCTTTGCCGATTTCGTCGTTTGCAGCCTGATTCTGCATTTCTTCTGCATCAACTTCATCAACTAAAGGGGAGATTCTGGCCTTGAAAGGCGGTCAACGAAAATAGCGAGCTAGATATCGCCGGGCTGGCGCATAAATGTATTATAGGCGATGATGGTATTCTACACCTGGCAACAAAATAACAGCACATGCATAAGCAAGTGGGGGAGAACTCCTATCATGAGCGTCTTGACTGCCCGTCAATCATGTGAATCTATTCATGCATCAATTTCCGCAGCCGGTGCTGACGTTTGCGCTGGGCCTTTCGGCGGCCCTTCTCCAGCCTTTGGCGGCGGAGGGACGGCAGCCGGTGCTTCTCCAGCCTTGGGAGGCGGCGGGACAGCTGCCGATTTCGTAGCCGGCGCATTGTCTAGTTTCCGGCTCTTTTCCTCCTCTTCCTTGAAGTAGTCGTCCATCAGGTGATTGTTTGCATGTGCCGGCTTCTCCTTCTTCTTGCCAGCCCTTGGCGGGCCAGCCGCAGGCGACGCTGTGCGGTCCACCAGCTGCGCCGGCACCAAAAACGACCCGTCCCCTCCCTCCTGCGCCGCCGCCGCCATGGCCTGCTTCTCATGACCGCCATCGAACATGGTCTCGCCGGGGGCGTCGACGGGCTCGTTGAGCGGCGCGGGCAACCGGTGCAGCGCGCCGTAGCCGAGCGTGCAGCCAACGGCGCCGTGGCCGCCCCATTCGCGGCTCGGCTGTATCGTCACCTCGCGCGTGACATCATACTCGTTATTATAGACGTACAAGCGCAGCGGGCGCGCGAGAAAGTCCTCGACGAGCTCGCCGAGCGCCGACTCGCCGTGCAGCGCGCCCTCGGGGCTGCCCAGGATGTAGTCGCTATAGGGGAGGAGCCCCGCGAGGTCGGCGGGGGAGTTGGCCGGCACGTCGAGGACGTGCCAGATATTGGCGGCGAGGGCGAGCGGCGCGTACTGCAGGGAGAGGCCGAGCGAGGCCGTGTCGGTGGGGACGGGGATGTGCATCTCTCTCGTTCGTTGGCCCTGGAGGACGGGCGGGGGTCAGCGGAGGCAATGGGACACGGAGGAGGGAGTTTGTGAGGGAGCACATGCCTTGGCGCTCCAGATACCGAGGGATACACTGCCACCGGCGCAGTTTCGTACTTCTTGGGCAAACAAGCTTGGGTCCGCATTGTCCTGGCCGGAGCTGTTAGCAACCCTCGTCGTGCCGCACGAGGCGCGGCGTGTGGTGGCTCACAATCGGACGCCCGTTGATGCCGACAACAAAATCGAACCACGGCTCGACGGCCAGCTGCAGGTTGGTATTGCGCAGCACCTGGAAGCCAAACGACCCTTGGTCTGACTGGCCGTGCTGCGCGTCACCACCGTCCAGGCGGGACATGAATCGGTTGAGCGCGTTGAACATGGTGGTGCGGCCGCTTGCGGCAGTCGATCCTATGTGTCTGTAGATGGTTTATGCGTTATGCTCGGTTCGGAGGTTTCTCTGTGTGGATGGGAGTGCGCAGGTGTGAATTGGGGTTGGATGAAGCTCCCTGGTCGCCAGTTGAAGCAAGCTGGCCCGTTGCTACACTGGGTGGCGCGCTGGTGGTGGAGCTCGTGGCGCTGGTGAAGGGCAACTTTTACACATGTCAACTCTGATTGCGATAACAGAAACAGAGCACTAGCCAGCAGTTATTCATATCATACTATTACATCACATTTCCTCATACGCCCGCTTTGTGTCATGGCCAACTCGGCCGAGCCCGGTGGCGACCAGCCAGTTTACGATTTTGAGCCTGCGGGCTGGATAGAGCTGACAGATGCCTGCCATCACTACGAGGGTAAACACGAAGTGCCGTGGGATATCCAAAAGTAAGACGACGTGGTCGTTTTCCATGACTTTTGATTAACAGCATTTTCAGGTACTTTTCACAACGCTACTCCATTTTTTCCTACTACGATGAGGGCATCTGCATGACTGACGATGCTTGGTTTGGTGTGACACCAGAGCCCATTGCAAAGTGAGTGACGATTTCAGACTATTTTGCTGTTCTCCACGAATTTACGTTCTGACAGTTGGGAAGCAAAATCGCCGAAGAGATGAAGTCGTATCCCAAACAGAAAAGGATCCTGATTGATCTCTTTTGCGGCGCCGGCGGCAACTCCATTGCATTTGCGTTGACAGGCAGATGGGATCGCGTAATATCCATTGAGCGCGACGCGGCCACCCTCTCATGCGCGCAAAATAACGCCAGCGTCTACGGCGTGGACGACAGCTACATAACCTGGGTGCATGGCGACAGCTTCGCGTTTCTCAGGACGCTCTTCAACAACCCCTCGGCGCTGCATCCCGATCTCCGAGTCGACACTGCTGCCACCATTCTGTTTGCCAGCCCTCCCTGGGGCGGGCCGGGCTATTCGACAGACGAGGTGTTTAACTTGGACAACATGCAGCCGTATAGTGTACAGGATTTGCATCAGGCGTACAAGCCCCTCGACCACGTCTTGTTTCTGCCGCGCACCAGTGACCTGAGGCAGCTGGCAGCGCTTGCTCCAGAAGATAAAAGGATTGACATTGTGCAAATGTGTATGGAGGGCGCGAGCAAGGCTTTGGTCGCATATGTGCCTGGGCGAGGGCTGTAGAGGCATGAAATGCGGGAGTTTGCGCGTTCGATATCCCTTATTTGATAGTCCCATGGTTTACTATAATTGCTGTCTCTCGAAACTTAGCGTTACTTTACATTTTCAATTCCATGCAGAGCGACGGGCAGTGGTGATATGGCGAGCGAGCCAGGCAATGGCGGCGCTGATGCCTACAATATCTGACGTCTTGATAAGATGTAATACGAACCAATTGTATTAAATGACGAAATACTCTTCAATACAGAGTTCATTATGTACCAATTGTAAAATCGCACCTCTGCTTTGACCGTTGTGGTGCAGTTTGGTACTTGTCCCCACAGGCCCTCATTCTCACAAGATGAAAATCACTGAAATCTTCACTCACCCACAAGTGCAGTCTTATAAATATTCGGCCCCTTACACAGGGCAATACCACCAAAATGGTCAAAGACAAGAAAAAGGGCAGCGACTCCAAGAAAGCCAAAAAGGTGAGTGCTCAGCCGCTTTCTAAAAGAACGTGATATCAATATTCAAATGACGTCTAATGCAGGGGCTTTCAACAGGCTGAGAAGCAGGCCAAGCAGGCCACCAAAGGCGAGAAAAAGGCCAAGAGCAAGCAGGCCAAGATCGAAGGCAGCGATGCCGAGGACGTGGACCTAGACGAGGTGCTCGAGGAGTACCGCCGCGCGCAGGAGCAGTTCCTCAAGGTGACGGAGACGGTCTGCGAGGGGCCGCCACGACCCCGCGCCGCGTCGACGATTCTCGCCTCGCCGAGCGACACCAACAACCTGCTGCTCTTTGGCGGCGAGTACTTCAACGGCTCGCTCGCGCACTTCTTCAACGACCTGCACATCTACAACATTGCCCGCGATGAGTGGCGCTGCGTCACCTCGCCCAACGCGCCGCTGCCGCGGTCCGGCCACGCCTGGACGCGCGCCGCCAGCCCGCACCACGTCTACCTCTTTGGCGGCGAGTTCTCCTCGCCCAAGCAGGGCACCTTTCACCACTACGCCGACTTTTGGCGCCTCGAGCCCGCCACCCGCGAGTGGACCAAGATCGAGGTCAAGGGCAAGGACAGGAGCCCGCCCGCGCGCAGCGGCCACCGCATGACGTACTGGAAGCACTACGTCATTCTGTTTGGCGGCTTCCAGGACACGTCCAACCAGACCCGGTACCTCGCCGACCTGTGGATCTTTGACACGGTCCAGTACGTCTGGCACAACCCCGCGCTGCCGCCCGCGCAGCTCAAGCCCGACGCCCGCTCCTCGTTTACGCTGCTGCCGTCGGAGCACGGCGCCGTGCTGTTTGGCGGCTACTCGCGCGTCAAGGCCACGGTTGCGCTCAAGAAGAAGGCCGGAAAGGGCGGCCACGGCGCGACCGGCACCGGGCAGAAGAACGTGCTGGTCCCCAAGGTCCACGAGGACTGCTTCTACCTGCGCATGGCGCTGCCGGCCGCCGACGCGGGCCCGCTCGCGCCGCCGACGGTGCGGTGGGAGAAGCGCAAGAAGCCGGCCAACACGCCGAGCCCGTCGCGCGCGGGCGCCACCATGACGCACCACAAGGGCCGCGGCATCCTGTTTGGCGGCGTGCACGACGTCGAGGCGAGCGAGGAGGGCATGGAGTCCGAGTTCTTCAACCAGCTGTTCGCGTGGAACACGGAGCGCAATCGCTTCATGCCGCTGGCGCTGCGCAAGCCCCGGCAGCACCAAAAGGCCCGTCCGGCGGAGCAGCGCGTGAACCGCCGCGGGCGGGGGCAGGCTAATGAGGAGGAGCTCCTGCGGCAGCTGGCCGCGCTGGAGTCGGGCGCCTCGCTGGACGACGCGGACGACATCGAGCTGGACAAGAAGGAGGAGGATGTGGCGGCGGAGGACCAGGTCCCGGTCAAAGAGATGCCGGTGACGATGGAGCCGCCGCACATGCGGTTCAACGCGCAGCTGACGGTGCAAAACGACGTGTTGTACATTTACGGCGGCACGTTTGAAAAGGCGGACCGCGAGTTTACATTTGACGACATGTACGCGATTGACCTGGTGAAGCTGGACGGGTGCAAGGAAATCTTTACCAGACCTGTGGAGGACTGGGTTGTAAGTAGAATCCGTGGTGGGAGAGTGTGGGTTGTTTGGGGGCTAATCAGACTGTGTAGGAATCGGACGACGAGGACGATGAAGACGACGAGTACGACGATGAGGAAGACGACGAGGATGAGGATGAAGAAGACGAAGATGAGGAGCCCAGCCAGCAAATTCACACCCCTAGCAAGCGCGGGAAGAAGAGGGAAGACGATACTGTATCCGAAACCACTCCATCTGAGGCGACCGAGGAAGAGGAGGCCGAAACATCGACTACTTCTGTGGACGATGGTTTGCCTCACCCAAGAGTACGTTGATTCCTCGAACAAGCCCCCCCCCCCCCCCTTGCATTCACTGACAAACTAATCTAATTTTGCAGCCGTTCGAGTCGCGCCGCGACTTCTTCGTCCGCACGTCGACCGAGTGGCAGGAGATCCTCATGACCAACCTGCGCTGGAAGAACATCCAGCCCGAGACCATGGCCGTCAAGGAGATCAAGGCCAAGGCGTTTGAGCTGAGCGAGGAGAAGTGGTGGGACTGCCGCGAGGAGATCACCGCGCTCGAGGAGGAGCAGGAGGCCGCCGGCATCCAGGAGGTGGTCAGCCTGGCGGAGCGCGGCGACGCGGGGGCTGGTACGGGCGGCCGACGAAGATGATGGGGTATTACTTTTGGCGCGGCACTTGTCTACGAGAAATATGGCAAATGAAACAAAAGCAAAACCAAAGTAAAAAGAAAAAGTAAAACAATCATGGATTCCATCTTATCCGCCGTCTGTGAACGCGTAGTTCGTGTCTCACTCTAACCTCGCAAACTCCATAGCCACGTACATTCTTCACCGCAACTCCGAACCCAATGCTTCTATAGTCACAGCCCCCCTCTAACTCAACCCCCACAGCCTCTCTCTCAACGCCAACGCTTCCCAAGTTCAAAACCGCCTCCCCCATCATCACGCACCCTTGTTGTCGCCACCACGCAGCGGCTCCTGCACCACGCCCTCGGCCGACCACGCCGCCTTCTTGCCCGTCAGCCAGAGCACCGCGCTGGCGGCCTTTGCAACGAGTCAGAACGGCTGGCTCGCCATGGGCGGGTACTGCTTGCCGCCGCGCTCGACGCGGGGCTCGCAGGCGCAGCGCTCGTCGTCGGGGATGGCGTCCATGACCATGGGGACGTGGGCGCCGCAGCCCCACCAGGTGGACTTTTCTGCACGGGAGAAGGAGGTTGTTAGTCGGGAATGGTGATTTGATGTGCGGCATACTCTTCCCGGGAGCAGCCTCGCATCGCAAAGACATTGCGCGGGATGTGGTGGTGGGGGTGGACAGAGGCGCGGGGTTGGGAAAAACGTACTGCAAGTGCCGCAGGCTGCTTTTTTGCACATGTTGGGCGAGAATTAAATGGTGTTTTGGAAAAGTTCTTTGCAAGCGGGTGGGTTCTTGTAGGATATGGGACGGCGAGAATTGGTCCTGTATTTATCCCAGGTGTGTTGATGAGGCGAGGTTGGAAAGTCGGCGAGCTGCCCCACCATGCTGCGAGTTCCGATCGGCGAAGTCGGCCTCCAAATGTCCGGTGCGCCGGAGCCAAGCGGTGCTTTGTCATATGAAGGCGAGCATTATAATCCAGGCCCCAAACTCGTCGTATCACGTTTTACAATTTGGCACTTTTTCCGGCTTGATAGCAACTTTCACCGTAGCGTGACTCGTATACTAAAACTGAGAATGATTGCCACCCATACAAACTCGAGCCCATTCTCCTACTGCAGGGTATTTCCATGCCAAGATCCAAAACACGTTGCACTCGTTATGTAACAATAACAGACATTCATATCCACCTTATCGACTCATATACACATGCCCATCGCAGGTATTACTGTAAAAATGCAATGCGGGTTGATCATTGGGCGGCGCGCTTCTTCTCGGCCATCTCGCTTTCGGCAATGGAGCGAATGAGGTTGAGGGCAAGCTCGCGGCCGCGCTCGACCGCCCCGTCCGAGGCATCCGCAGGGACGTGGAAGAAGCAGACCTTTCCGGGGCGCTGCTGCTTGTGCAGCGTCGCCAGGCTGGAGTAGTAGATGAAGTCGCATAGGTAGCGGCCGGGGTCGTCCGAGATTCTCAAATCCACCTCTGGCTAAATAGCAGAAAATGCTTGCGCGTCAGCTTCCTACACTCTTTCTCCACCGTGCACTCTTCTTTCTTCTCTCTTACCGAGCTGAGCTCCTTCCAGCGGCGATGGACATTCGGTATATCAAGCGCCGACTCGAGCTCGTCCGGCAGCCCGTGCCAGATCCAGCGCTCGTCCTCCTGGCCGCCCGGCAGCTCGTCCTCGAGAAACTCGCCCGCGACGTCGGGCGTGCGGTAGCCGGTGCGGTGCGCCCGCCGCTCGAGCGCGTACCGCGGACGCGCGCTCGCCATGCCAATGTGCACGCAGGCGTCGATGCGCCGCTGCTGGGCGCCGCCGCCGCCGCCGTACGCGCCGTCCCAGAAGCTCGGCGCCAGCGCGCGCACGTCCTGGTACGTGACGCGGATCGCCTCTGGGTGGACGAGGATGCGCACCGGCGGCAGGTCCGAGTCGGCGGCGGGGTCACCGTCGTCCTTGCCGCGCAGAGGCGGCAGATAGGCGGGCAGGCCGCGGGCAATCTCCCACGACGGGTTGACGGGGTACTGGGCGCGAAACGGCTAGACCGCGAGGGCGTGAAACATGTTAGCAGGCTGGGTACTGAGCGGGTTGCGGGCAAACGGCAGTTGGTCTCCGACCGCCTCGGTCGCGGGGTTGCGGAAGACGAGGGCGGGGTGGGAAGTGGCGATGAGGTCACTGGGGAACTGGTTGGGAGGAGAACCTACCCCAAAGCCCGTGACGAGAATGGTAAACTCGTCTTCTCTGGGTTCTGAGCCCATGTCGTGGTCAAGGCGGGCGTCACCCATTGTCGTTTGTCAAGTAATAGGAAACCCCGCGTGACAAGTCAAGAGTCAAGGGAATAAGAAAAGGTCAAGGTCGCATGTCATTCAAAGAACTTCGCACCCACTTTGTAGTGCATCTTTAGCGGGCGGGAGAGCCGAAGCGCCGCTGATGGACAGGCTTCCAGTGGAGAGACCTTGGCCGGCGAATTATTGGACGAATTGTCAAGTTGCTTCTTTCCTTTTGTGACTTTTAACTTTTGAGGGGAGAGACCCGGACTGGCTCTTGTACCCGGTGCATCTCCGCCTTTCTGGGCGTGGAAACGGGACATGACAGTATTGCAAGAGAAATAGTCGCCATGGTGCGATCAAGAAGCTGATTACCTAGCTCAAGAGAAGTGTCTGATCGTCTTGACATGTTTCGCTCCTCCAGCTCCAGGGTTATTCAAGCTTTCCTTTCTTTCAGTGGGATTTATACCCTATCAAGTCACCGCCCAACCCTAACCCTCTTACATAGTCACCTGCACCCTGCACCCCTCATATGACTTTTTTATTTTTATTTATAGAAAAGTTCTAAAATTCCGTAGAGCAGGATCCAAGAAGCAAATATACAATAACTAGCTAGCAAGCCATGCCGACGTGGCTGGCTGAGTGTCGCTTTGCCTCTGCTCTTCGCTCGTGTCGAAAAAGCGGCCTAACCCTCTGTGGTAGCCCCGACAAATTCTCCTCGGAGCTTCCCAGTGGAGAGACAGCGGCCTCAGTTTTCGGCGACTCAGAGCTGTCCGACAACACGATGCATAGTTGATGCAACTCTCACTCTTTTCCATCTTCCAACTTGTACTTTCCTTCCCCATCATTCTTACATTCCAGCTTGCTCGGATTGTTGCAAAGACACCCCAATTCCGTCATCCCGTTATTTGCCTACGCAGTTACCAACTTGAACATCATATCCCCAACACACAATCATAACCATGGGTTCTCAGACAGACTACAGCCAACCGCCTCTGCAGGTCTCCTTTTCAGGCTTCCTCTGGGATATGGACGGCACTATTATTGACTCCACGCCAGCCATCGAGAAGCACTGGGAAACGTGTGTGTCCCCTTACCCCTCTGCGCATCGCCACTGCATACATAGGACATGGCTAACACGCTCTATAGGATAGGAAATGAGATTGGCGTTGACCCCGAGACGATTCTTAAGACCTCTCACGGTCGACGCAGCATTGATACGCTCAAGATTCTTGCCCCGGAGAGAGCAAACTGGGAGTGTACGTATATTCGCGCTGTCCAAGCCTGCTGACCGCCTTTACCAACTCCTGGCATTGGCGTTATTCATCCACATATTTCCATCTAACACGCACCCCAGATGTCTCCAAGGTCGAAGGCCAGCTACCCGTGCTCTATGCCCATCTCGCGACCGAGATTGCCGGCGCGCGCGCTCTCCTCGACAGCCTGATCAAGGTCGCGGCGCCGTGGGCCATTGTCACGTCTGGCACGGCGCCGCTCGTGCACGGCTGGCTGAGCCGCATGAAGCTCACCATCCCAGAGCACCTCGTCACGGCCGAGTCGGTGCCCGAGGGCAAGCCGGACCCGGCGTGCTACCGGATGGGCCTCGACAAGCTGGGGCTGGCGGCGGTCGCTGGCGACGTGCTTGTGCTCGAGGACAGCCCGGCCGGCATCCAGGCCGGTCGGGCCGCGGGCTGCAAGGTCATTGGACTCGTGACCAGCCACACGGCGGAGCAGGTCGTGGCCGCGGGGCCGGACTGGGTGGTCAAGGATTTGACGTCGGTGCGCGTGGTCGGGTCCGAGGGCGGAAAGGTGACGATTGAGATTCGGGATGGTATCAAGTTGTGATGTGTCATGTGAATATGTTTCATTTGCATTCGGTGGATGATGGGAAATCCATCGCGTCAACGAGATGAGTTTATATACCGAGGCAGCGTCATGAACTGGCAGAGAGCAGGACCGCCAGGTGTGAAACAGAGCATGTAATTAGAAATATAATTAGAAGAGTAGATCTACGAATATAAGGGATGAAACTTGGACTTTAGAATAATGTCCCAGTGTTGTGATTCTTGTAGACGTTGAGGTCGCCGACACGATGACTACGCGGCCAGCTCGTGTCGAGTACCCTACAACGCCCGAGTCTATATAGGCGGTTGCATTTGCGCAGAAAGAGCGGCCAATTCCCACACTATTCTGCCAAAGAGAAAAGAAGAAGATAGGTCAGCCGCTGCCTACTTCTTTAACTCAAAAACAGGTACATTTGCAGCCAGCTTATCATCATGATCGGCACATCGCTGCGGCCAGCCGTCGGCGCCCATCTTGGCATGGTGATCGGCAGCAATGACGCGCTGCCAGTCAGCCCCAAAATGCTGAAGAGGGGTGAAGGGGCAGGATAAAGTTGCCCCAACCCGTAGTCACATACGTCGATTGGATCGACGCTACTTATTCTGTGTGCCGGGGATGCTGTAAGATGTTTGTAGAGGACTTGCTGAAATGAGAAAAGGAAGTATCCGTGGAAGCGGCGCAACTTCACCCCGATCTCACTGATTATACTAGTTACTGGGCTGAGGCTGATGGCAATTTACAGGCTAGAGATGAATTGGAAGCTCGTTTCTGTGTCTGTTGCCTGTACATCTGTAATTGTGGGTGTGCGCAGGTGTTGAACATGGGGTGCGGCGTCTGCGTGCGGGGAATCTACGATGAGACATGGAGGGTGTGGCGCGGGAAGAATCGAGAAAGCTCTGCGAGCTCATATATTCCATCAGCAGTACATGTGAATATTATCAGGAGGTAATGTTCCGGGACGGCCATGGCGGGAAAAAGCTGCTTCACGCGCCGAGAGCCGTAAAGAGCGACGGCAACAGCCATCGTTGGGGCCGCAAAGTAGGCCGACACAACCGGAACCTTGGCTGCGGCAGCTATACGTTTGGACGAGCTATTTCCTTGGCGAAGCGGCATCGTCGCTATAAAGACTTCAACTTGCAGGCTGTCGCGGACACATGACGGCGCATTTATCCACACAGATCGGCGCGCCCAGCTTTAGCCAAGCCAAGATTGCGGGTGGCGACCTCTTGCCGAGCGAGATGGTGGAAAAAAAGGTCCCTTCAAAGAAGGATGAGAAACGCGGTCTCCTTGGCCGTTTTTAGGTTAGGTTACTATGCCCTACTCCGTAGATACTTTGACGAACCCCCAAGGTTTCCTTTCCACTGCCGGTTCGTCAGCCCCAAGATTGGGGCCAGCCACCGGACGAAAGATGGCCGCCCCTCGATGCGGTGCATCGGCGGTCGCATTGCTCGCGTTCCTGGTGCCTCGAAACCTTGCCCCATTAAAGAGTGAGAAGCTGAAAACCCCATGCCGGATTAGCGAAAGAGACATGCGCTTCCTTGACGTCACATGGCCGCCTTGTTCTGGAAGAATGAAACAAAAGATGGTTCTGTAAAGTACAGCTGGTGAGCGAATGAGAGACGTGCATTGCGCCATGTATCACCAGCACTGGCCGAGTCCTGTGGAACCGGGTTCGTCAACGGTTGTTGCAGGGTTACAACAGTTTTGTGTTCTGTGAAGCTTGATGAAAGCTGAGAGAGTTACTACTTGAACGGCAAGCTGAGCTGTAACGTTATTATTACCAAACCAAAAAGCTGTCTCTTTTTTTTCTTCTGTTTCCTTACACCGGCTAATATGTTGTAAAACATTTAGCTGCTAATTGCTCCACGTTGTCTCATAAAGGAACAACATGTCTTGTATTAGCAATTTCTATCCTTTTTTTCACCCCGAGACACGCGGTTTTCGACGTATCTCCTCTCCCTTCCATTCCATCACGTTCTCCATTGCCGTCCAGTAATTCAACCACAAGGCACCCAACCTTGCGGAGGCACTCCAGTCCAGCCGCGGTGGGGGCGCCGAAGATCCGACCCCAGTTGCCCGGTCCCTGCTCCAACCTTGCCTGCCGACGATCCAAATGGCCCGGTCTACCAGGAGAGCAGAGTTGCCAAGCTAAAACAAACAAGTATTTCGGTCTGGGGGCTGAGTTGCAAGCTGCTTCTGTTCAAACTCGTTAGCACAAAAAACACTCGGACTAGCTTCCTCACGATGCCACCCTGCCATGTCAGCCCTGCAGCGTGCGGGACTCAATTCCAGCCCATCGAGCTCTCGGTCTGGGGGTATGGAGGTTGTGGTCAGCTCTGGGGTTTCTGCATCGTGTTGCTCGCAAGTTGCCTGCCCGCCCATCTTTTTTTCGCCCCGTTATGATCCAGAGTGATAAGTTAGTCAAAGATGGTACAAGTCTAGACGAGACAATGCCTGTGCGTTTGTCTTGAGAGGGTGTCCCTCGTCGTTCTTGGAGCGGATATATAAAGCCTGGCATCTTCCTCCCTTGTCTGGCTCGTCAAGACATCCTTTTCAGCTCCCATTTACAAAAACTCCATTTCTTCTTCCCTCCTCTTAAATCACCAACATGAAGGTCACCCAGATCATCGCCTACCTCGCCCTCGGCACCTCGGCCGCCTACGCTCTCCCCACCGACGAGATCGAGGCCCGCGCCAACCTGCCCGGCCTCAACGCCGTGCAGACAAAGTACGCCAACGCCATCATCGCGCAGGCCAAGAAGGACGGCGTCGGCGCCCACGGCTGCCAAGCCGGCATCGCCACCGCCATGGTTGAGGTATGGAGTCCCCCCCCCCCTGCGCCTTCTGCCTCTGCCCCTCGTCTCACTAACAACAAACTCAACAAACAGTCTAGCATCATCATGTACGCCAACAATGCCGTGCCCGCGTCCCTCAAGTACCCCCACGACCGCGTCGGCTCCGACCACGACTCCATCGGCCTCTTCCAGCAGCGCGCCTCCATCTACAAGAACATCGCGTGCGACATGGGCGCCGCCTGCTCCGCCGGCCAGTTCTTCACCGAGATGAAGCGCGTCAGCGGGTGGAAGACCATGGCCGTCGGCACCCTCTGCCAAAAGGTCCAGAGATCCGCGTACCCGGACCGTTACGCCAAGCAGGTCGGCCTCGCCACCAATGTCTGCAAGGCTGGTGGTTTGTAAATTCTCTTCTTCTGTCCTGGAAACGTATGGGAAAATGGTTGGAGACTGTAACGAGGTGACGAACTAGAGGGGGTACTGTCGCTCCGAGGATTGTGTCTAGGAAATGGAGCCAATAGTATATATTCAATTGATTGGTACCCCTATTTTAAACGCACTTGATCGCTTTCTTTGGCATTTGGGTGATGGTTGCTCTGCCATTGGGTGTAAGTCCAAACCGAGCCTTTGGACATGGGCTTTTCCAAATTGACACCAATGAATTACCAGCCAGTATTAATACTGCCATTATATCTAGCAGAAGAACTGCCAATCATTTATTTAATCTCTCTATTTTATCACCATAGACTGTCCTAGTTCAAGTTCAACTGCATCACTCCTAAGCCGGGAGGCGGCAACATGGTCCGTGCACACCACTTCAAAGTCGCAAAGCTTTCTGCCAAATGCCAGTGCAACGTCCATTCATTATCCATCTGCATCTCACCAACTTCGCATACCGCATTTCAGCAAGCAACACCCCCTTCACCACTCAATTGCGACGACCATCCGCTCCAAATCTCGACCCAGCTCTCTCTTGGCCTCTCCTACGCATTTTCGACCTCCCCACACAGCGCCGCGAAACCTTTGCAGTGCACGAAACCTCGCCAACATGTCAATACCAGCCTACCACGAGTCTCTTCCCTGTACGTGCCCGCCCCCCCGCGCCTACCCCCGACCGAGAACCTCGTCGCTGACCTCTCCCCAGATATCGACCAAGAGCCCACCGCCGCGGCCCTCGCCGCCGCGCGCGCCCTCATCGACGGCGAGCTCGCCGCCTCCTCCCCGTCGCCTTCCTCGGTCCCCTCGCACCGCGAACCGTCCTTCACAGCGACCATGACGACGGAGCTGCAGCGCATCGCGTCCGCCACGCCTCTGCAGCCCCTCAACCTCTCGCGCTACGAAGCCCAGGAACCTCTGCCGCCCCCGGGCTCGGCCAGCGCCGCCGCCGCCCTGCTGCGCACCCCGCTCGAACGCGCCTACGTGTCCGCCGCGTACCTCGCCGCGCGCAACCAGAACCTGCAGCTCCTCGACCGCGCCGGCAAGAACGCCTGGCTGCTGTCCAACTACCACGTCGAGGCGCAGCTGCGCACGCTCGAAGCCGAGCTCGCCGCGACGAAGCGCGAGGTGGACCTCGTCAACGCCGCCCGTGCCACCAGGCAGAACGAGGTCGCGGCCGAGCTGCAGGGGCTCGAGGAGAATTGGAAGACGAGAGTCGGCAAGGTCCTCGAGACGGAGATTGCCGTCGAGGAGCTGAGACAGCAGATTCGGGACGAGCTGCGGAGTCAGAACAGACCGCAAGAGTAAAGCTTTGAACGAGGTGTGCAATGTTGGGTAGGAAATATGGCAGTTTGGGGTTTGCATGCGGGGCAAAGTACCATCCCTCAAGAGGGTGTCCTCGGCAAAAGGCGTTGAATAAGGCGTTTTACTATTGAGTCAATACATAATGCTCGTTTTTTAGCGATGAGCAATTCGCGCTTGCTGCAAGTTTATTCTCTGGTGGAATGTAGACGATGCTCGCAACCAAGGAAAACATGCACAAGGTACGCCATGTGGTTCGATTGTAGACTTAATAAATGATGCTCATGACAACTATAATAACAAAGGTATCTGCAGAGTAACCATATCCTTCAGGACAAACCCCAACTTTCGGAGTGCCACACTAGTCAGTCAACGAATTCCATTTCAAAACGCCAGCCATGGACAATACTGCAGTGTCGCCTCAAAAGCCGCAAGTCACGACCTAGCTGGAGATTGATTGCCCATGACAATTCCCATCCTCCCCACCACACCCACGTTTAGTCGCGGGACAACGGGTCCATCTCCTCAACACCAGCCTTGACTCCCTGATACTTTGTACGGCGCAGAATTCCCTCCACAGGACCAAGTAGACGTTGGAACGCATTCTTGCCAAGTGTTGCTACTTTGACGTCCGTGGTAGCCACAACACTAGCAGCTCTCGGGGCGTCATTTAGTAGAGCTAGCTCGCCAAAGAAATCGCCCTTTTTATATTGCAACACTTTATTGCTGGTATCACCTTTGTATGCATCGGCGGTGCCGTCTTCCAGGAGGTAGAAAGAGTACCCAGGGTCGCCCTCCTTGATAATGACAGCACCAGGAGCAAACTTTTGAGTCTCGAGAGCGTCGGCAATCTTGGATCGCTCGTATGGAGTGAGGGATGAGAGGAGAGGAACCTCCTCGAGGAAGCTCTCGTACATACGTCGGCGGGCAAACGTAGATTCCATCAGGATTCTGCGAAAAGTGACCCGGTCGAGAGCCCAGAGGGTGCAATTGGCCTCGGCTGAAACAATGGTCGCGGCACGAGGGGCATTATACATCAGTGCGAGCTCACCGAAGGAGCCTCCAGCCTCGATATTGCCAACCTTGCTCCCCATACCCTCGGGACCTGGGCCAACGGTGCCGGCTGAATTGACATATACGTCAAAGGCGCCCTTTTCAACCACGTAGAAATAGTCGCCGGCGTCGCCTTGGCTAATGACCTGGGGATGGTTAGCATGGTGGGCATTGACCGTAATGAGTTTACCCGTTTACCTTGATGTCCTTGGCAGGAATCGGCTTTTCCATAAGAGCACCAAGAATTTGGTTGCTCTGCTCATCATCGAGGTGGCTAAAAAGAAAGTTTCCCTCGATCGCTCGCTTTAGACGGTTGATCTGATCGGGAGTCTTTTCGTGAAATGGTGGGGTCCAGTTATCGTACGTGTCGGCACTGGGCTTGAGTGACTCGGCTGACACGGAAGTTCTTCTGTTAAAGTTGTACTGAGCCGGGTAGCTGTCTGGGTTGGGCGGTGAGCGAACAGTCGGGGGAGCATCTCCAGAGGCATCGCCGCCAAAGACATTAGAGAAGGCGGCGGCAGCTCCTGGAGCATTACTACCGGCTGTGGGGGAACCGACAGAATCTGGCTCCTCCTCTTCGATGACTCGGTGCATGGTATCATTTTGTGTTCGATCGCTGCCAAACGGATTGGCGTTGGCGCCAAAGGGGCTCGTAAAGGGACCAGACATGGCTGATTCTGGTTGTCGGTGACGAGGTGTGAACGGACAGACGGTGGTTGTGGCTGCGAGGGTACGGTCGTGAAGTGATCGGCCTGTGCTGCAATCGGCGGCTGTTTGAAGTTGGTATCAACCGGTGCAACCCTGTAACTGAGAAATTAGCACCGATAAGTACTAATATAGCCCTATAGCGAGGTATTGGTGCAGGGAGTTCTGTTTAGGTAAAGCGATTGCGGATGCCAATTCGTTGCTAGTGCGTGATTATCTCTCCAACTCGGAGATGTAATCGTGGATCAGATACTCAGGCATGAGAAGGTGCCCTTGTGATGTAATCCCGCATCGGCCTCTCCATCGGAGAGAGTGACGGACGTTGCCGAGTCGATCTCTGGAGCAATCATCCACCAATGCAGCAAACAGCGCCATCGGTAGAAGTAGCTCAAAATGACTTTCGCGAGACAGCAATGGTGCTTGCAGAAGTTTGGTCATCTTGACTTGGCGAATATTCGACGGAAGGGCACATGAGAAGCTGTCGAGACCAAGTGTGCGGGGTCGAGACGGCGAGGGGATGCACTTACAGGAGAAATTGCACGACGACCAGACGGCGTTGTAAAAGAGCACTGCAGACTATGGGCCGAGAGCAGATGCCGAGATGGAAGAAAGAAAGAGACGTGTTGTAGGGTATGCTGATTCCTCGATGGCGAAACGATGTGAGGTCGCTGGGGGAGAAGAGGGGTACTCCGTGTAGCGGTCCCGGAGTCGGAAGAATAGGTAAAGAAGTCGAGGTAGGGACTAGATGGTCGATGCAAGGGATGGCAGGGGCCAGCGACTGAGGTAGCGGCGAAGAAAAAGGCGACCAAAAAGGGAACAGCGACGGGAACGCAGAAGGGTTTGCGGGGAGGCAAAGTGTGAGGCGAAAGAGGGAAGTCAGTTGTGAAGCTACAATGGGGTGGTTTTGGGGGGGCAAAGTGGCTGTAACTAGGAGGGCACAGAGATGGGGAACAAGACAGGCCAGAGACGCCAGAGACTGGCAACTGGTTCATGACTGGGCAAATGACGGAGATGCAGAGCGGCAGCAGCGGGGAGGGGGTGGTCCATGCTCCCTGGACAGGGCAGAGGGCAGGGGAGCAACGACAAGCTGGAGCTCAGCAACGGTGCAAATAGGCCCGAGAAAATTTCAATAGGGTGTCAAGTATAGAGGGATGGCTATGCCCTGCATATCCGTTTCATCTAATGCAAGCTGTGCACTTTACACCCTCTTCTTCAAGCCTCGATATGCAGCGACGGGCCACGACATGCGACGACAGCTGGCGTGGGTGGAAAAGTCGGGGCAAAAAGGGTAGATGGACGGAAGCTTTCTAGAATCGCGCACGGGCCACTATGCGGCCCTTCCGTCACCGGCTGGCGGCCCCCATTGGCCCGTTGCGGCGGCCAGTTCGGCAGAAGAAGTCGAAGCAGAAAGAGAAGGAGCCAAGGAGCCCTGCGCGCTGCACCACCGCCAAAGTACCCTGGATGGAATCCTGTGGCGCCGCCCTGCACCAAACCCTATTGCCTGCTGTCCGGGATTGGCTAGTCGCTCATCAACCATCAACGCCAGCCATCACCATGTCTCGACGAATCTTCGGATTCCCCGTTTCTGTCCATCTTCCTACCACTCCGAGCAACTCAAATCTTCCTACCACTCCGACCCTTCCAGTGCCTTTTACTCATATCCCTTGTCCTCTTAACAACTGTAGTCGACATATAATTATACCATGTTATTCCAACTGTTCTACAGCAATAATCCATAACCCTGAGGGTATCGTTGCTCTTATACAATACAAAAGAAATCCAAACCGTTCAAAACTAACGATCCAAAGAGACTGAGCCTCTGCGCTTCGCTCCCTATCTACCGCATCCTCTGAAATGAGAAAAACCAAAACGCCTCCCTCAAAGTGCTTGCACCTTGAAATTGTACAGAGGATCAAATCCAAAATTCGCTGCCCCCAAATAAACAGATGCCATTTGTCATGTCAGCCCCAGCAGGCCCGTCGCCTGCTCATCGCTGCACATACCGATTCATATGTACAGCGAGATGTATATTCCTTCCCTTTGACTCCAGCCCCAGCGCCCATGAAAGATTCACGTAGAGAGTCATAAACGCCAAAATTCCGCATAGATCGCTCCTCATCTCGGCACTTTCTTTGGCGGTCGGCTCCTTGTTCCTTTTCTGCATCCTCGCGCTCCAGCTTGGGATTGTATCCAGTCTGCTGTTTTTCGCTCAAAGCTCTCCTCAGTTTGCTTCCAAGGCTTTGACAAATGCGCGCAAGACTTTTCCCGGGTAGTCCAGTCCTCCGGCGGAATCGGGTCAAGCTATGACCCGACAGCCAGACATGAATCGAGCATGCAATCTAGCATCTCCACATCACTCTCCTCTGCACCTTCCCAGCCGATTTCCATGTCGATATCCATTGCGTCTGTTCCATTACCAAATGCGGAAGAGACGTGACCATTCATCAGCTCCTCCACACAAATCGGTTCGTATCCCTCGATCCAGCTATGGTCGTTCCAGTTCTCCAATTCGCCTTCACGATACCCACACAGTATTTCGCGCATCAGGACTGGAAATTGAGACATGCTCGAGTCCGCAATCTCTAGAGCGACACGGACATCTGCCATGCTCAACGGGCCTTGCTCTCCCGCGGCTCGCGCTTCCACAGGCAAAAGACCGGCTTTATCGCGTGAAATTTCCCCGCGGTGCGCGGCTTCCTCTTCCAGGTGTAATTGGCGTTTATAGTTGTGCGTTTGTATCCACTGCGTGCCCACACCGTAGCCAGCGCTCCCCGAGTCGCCGGCACCGTTGCTTCTTGTACGCGCAAACACCTGCGTGAGCATCTCCTTGATAAAGGCATCTGCGGCAATGGACATCAATTGTGGTGCCTCTGAACAATGACCGCTTGGGAGACCCGCTTCGTAGCAGAACGGGAGCATGCGGCCTGCGATGAGGCCAACATCGGGGAATTCACCGGACTCAATGGCCAGCGGTTGTGTAAATCGTTTTCGAATTTCCAAATCAAAATCTGCTTGGGGATTAGCATCTGAACGCGCGAGACCAATCGTATGTACCCACTCATATTGTTAATTCCACCAGGAGCACTAGAGGATGCATCTTGCGTTGGCTTTCGCCGGGACTCCATAAAGACGCTTGCGAAAGTTTCGGTGGTATCAAACTGCCATCAAAGTTAGCAAACCATGGACAACATTGTGACAGCAAATGCAAACCTCGTTCAGTGTGAGATCCTTGATGCGCCGTCTGTCCCGCGCGGGCAGCTGCATAACATCGCCTTTCAATCGGCGCTCGGTGGCATCGCTAGCAGTCGCCTTACTAGCGCTAGCAGCCGGTTTGTCATTAGAGCTGACCCAAATTGCCAACCCTTGATCAGGGATTTCCCTTGTAACATTGCCATAAATGGCGGCTATAAGTTGGTTGTGTAAATGGTCTTTCTCTCCATTTTGTCCAGCAAGAATCGCATCGATCCGGATTGAGTATTCGTCTTGGTTAAGGCTGCCTACAGAAATTGTCAGAAAACATCAGCATTTGGGAGACGCGCGACAGAGCCGTACCGATGAAGAATTCTGTTGTAGTCTCTTTATATATCTGCCAGTGCTCAGCTCCAATTCCTGCTTTTAGCTCGCTATAGAGTGGTTCGAGGTCGATGCGCCCAGGAATTTGACTGGATTTGGACTTTTGCGCGCTTCCGAGGTTGGTCAGAGATTTTGTTGATAGGAGAGGGGTTTGGACACTGATGGATGGGCGGCTCAATGCCGCAGGATCGATGTCGGGCATGGTGATCTCGGCAAGCTTCCTAGCGGAGTCGCGTGCGACGATGAGGCGACGCGCAACGCGCAGGGGGGTACATGAGTTGCATAAAATGAATACCGAGGCTCACGCGATTATGAATCTGCAAAAAAATTGATGGTCGGGGTAGTGTGAGGTTGGGTCGGTGATGGCGATTTGGTTGACGAAGACGCAGGAGAGATGTCCGCCAGTGGAGTGAAGTTGATATTCTGCCGAGAGATGGGCAACGAACGCAAAATCATAGCGATTAATGTAGATGTACTTGTCAAGCACGCTAATAAGTGTGGAGAATATTGTATCTGGTACCCCCGCCTAAATGTCCTCAATATTTTATTAGACACATCCCACCTCCCCCTCGCCGTAGCGCGCGTACTAGTGTCGCGTCTCATCAATACACGGCCACTCTGCAAGCTGACGATATATCGTCTTTGCCGGGCGGTCTTGCATGTTTTTGCGCTCGATTTCGATTTCGAAACTGTCAAGAGACAGGCATTTCTTTACGACCGCAATGCAAACATGGCCTCCGACAAAATAGCCACCGCCGTGGACAGCCTGATAGACCACCTGATCCCGACCAATCCAGACGATGATGAAAGACAGGCGCAGGACCAACACGACAGGTGCTTTGATCTCGTCAAGTCCACAATCCGAAAGTATGAACATTTTTCTACTGCTTCGATCACTGTCTAATGTTTGCAGACACTCCAACGCTACCGTATCTGCAGACGTGAACCACGCGTCAGATCTAATCAAGCGCAAACTTATCCAAACAAATCCCAGCCAAGCCCTCCGATTCTCGAACCTATATTCCCGGCTCCTTGCTGTACCCGTTCTCGAGCATAAATGGGCTATATTACATCTCCTTTACCACCTCTCCGATTCGCCAGATCCGTCAGAGCCGCTGCCTCTCAGCCCTGTCAAGCCGTCGGCCCCCAACTACCGAGAGGCCATCAATCGCGAAGCTACGAAGCGAGAAAGGGAGCGAGCCAAGACACCAAGCGCAACTCCTTCAAAGTTTGAAGATGTTCAGTTCCGAGAATCCTTTCAGCCAGACGGCTCTAGAACAGCCCCGGCTGCAGACACAAGACCTGGAGATACCGCAAGAAGGAATGCTTCGTTGCAGGAGACGCTTCTGGGCAATTACTCCGAACTGAACCCTCCGGAGACAAGTCTCTTGCGAGATCTTCCTTTTACCCTCCAGGGACTTTCGTCAACTACATTACCCTTTTCTGGCCCAGATACATTGACACTGCCTGCTACACTCCCCCTGCCACTTGTGTCGATTCTCCATGCACTGGCCGAGCCATCATTGCTTTACCGTCAACTAGACGCGTTCTGTAAAACCCCAGCCAGCGGCTTGATGGGTCAGAGCTTACGGTCTGGTATTGGAGGGGAACTGCGAGCGTATCTAACGCTCATTGCGACGCTGGAGGCCCAAATTCGCCGTGCGCTGGCGTCGGTAGATGAGGGCGCGCCCCGCGGCGGGATTGGCAAAGCCGGAATCACACTCAAACGCTGTGTGATGTGGACAAGAGAGGCTACAATGGGCTTGCGACTTATGAGTCTTGTGGCGGAAGAGTCTGAGAGCAAGCGCGGAGGCCAAATTATCTCATTGATTCACGGATTTGCAGCTACCCACGGTGACCCAATTGTCTCGACGTTTGCCGAGCGACTTCTGGGAACCTGCACCCGGCCTTTTTACGACATCTTGCGACATTGGATCTACGATGGAGAGTTGTCTGATCCCTATCAAGAATTCTTTGTGCGAGAGCAGACTGGCAAGTCCGACCCTGCAGAACTCAAGGGCGCGAGCAACGTGTGGGAAGATAAATATGAGGCTGCCGAAGACATGATTCCCAGCATCATGACACCAGACTTTGCGCAAAAGGTGTTTCTGATTGGAAAGTCTCTCAACTTTATTCGGCACAGTTGCGGCGACGCTCTTTGGGTAGAAGACTACTCCAAAGCAGCTTCAAAGGAGCTGCGCTATGGTGACACAGCAACCATTGAAGCATGGATTGATGAAGCCTACAAAACAACAATGAAACGGCTCATGGATCTCATGGCCAACAAATTTCAACTCTTCGACCACTTGCAAGCGCTCAAGAGTTACTTTTTGCTTGGCCAAGGCGACTTTATCGCCCTGCTCATGGAGTCCCTGGCTGGCAACTTGGATCGGCCAGCCGGTGCACAGTTCCGGCACACTCTCACGGCACAGCTTGAGCACGCTATTCGCGGCTCCAATGCGCAGTTTGATTCGCCAGAAGTGCTTCGCCGTCTCGATGCCCGTATGCTCCTGCTCTCGCATGGCGACATTGGCTGGGACTGCTTCACACTCGAGTACAAAATTGATGCGCCGGTGGACGTGGTGGTGACGGAATGGGGCAAGAGACAGTACCTGAAAGTGTTCAACTTTCTTTGGCGAATCAAGCGTGTCGAGTTCTCCCTTCTTGCTGCATGGAGACGATGCATGACGGGAGCGCGCGGCGTTTTGCAGAATGCGGATGCCGAAGTTGCGCAGACTTGGAAGACGACCCGTGCCGCTCTTGCCGAAATGATTCATTTCATCGGCCAGCTGCAGTACTACATTCTGTTTGAGGTGATTGAGTCGTCGTGGGGAGAGCTCCAAACGCGCATCCACAAGGAGGACTGCACTCTGGACGACCTCATCAAAGCCCACCGCAAATACATCAACGACATTACGCACAAGGGCCTCTTGGGGCCCAAGAAGCGCCACCCCGCCTCGTCTGGTGCCGAGGAGGACGAGCGCACGTCGTACCTCTCCCAGCTGTCGAGCATGCTGCGCCTGATGCTTGAGTACCGCGACTCGGTCGACGGTCTGTACAGTTGGAGCGTGTCCGACTTTACGCGACGGCAGGAAGCGGGCGTGCGCAGCAGCCGCGCGCGGGCCGGCGGTGGCGATCGGCTCATGGACGACGTGGCCGCGTCGGTGCACGACGAGGCGGTGGCGTCCGAGTTTCCCGTGCTCAAGGACCGGCTGCGGCATCTGGGTCGGTCGTTTAGTGTGCGCATGAGCGCGCTGCTCGGCGACTTGGCGTACCAGCCGGACGTGGAGATGCGCTTCCTGGGCGTGGCGATGAATTTCAACGACGTGTATCCCGTGCGGAGGAGGTCGAGGCCGGCAGCTTCGGCTAATACGTCAAAGGGCTAGCGAGTTGTGGTTTGCATTTTGGTTGGAGCGTGTTTAAATTTGAGAGGATTTATTTTATGAATATGATGACACCTGCCGGCTCCGTTACAATAATACGGAGGTTCCATTTCAGGACTGGAGTTTATAGGTCGATGTGAGAAGCTGTTTACAGCACGGCAGCTGAACATGTCTATTGATTCAATATACAGGCGGCGTGATACTACTCTGATTCCCCCTCTACACAGCTCACGTACCATCAGGCGGCAGCTTTGCTCTCCCGCTCCCGCATCATGGCCAGCGCCTGGTGCACATCCACCGTGAGCAGCGGCAGTCTGCGTCCCTCGACGCTCTTGCTCGGCGTCTCGCCGCAGCGCTGCGCGCCCATCCTGAGATAGAAGCCCTCTGCATTTGGATCCGCGTCGAGCGTGAGCCGCACCATGCCGCCCGCCGCCGCCCGCCGCAGCGCATCCTCCCACAGCAGCCGGCCGAGGCCGCGACCAATGTGCGCCGGGCGGATCCACAGATAACTCAACTCGCCGATGTCCCCGGGCGTGAGGCGGTAGACGCCGGCAATCTCGGCGTCGTTGGGGAGAATGGCAACGTGGACGTCGTGCTCGGTGATGGAGCACGCGGAAATGGTCAGCTCGGCGCGCGCGGCGGACATGAAGGCGGGGGAGTAGCCCCAGTGGGCTTTGGCGGCGAGGGCGAGGTCGGTGAGGAGGGCGGCCTCGGAGGGCTGGGCGCGGCGGATGGTTGCCGGGGGTGGGAGTGAGGCCGGCATCGTTGTTACCCTCGAATGGTGTCTTCCTTGTACGATCTATAATGGGAATCTTGCTGGATTGACCAGGTTCACCCGGTTCCAGCTTTGATTATGGATTATATACTCTTTTTTTACTGGCCGTCGCAGAGACACGGCTTAGCGAGCCTCGTCTACACCGAGTGACTAATTTGCCTGGTCGATTTACGTCACACCTTGTCCATCCAGGGCTTCGCGGTAGTTTTCACATCTTTATGAATAGAGCATGTATCCATACAATGAAGACTGGTGCTATCAGCAATTTCACTACAGAGATTTGTTCGAGACAGAACCCCGCCAACCCAGTATGGCGGCCTTGTTCGTCGCGCCCCCAGATCCGGGGAAGCGGGCGTGGGTTATTAGGTCTCAGCCCCATGTTTGATCCTAGATTCCAGACGAATCCTTCTTTTTTCCCTAAAAAGCACCAGTAATAGCTAGGTAGTTATTCCTTGCCCTGCTGAGACTTTTCTTTGTTTCCTCTCTCCTCCACGACGCACCTTGTCGTGCACTTTTTCTTTCCACCAAGGCAAGGCGCCCCCCCTTGCTGCCCTTTACATCATGTACGACGCCCCGGTGTGACTTTTTTTTTTTTTTTTTTTTTTGCCGACAGCTCGGTGCCTGATTGTTCTCCTACTTGATTGCACACGGTTTCCGTTCGTTTGGGCAGGGGCAGCCAGCAGATCAGCGTTGCGCCGAGGTGGGTGGTGGTGGTGTCGCGTGTCATTTGTTGCACGGGAAAAAAAGAGGGCGTACCCGTACGACCCGGGGGGCGGCCAGTCATGTACGTAGCCCACCGTCTGAAGAAGAATTCATACATATATGAATAAATAAAAAAAGCAGGGCCGATGTTACGTGTAGACAAGACGGGCTTGGCGTTTGGCGGAGTAAAAAATTCTAGAACAAAATTTGTTCATGGGCCGGGTGGCGCGGGGGGGCCGCGGCGCTGGTCATTTCAGGCACCAGATCGGTACCTTTTTTCGTCCTGAATTCTTTTTCAAGGGGGGGAAGGGATCTGGGGGGACAGGTCGGTTGTCTCGGAAGCGGAAAGGAGCTTTTTTTTTTTGTTCTACTCTGTACGGAGTAAAGCCTTCTTTGTTGCGGCGTCTTGGGCTGAAATAACACGGCACTTGCCATCTGCAGACAAGAGAGGCTGGCTGGGAAGCATGCAGGATGCCTCGTTTTTTTTTTGTGGGTGGTACGGATACTTGAATACTTTTTTTGTATGTGAAATGTTTGCCTGTGTGTGCTTCTATTTATTGCTGGGAAAAGAAGAACAGCTGGAATACAAGGGATGCGGGCTGTCCGTGACTTATACGAGCATGGGGGCCGGATACGTGGCCTGGGACGAGGGGGACTGGGCTGGCTGAGGGCCGAGTTTGTTGAGGGGAGGGGGAGGACTTGTGGTACCGAAGAAGGATTCACAGCTTGTTGATTTCGTGGCAAATTTCCTCGGTACCAGAGTACCTTGTTCTTTTTTTTTTCGGTCTCCCTCGGTAAAATAGGAAGAAGAAACATGGCCCACGTATGGACTTGTCAGACAATGGATGCGAAGCCGAGCAAATTGCGGCCGCCCCTCGTGTCACTCACTGGTAGCGCGCAACGATCAAGCTTGTTTCGGCCTTCTTTTCTTGTCATGTTGTTTTCTTCTTGTTTGATGTAACTAACTCGGACGCTTATTGAAGAGTCCGGGGACGCCGAATAATGGAGGTTAAAAAATGAAAAATGAAAAGGAAATGAAATGCCGGTGCTGCCCCAGCGTGGTCGGGGCGTTGATGCTATCAAGCAGGGGAAAAGGTCGGTGGGCATGATGCTATTTCCAGCGGGATGTTACAGTGGGCTTGAGCACGATTCAGGGCCCAAAGGGTTTGCTACAGCGGCTGTTGTAGCGCGGTTGCAGCAGGATACACCTCCCTAAATTATAACACCTAACAGGCGCCCGTGTCAAAGGCCTTGAAGGCGCGCCGGGCAAAGAGTCGGGGGCTGTTTCAAGGGCCTGCTTGCGGCAACTTTTCCTTTCCCCAGAAGCTTTTCCAAGCCTTTTTCCCCTGGCCGGTTTGACCCCACAGCGGTTGTCTGCTTCCCCGGATGGCCCATGCCCCCCCATCTGGCATTGAAATGCGCCCCAGCAAATCCCAAGTAATAACGTTAGTTTCCAATGCAGAGAAGAATCAAGTAGTGCTAGTGTGTGCATGGAAAGCTCAATATCGTACCACCGTCTCACAAATTGGACAAGCTGCTTTACTGATCGTTGTGTCGTCTTTTTCTCTTTTTTTCCTCTTTTTTCTTTTGGCCTGCTGCTATGTACTCTCGCCAGAAATGCCGGCCGCCTTCCTGCTTCACCCCCCCATGTCGATGATGGAAGCCCAACTTCCTCAAATCAGTCTCCCGAGGACCGCCTCTCTCTCCACATTCATCAACCCCAGCCAGCCCTTAAGATTTCCCCCGGGCCATGTATACACACATGTACTTGCGGATCCTGTGCATGCAGTTTCGCCAACGCTGCCTAAAACAAAGGCCGTGGTCTGCATTGCGCACCCTATCGCCATCGGTACCTGTTTTGTGTCGCCCGTGAGTCGTGTCTAGTCTTGTCTTGTCTTGTCCACCCACACGCTCGCCCTCACGCACACCCCCCCCCCCCCTTCTCTCCCTCTCTCCCTCTATGTATCGTTCAACTGCGCTGTCCGCGGCCCAGCGGGGTGTTTTGTCTCCTGTTGCCCAATGCCGTCTTCTCCCTCCCCTTGTGTTAGTAGGTACCAAAAAGTAAAATTGGTTTGTCCCTTCTGTTGGCCCTTGGCCCTGGGGGGGTGCTACCCTTGGTTGGGTGGCAAGAACTGGGATAAGAACTGGCTTGCTGGGATAACATGGTAGTCGCAAGAGCACAGACGGGGGCACCAGAACAAATAACTACGGTAACTAAGAAAAAAATTGACAATAGACCCAAAGAAGTGCACATGCATTGAATGATGCAGGCTCCCCCCATGTCCCATCGTATGTAGAAGCCGGCTTTTACAGGCCCTTGCCTATTAATGTGTGCAATGTGCAATGTGCAATGCCAACAGCAGGGCTTCATTACCCGCCCTCCTTCCTCCTGGGATCGACCTGCCGCTCCCGTCCCTCTTCGCTTGCCAGCCCAGAAGAAACATAATCACAGTCGGACAGACGGCTCTTCATTTATTAGTCGCGCCCTTCCTCCTCTCGTTCCATTCTTCTTCCTCCATTCTCTCCACAGTTCAACCAACAAGACACTCTGCGACATTGGCACCACCTCTGACTATCACTCTCATCTCCATCTACCTGACGTCGCAAGCAAACGCCAACCCAAAACAGCCATACAAAAAATAACAACTGCACGCTTTCTCGACGGATTCAATTTCCCCAGCTCTCTATCAAGACTATTCCACTTCCACCCTGTTGGGTTTCCTCTTGTCCGCTACACCCGGACCGATCGCCCCATCAGTCGCACATAGCCGCCCCAAAGCTTGCCTCGGACCCAAATCAACAAGTCGCACCGGAAACGCACGCCAAACTCGCCGCTCTGCCAAACTCGGAATCAGCTGCAGTTCCTCCTGCACCCTCTTGTATACTTGTATACCCAAGTTTTTTCTATTTATACTTAGCTGACCATCTGTACGTTGCCACTCACGCTCTCCTTCTCCCTCTTCTCCAAATCCCCACGTCTCTCTACACGAGTCTATTACTGCGGCTGCCTCGTCTCTCACGACAAATCATCTTCACACCACTCATATTGCAACCATCGCCTGACATGTCTGCTCTTCTTCAGCCCACTCCTGTTCGCTTCATGATGCCTTCCGCACAAGCTCCCGCGCCCTTTATGCACCCTCCCCAGAAGAACGCCCTGCGCGTTCCCTCGTCGCTAGATCTCTTCTCTGGCATCAGCGCATCTTTCTCGTCGAACAACTCCAAGCGACCTGCTACACCCAATCACCAAATCTTCGAATACGACTATACCGTTCCTGCGCCACCGCCCCCCAGCCCCGTCAGCTTTCGACCTGACTGCTGGCCCAAGCCTGCTCGCTCATAAGCGAGACGGTTGCATCTAGCCGCCATCATTCTGTCCATATTTTTCACTTGACACATCACAAGCGTTGGGGAGCAAGCAGTCCCACTACAAGCAGCTGGCAAGCATTCAGACTGGGAATTTGTTTTATTCATTGGAGTTACAGGCATATCACGACAAGGGGTGGTGTATTTAGACAAAGCGACCTATGGCAAGTGCATCAGCTCGAGGATACGGTGTGAGGGCCGCCAGATTCAGGGACCCAGATATCATGTACAAAGACGATGCACTCAATAGGCAATCAAGATAATCCGAGCGTCTACCGTAATCATGTGCCTGTGATAACGTCCAATTCGATACTCGGGAAATGTCGGTCAGCGGTACCTGCGCTCTACAATGCTTAGGTATGATACGAAGTCGCCACCAAGTAATGTATAAGAGGCATGGACAAGCACAAGCTCTCCACTTCCGAGTTGATCCGAAGGTGCAAGGTGGTGGCCAGCGATCCGAGCATCCCAGCTGCCGCCCTACCTATCGCTTGTGCTGTTGCTTGGGCTCCCCTTCACATGTCAGCCCCAACTATCGGTAGCGGAGTCGCAACCTTCGATCGGCAGATTCCGCTGGGGGATAGCAAAAGAACGTCGCAGGCGGTTGCATGGAACCAGCCCTGCCGGGAAGTGATGTGCTGCGTGTGAGTATAGAATAAGCTTTCCTAATTATGCTTGCCGGGCAAAAGGAAGAACAATGGAGCAGCATCAGGTGCGAAGCATGTGCGGAAGGCTCACTCTCACATGGAGATGCGGGGAGCAGTTATCAATTGTCGATACTCGATCACATGGGATATGATGATGGCAATCTCTTGCGTCTATGTATGCACAAATTAGATGAGTAAAAAACCCTGGATTCTGACTGCTGGCAAATGGCTTTGCGCGGTGCGAAGTTGGTCAAGATACGTACCGCCGGCACCGCCACACACCGCCACACACCGCCACAATGGCCAAGACGCGTCCAGGGCGCGCCATGTCGCGTCCCTTGCAAAAGCTACCCGTCGCCTCCCAGCCAACCAGTGAGACTCCGCTTCCAATATCTGTAGCTCGTGAGACAATTGTCCTCCCAACACCTTGTGCGATGCAATATTCTCTTCGTTTGCAAAGCTTCCACGTATTCTCATTTCTCGCTGTGCATCCACCCACGTAACCGGCAGCTGCAACGCTCCCTTTGACGTATACACCATCGATACCACTCGCGCCTCCCTCACATATCCAGGCCCATCGAAGCTACCCATCGTTCTTGCTTCCTCATCCGGTCTGCACCACCATCCACGATGGCCCGAACAGCAAGAGCGAGAGCGCCGCTCGAGGCCAAGCAGGGCGCTGCTCCTTCCATTGCTGCCTTTACGCGCGTCTCCAAGAGCCATGGATTTCCCGACGCGGCTGCCAAAAAAGCCATCATCGCGGCGGACCTGACACCCACGACGCCATCCAAGAAGCGCAAAGCCGCATCGCCTTTGGACAACGATGGCGGCGCATACAACCGCCGCAATATCTCCTTCAGCCCGAGCGACGAGGAAGGATACGAGACTGCCTGCATAAACGAACATGTCGACGTCTCCCAGCGCAAGAAGCGCGACTGCAGACGCCAAGAGCCCACATTCTCTGCAAAGCCCCAGAAGACACCAGTCAAGCTTGTTGCGGCCCCTACAGCGACCACCAAGGGCAAGCCTGTCGCCAAGACGCCCGTTTCGAGAAAGCAGGCTGCGCATCGCCCGACCACCTCGACCATCATCAGCAAGTCGCGCCAGGACTGCAAGGCTGGCCAGGCCCGGATCAACTCCTTTTATACCAAGCAGCAGCAGCCCAGGTCGGCAGCCGACAGTGAACTTGACGCTGCCTTTCCGCCGCACCTTGCCGAGCTGGTCCGTCTGCACCGCGCCTTCCTCACGACGGTCGTCGTGCAGATGGCGCACACCCGCAGCAACGTGCCCCTCGACATGCGCGAGCTGGCACCCAACATTGCACGCGCGTGGCGCAAGCGTCAGGTCACGGTGGAGGATGTGCGTCGATGCGTGGCCCTTGAGTCGTCGGAGCGGGACAAGTCGCCATTTATCCTCGCCGACTACGGCAACGGCAAGGTGTGCGTGGAGCTGCGTGCGGGATGCGATGGTGGCGCCATTAATGAGACGCAGCTGTGCAAGCTGTTTGAGGAGAATCTAAGGAGCCTCTGTACGGAAAAGGCGACGGACCAGATGGCGGACGTCGATGTGACTCTCGAGAGTCTCTCGCTGGCGGAGCTTCCCCAAGCCGACTTGACAGACATGAAGACTGGCGGCAAAACATTGGCTCTACTAGCCAAGGGACACACAGCACTTTCAGATCTGAAGAATGGCATTGCGGCGAAGCAACAGGAAAAGGAGGTCAAGCAGGCGGCACCGCTCTTGAACCCGGACGGAACCAAGATGAGCCTCCTCGACCGCCTCCGACACAAGCAGCTGGCCGCCGCCAATGGGCCGGCTCCGCCAACCGGGCCGGAACTGCAGCGTCGTGCAGCCTTGAACCGAGCGGTGGATGTGGCGTCCACCATTTCCATGCTCAGCCTTTCCAACCCGGCCTCTCTGCCGCGCCAGGCCTTTACCATGGTCGCCATTGTCGAGAAGCTACGAGACTCGCTACGCGTGCCCACGTCCAAGGAAGAGGCCATTGAGTGCATTCGCCTGATTGCCAAGGAGATTGCACCCGAGTGGCTGCGAGTTGTGGCTATTGGAGGGAGGGAAAATGTGGTGATTCAACGAGGCGGCGAGCCGGTCAGCCGCGTGATTCAGGAACGAGTACAGAAACTCATGTGAGGGGAGGTTACGGAAACGACGCATGTTTGGATTTTACATGAATGGGATCTCTGCAGGATGCAGGCTGGAAAGGATGATGTATTGTGTTTGTACCATTTTGCATGAAGCACGGCGTTGAGCATTGCTGTTTTTTTTTTTTGTTTCTGGATTGGAGTTGGGAATATACCACTGCATGCATAGCTTAGTTGTTTGAGTAGAGAATGGAGTTTTTACTCTACATTGTTGAATTGAAAGTGTACACGTTTGTCCATCGTTTGCCGCAAAGACGACGGCGCACAACGGTGGTGTCTGGTGCGCCCCCCCGGTCACAACTTTGCCGTCAGACCAAAAATTATACGTAAAAACAATCAAGACAAGACGCATATTCCCCAGCGTCCTATCAACGGCATACCACAAGCGAAAAGGAAGGCCCTTTCTGTGCATGCTGCGATGTGACCCTTGCTTGTTGCTCGGCTTCTTCCAAAACGGTCTGGCGAGAAACGGCTACTCAACGGTGGGTTTGGCCTTTTACTGACCGTTTTCTCGCCGGCGATTTGAAAGGATCGGCATTCCGACCGTTGCGACAATTGTTTTTTTTTTTTTTTTTTTTTTTTTTAAAAATGTACCTTTTATTCGTCGTTTTTTTGGTTCCCAACATTGTCTCTTCATTGCCCTTTCTGGCTTTGACAATGGAGCAGTGAAAAAGGTTGGCAGCGAGACGAGATACATAAAGCCCTGGTTTTTGGCCCGGTGCGTGATATCGGACAGCAATTGGCTCATTTGCCCGATACCCAATCGGCTTGGCAACACACCCTCTTCCTTTTCTTGTCTCTGCAGAATCACAGTTACGGCCGAGATGGGGGGGGGGTGGTGCCCGATTTCCGCACACAACAAACGAACGCCAGCGTAGTATTCGGCTACTCGACTTATGAGTATTGTGGGTTCTCGATCCCAAGCACGATGGATCGGTGTTGGCTCATTGGTTCCCGGTTGCCAGCACGGGGAGAAAGGGTTTTCACTTTCGCCTTTTCTTTGAGTCAGTGACAAGACGTTATGCGGTTCCCGTTTTTCCGCACCTCGGGTCTGCCCGGTGCGAAGCCCGGACGGCCGCCTGCCGCGCCGCTGAATAAAACTTGAACAACAAGTCTGCACTGACGTTTTGACATACGTTTTTGGTTCTACAATATACTCTGTTGAATCTTGTGTTGCATATTTCGAAATGAATTTCATTGGAGCGAATTGACTGACATTATTGCATCCTTTCTCGCAAGACAAGTGACACATCTGGTGACCGCTTCGGCTACATCAAAAATCCTTTGCCGTGTCCTCCTCCACACGACAGTCCGACTTGCCAAGTCGAAACAACGAAAACCGAGCCTGTTTTCTTTCAGAACCACCTAGTTTTTGAAGCCCTGCGAATCATTGCGCAACTTTTGGGCTCAAAACCGCATCTCAACTCCCCCCCTTATGTTGGACCATCGTGTGACAGGCAAAACCTCGATCCCAAATGGCCCGTTTCACACGCCAATCAACTCGCTAAAATAACTGCCCCAAGATACTCTCCCGGGCAATCTCGAAAACAAAAACATGGGCGTCTTGCAGCCCGTGCCGTCCGTCGTGACGGCCGACAACGCCGCCATGTCGGGCCCGCACCTGCCAACCTCCGGACCCAACACCCGCTCCGGCGGCGGTGGTGGTGACGCCCACGACAGCAGCGACGAGGACAATGACAAGTTTTACGAAGACGGCGAGGAAATCTACCGCAAGTTCTCGCCCGGCCGGAAGCGCGTCATCGTCGCCGTGCTCGGCTTCGGCGCCTTTGTGGCGCTCGTGTCCAGCACCAGCGTGCTGCCCGCCGTGCCGGAAATCACCGACACGTTTGGCACCACGGACACGGTCGTGGAGATTAGCAACGCCCTCTACATTGCCCTGACCGGTGTCGGGTGTGTCGTCTGGGGCCCCATGAGCCAGCTGTACGGCCGTCGCGTGGTACGTCACATTCTCGTGGGATGCAGAAAAACGGTGGTTTTACTGACAGACGGGACAGATTATCCAATGCGCGTGTGCGTTCTTCTGCTGCATGAGCTTGGGCACTGCGCTGGCTCCCAACCTCGAGGCTTTTTTTGTCTTTCGTGCCTTGTCCGCCATTGGAGGCTCTGCGTTGACCATTCTTGGCAATGTCATCATTAGGTACGTGAGGTCGACGTCGTCGATGGTTGTCACTTGCAGCCTGTCAGCTTGGCTGTTCTTGTGCACATGTTGTGCATCTACTCGTGCTATGCTGTGCAACTTATCCAGCCCATGTTGTGTGCATCTACTAACTTGGCTCTCCAGCGACATATATAAACCGACAGAGAGAGCAACCGCAATAAGCTGGTATCTCTCGTGTACCGTCATCGGGCCATCGTTTGGCCCCTTTATGAGCGGCCTTATAGTCCAGTTCGCCAGCTGGCGCATCATCTACTGGGTGCAGCTCGGCTGCGCGATTGCCACCATGGTAGCCGGCTACTTTCTCATCCCCGAGACCACGCACCACAAGCTCAGCGAAGACATGGCCCATCTCCCGCGACGCGAAAAGATGGCCGCCGTCGCGCGCAAGATCAACCCGCTCCGCTCGGTGAGCCTTCTCCGCCACTTAAACGTAGTGGCGGTCAGCTTCGCCTCGGCCGTTACCCTGTTTGCGCTGTACTGCATGCTGGTACCGATTCGCTTCGTGCTGAACCCGCGCTTCGGGCTTGATTCGCCGCTCTTGTCAGGCGTCTTTTATCTGGTGCCCGGCGCGGGTTGCCTCTGCTCGACCATGATTGCTGGTCGATATGGCGACTGGACGGTGAAGCGATGGATCGAGAAGCGCGGCAGACGCATTCCCGAAGACAGGCTGCGTGCCGGTATTCCGGCTCTGGCGCTGCTACAGGGCGGCGGCGTTTTGATATATGGATGGACAGTGGATAAGGCAGTGGGCGGGATGCCCGTGCCGCTGATATTCCTCTTTGTTCAGGCTATAGGTCAAATTATAGCCTCGACCATGTTGAATACGTACTGTCTAGAGAACACGCCCTCGCTGAGTGCTGATATTATTGCCATTTGCTGGCTTGTGCGCTACATTGGGGCTTGCATCGCTACAGCAGTGGCGCTTCCCATGATTCGGAGTATTGGCGTTGGTTGGACATTGACAATCAACACCATCTTGCTGGTCCTCAGCTCCTGCGTCCTTATGGCCACTGTGAAATGGGGTGAAGGCTGGAGGGCTGGAATAGTCCCAGCAGAGGAGGCTGCTGCGCCGGATCCAGCCAGAGGGCAGGCGCCTGCGGAAAAGGTATAGATGAAAATTTCGAATAGATGAATCCTTCACAATGTGGCTTTTGCTCCTGCGCGCCGGCAAACCTGTCATCCCGAGAGGGCCGTAGTCTGAGGAAAGCGGCGACGGGTCGGTAACACCCGGTGGCTTGCGTCGTGATAAGTTGCTATTCCCAGTGATAAATCGTGCGGTCTCGACCGTCTGCAAACTAGTCGTGCGAGACGTTCCAGGCTGAGAGACAGATATTCTAATTTTGGCTGCGAAGAGAAGGGGCAGTCAATACGGGCAGGCTACATGGCAGATGCTCATACACATACAGCGTCCGGTGGATGAAACGTGCGTCTCATGTCGTAGTCACCTCCTGATAATAAACCGCAGACAAAACCACGGCTAAATGGAGTGGCACAGCTGGGTCTTTGTTTCGAAACACTTAGCAGCAAGGAATAGAAAGCAGGACAAAAGAAGATGCCGTGGCTTTCTGCGTAGAGAAATGAATGGCAGCGTCGTAATCTGTCTGCATCGGGGCTTTTTGTGACGATTTGGTGGCAATGATTGGCCTACGGACTTTATCAAAAGGATGCTCGAGGCGGCCACGACGTCATCATCAGAAGCTGCAACCAAACGACCCCGGTCATTTAGCGAATATTAATCGACCGGCGCACTTGAAAATGCAGTTGCCCTTGACTTGGCAATTTTCCTAGTGGCAGGCAGCTCTGGTGAAGAGCTATCAGTAATACCAGCTGGATGGCCTGTTTGGAAGTCTCGAAGAGTGGGCAGCAAGGCGCCACCTCTCTTCGGAGCTCCTGTTTCGAAAAGCCCCTCTCTAGTATCCCGACATTGGACTCCCCGGGCCGCGTGTCTGCAACGCAATATTGGACCCTCGTCTCCAGCGAAAGCCATTGGCGTTTCCACGTTTGGCTACGGCGGGTGGATATTCAGGGGCCTTCATCAAAAGCTTAGCAAGGTCGAGGATGCCGATCCGGTCGCTGGTGGTGTTTGTGGTTTGTGGTGGCGTGGTGTGGCAACAACCGTCGACCAGTCGGATGGGCCAGATCGGCGAAAGCGTTTGAGCAACGTGCGCCAGCCATTTCGAGGTCGTCGAGGCAAGATAACTAGTCTCTTCCATGGCTCTTGTGCGTTACCTCGCTTCGGTTTTGAGTGACGCAACATGTCTTGGGCCGTCTCGTTTGCTTCGGTTGGAGCTGGGATTTCTAGTAAGAATGGATCGTCGTACGAATTCAACCACAAGTTTGATGATACATGGCTTGATGGCCTGGCAGGCGCCCCCAAGCTGCAAGATGGAGAAGATGGTGCTGGTCCCAATGTTTTGTGTTTCGAGCGCACATTGCTGCTTGCCGGCTGTAGATCCGTGTTGCCAGCATTGCCAGCTGCCAGCTGCCAGTTCGTCTGTCGGACACCAAACGCCGTCTCCTGTTAATCGCCTTTCATCTGCACATCTACACTTCTAAACTTCTTTCTTCTCGTACCTCGTTTTCCTTGACAGTCTTCTCATTCTATTCGATTCTCCCTCGGCATTCTTCTACTACTTTCGTCGGCTTGCCGCTTTTCCATTCTCTACCCAGTCGATTTTCCTTCTCGCACATCGATGATTTGTCTGGCCACCAGCTCAAACATCTAGTCGCAACTGATGCCGATCCATTCCTTGTGCACGGGTTTCCTTTGAGCGTCGCTTTCACGCTGTCCTTCATTAATATTGTTACTACCCTCGAATTACTTTCTTCTTCCCGTTTGGACTACCACTCTCGGCTTTTGCGAAATTCGCTGGCGAGGTAATGTGCATGCACATTGGCTGAAGCCACCAGTCCATTGTTACCAACCTACGCAAACGAGGTCCTTGGCCCTCAAATTCAACACAAATGGAGTCAAAGAGACCATTTTTCAATTTCAGCAGCGATTCGAGTCCTGTGTCCATGGACCGGAAACGTGAACCCTTGCTGCCTTGCTCGGAGATTGTCTCTGAAAAGATGGCGGTCAGGTTACGCAATCCCCTCAGCCACTGTCTCTACAAACGTATCATTATATGGACTGCGCTGAGTTTGTTCATGGTCGGGTTTGTCTTATTTGGCAAACAAGACGGCTTTGTGCAAGCTATCGCCCCGGCGCATACTTCTAATACCGGCAATGGCGCTTCATCGATCCCAGCTCAAGGGTCCGACACAGAGAACTTCTACGAAGGCGACGAAGGCGATGAGGATGAATGGGCAAACGAGGAAGCGCAACGCATAATTGATGCCGCCAGGAACGCCCAGGATCAGTCGCAAATTCAGGTGACACCAAGTAAGAGTGACTTAGATCGCCCCAGCCAGGACAATAGCCGCGTTGAAGAGCAAGACGAGGACGAAGACGAAGATGGAAATGAAGCTCTCGACGCCGAGTCTGATTCAAAGACAGGCTCTCAGCTGCCATCAGCCGACAATTTGAACGGCAAGGGATCCAAAAGTAAGACGGCCGGCCAGTCCACAGGTGACTTCGTCTCGGAATCCGATGAAGAGAAGCTAGATGAGGATGATTTCGAGGATGAAGAAGTCCCCGAATACGACCAGCATGCCGACGAATCTGAGATGAACATTCGTTTGGAAGGCGAAAACACAGAGCAACTGAAGCAAGAATTGGAAAATTTGAAGAGAATGCCTTGGCTTCGCTTCCCTCAGTGAGTATTCAAAAATGTCTAAAACTGCATTTCATCAGCTAACAAACCAGTCTCAATGCATACTTTCACGGGCTCAAAACGCTGGTCAACAAAAGTCTGCACGATCCAGAGTATCCCAACACGCAGCGAAGCGGCTCCTTCAAGGGCCGAGTTCCCTTAAACAAGGAGGTCCCAAAGCCGGCACCGTACAACCCCTACGAAGAATCCGACGACATTAAAACATGCTTCTTAGACAAGGAGAATAAGGTTCCGGCACCCAGCTTGTACGCTTACAATGGCGTTCCCAGACATATGCCAGATCCTGCCATTGGTTCCTATAGCATGTTTGGTATGCGTGACGATGTATGCTTTGACCGATTCGGTCGCTATGGTCCATATGGCTTGGGCTATCGCTTGGCTAAGGGCGGAACAAGCGTCGGGATGAATACCGAAAAGTCTGACAGTGATACTGTCTGGGAAAAGTCTGGCCAAATCGATTACGGCTCCATGGACTGGGGTGATGCCCAGGAACGGTGTTCTGAGCGTCACTGGAGTCGCTACCGGCAAGTCGACCCCAAGACGGACGAACTTGAGCCGCCAAGCGACTCCAAGAAAAGCCGACAGGCCATCGTCATCCGCCTTTATACTGGTTTTAAATGGACCTACCTCTCCGTCCTCAATTTTCGAGCTCTCATCTCCGAGGTTTCTCTCAAGTCTGGGGGTGAGTACACTGTGCACTTCTTGATGCATGTGAGGGACGATGATGCCCCCATCTGGTCGGACGACGTGACAGTGCAGAGAATTCTAGATACCAATGTTCCGCCCGAGTTTCACAACATGGTCACACTATGGAGTGAGGCACAGATGAGGCTGTTTTACCCTGGCAGATTCAACGCGCCGATCCAGAACCCCAGCGGTGCAGACATCCATGGTGTCTATCGCAGCGCGCACCTGCCACTTCAGGTGTTTTCCATGCAGCATCAAGAATATGAACACATTTGGAACTGGGAGATGGATATGAGATTCCTCGGAAATTACTACGAGCTCTTTGATCGCCTCGGTAAGTGGGCAGACAAGCAGCCGCGTGTTCGTCTCTGGGAGCGCAGCGCGCGCTACTATGTTCCCGCTCTACACGGCGACTGGGACAACTTCACCGAAGCTGTGGAGCGCCAGACTACCGAACAAGGAAGACAACTCATCTTTGGCCCACTGCAGTTCCATGGCAAGCGTCCTCTCCGCCATGAGCAGCGCGGCCAGTCCATTCTCCCAGCCAGCTGCGCCGTTGGCAAAGCTGCAAGTGAATGTGGCGTTGGCGAGCCTGCCGACCTCATCACTCTCAACCCTCTCTTTGACGCCGACAATTCCGGCTGGGTCTTTGCGTACGATACCACGGGCTACCCGTCGAACCCCCCGCGACGGTGCGCCATCATCACGGCGTCCCGTCTGAGCCGCCGCCTTCTCGGCGCCATGCACGAGGAAGTGTGGCGCCACCACCACAGCATGTTTGCCGAAATGTTTCCCCCGAGCGTGGCGCTCCACCACGGCTTCAAAGCGACCTATGCGCCGCATCCGCTGTATATTGACCGCGCCTGGAGCCCGCTGGGTGGCGCCATCGACGACGCCTTCAACGGCGGGCAGGACCACTCGACGTCGGGCCCGGGCAGCCCGTTTGACCTGACCAACGAGCATAACCACAAAGGCGTCAGCTGGTACTACAACAGCGAGTTTTCGGGCCTCCTCTGGCGCCGGTGGCTCGGCTACGCGCAGATGGACGGCCGTGGCCGCGCCGGCGGCGAGGGGAACCGGGGTGTCCTGCGGGGAGGGCGCGATGAGGAATCCATGGAGGGCGGCACGGGGCGCATGTGCCTGCGGAGCATGCTGCTGCATCCCATCAAGTTTGAAGATCCGGACGAACGGTAGTAGGAGAATCCCGGTGACGGTTCGGCGTGGGTACAGCAATTTGTGCTGGCTGTAGTATACATGTCGATGATGTCGTCCTTTTGTTTTATTACCGTTGTCTTGATCCTACTAGCACAATTTAGACTTTACCATTTTGCTTGAACCTATTCTTTACAGGCATTGTAGATTTTGAAGGATATTTATCAGTCATGGTGACTTACAAAAACAGGTCAGCGGCGCTCACTATTGCTACAGGTACCTATGCCCGCACAGACGGCTCATGAGAACCCCGGTTCTTGCAAAGCTTGATTGAAACGTCAAGAGATTCGAGTTCGAGTTCAAGAATAACTAGATAAGACTTGCATTTAACTCAGCTTAGAAACGCGGAAAACAAACGCGATAAATAAACCCGCCCCCATTCCAGAACTATAGCATAGCCCAAAATATAAAAAAAGGAAGCAAGCACCTAAAGCTAGAGGGAGGAAGAAGCAAAAGCCAGCTCACCCATCGTCACTTTCCAAATGGCTACATTTCCCCATCCCGTAACCAGCCCCCCTTGCTTTCCCAGTCATTTCCCCAAGTAGTATTCCTTATTCCCGTCCATGCGCTCTACATCACGCTGTGCATCCGGTTCCCGCCGCTCGTCCCAGCCTCGTGCTTCCTTACAAGGACTGACAAGTTACCTGTAGAAGACCGACCACAAAATTCGAGAAGAAAATAAACAACCCATACAGAAAATCGCTACACATCCTAACAAGGCAGGCAATTTTCCGTGCCGCATCATAAAGCACACACGCACCATCCCAAGCAAGTGCACCAACAAGCTGTAGCGTCAAGACACCATCATTAACCAGGCTCATTAAACAGATAAGCCCCAACATCAGAAAAAGGTATCGAAGAATTAGGCATGAAATAAATGTCGCAGAAAAAAAAAGGCCTTCCCACGCCAGACGCCATCAGCGCCGTAAATCGCCCACGGAGTCGAAACAGAAAGACTACGCGCTCAGTCTTGAGTGAGAACGCCGGCTTGAGGTATTGTAGAGGAAGCCAAGGCGCAGACTGAGAGCAGAAGATGAGACGTCGAATTCTATGTTGCATGCGAGGGTAGCAAAAGCCGCCTCGATTGAGTTGTGTCCAAAATCGTTAAAAAAAAAAAAGAGTCAACCAATTGGCATGATTCCGAGGGGGGCATGAAGCAATTGTTGGTATTGGACCCGAAGTATGGAGACCAGAGGTCGACTCATAACCATGTGTTCAAGAAGGCAAAAGGAGATTGAAGGGACAGAAAGGGAGGATAAGCTTATCAAGCAAGCTTACCGCTATGGTAATGGACACCAAAGCGGAGGATAAGGCGCAAAGGCACTCTAGCGGTTGATATCCGTTTTCTTCGCTTACTTCTTGAGAGCAGCGTCGTAAATAGCGACAAGGCCGGTGATGGCAGTGCCGACGAGGATGCCCTGGTAACCGCCGTAGACGGCATTGTTGAGGCGAGCAACAGAGAACTTGGATAGGAGGCCACAGAAAGTGACGCCTTGGGCGTAGACAACGTAGGAGAGCAGAGCCTTGGCGATGCTGAAGGTCAAGGGGTCGACAACGGTCTCGTTGTGAGCGCGAGCGCGGGTGCGGGGCCCAGAGTTGCTGTTGGCAGAGATATTGAAGAAGTAGCCAAAGAGACTGGGGAGGAAAATGGCGGTAAAGACCCAAGTAAGTGCGGGGGACCAGAAGCTCGAAGTCAACAGCAGGAACATGTCGGGGAGGTAAACGTTGTATTCACTGGTACCAATGGCGGAAACGGCAGGAATGGTGAAAGCAAAGCGATTGGCGAGAATGGCGGGGCGAATGTAGTAAAGCTCGAAAGCAGCGACGGAGAAGAGAACGCTGGTAACGGTGCTCAGAGTCTCACGGGTAGCGTTGGAAGCCTCGGTGATGCCGCTCTCCTGGTAGATGGAGGCGACGCGCTTACGCACAGCGATGGTAGAACGGTCAACAGCGAAGGCAATGTCTGCGGGGGAGGCAGGCAGGGCGACGCGCGAAGCAACCTGGGAGAGGCTGCGAGCGGGCGTGCGGAGGACGGTGCTCGAGTTGACCCTATCCACAGTCGTGTTGACCCTATTCATAATCGAGTTAGTAGACTCGTCTCTTTCGCGACAGTAGTGGCGGGGTTGATGCTACTTACTCGGCAGCAATCTCGTCGGCAGCTTTGGTAACTCTGCGCTTAGCAACCTTGAAGCCCTTGTCGACTTCCTCCTTTATAGCGTCCTTTTCCTTTTTAATGGGAGAACCGAGAGCCTTGGAGCGGCTGGTGAAGTAGCCAGTGAGGTCGGAGTTGGAAGAGAAGCGAGATGCGTGTTGGGAAATGAAGTCATCGAGGGCGACTTCGAGGTCGCTCTTCTTGTAGTCCTTGTAGCTGCACGTGGATGATTAGCAGGAGATCTCGAAGCAAAGGCGCATAATAAGCGGTTGTAGCGGTTGAGTGGTTCGCGTGTGGACGAGGCCCAAAGCATAGAGTGCGGCAATAGTCGCCCGCCGCGTAGCTCGCGCATGCGAAGGTAGGGTTTCAGAGGGCGCGGAGCTGTGGGTGCAGGCAGAAGACGAATCGCAATGCGACAGCGATAAAGCCAGGGAAGCTTATGTGGATGCGCGCGACGGTAGCTGGTGGCGAATGCGACAAAACGGTGGCGACAGAAGCGGGAGCCATTTTGGCGCGATGCGGTCACCGGCAGAGCGCGACAGAGCAGCAAACGAGCACAGCATAGCTAGCAAACGCAGCAGCAGGATGCGCCAGCAGAAGCCGAGCGCGCAAGACAAGGAAATAAGAATAGAAAAAAAAAAGATGAGAATATGTACCCTTTGAGGCCGATTTTATCGGCTATTTCGGTGAGCTCAGTCTTTTTCTTGGCCTTGAGCCAGGCATTTGTGTTGCTGGAGGCGGACATGGCGGAACTGGGATGGCGCGCTCAACGTCCGAGTGTAGCGGTATTTGCGGGAAGAAGAAATGTAGAGAAAGCCAAGTAAAGCCTTTGCTAAAGAATATCTGTCAGATATTTGTGTGGGTAATGCGTCGTGGGAACAAGCGACGCGGAGGCCAAAAAGAAGCAGCCCGTTGAATAACAAGATGGTCCTTTTTTGTTTAGATGAGAAGGAGGAAATGGGAAATGGGAGGGGGGGGGCCGCGAAGGCAAGTAACTAGGCGAGGACCTTGGATTTGGACAGGTGGGCGGCGGCGGGCAAGTACCTACCTAGCAGGATAGCTTTTTGGGTGGCCGGGGTGTAAGCCAACAGAGGAGAGGGTAGCAGAAAAAGTGCGACGCGAGGGGTGTGGGAAGAGAAAGATGTGTACGGGTTACTGATTACTGGTAAGGACATGGGATCTTGGATGCGCGAAAGAGGACCCAAGAAAGTGAGGAGGCTGGGAAACTGAAGGCAGAAGCACTTGATGCGACTAACTGGACTGGTGGGATGGGATGAGGATGAGGCCAAAAGAGCAGCCAACGATGGGCTTGTTTACCTTGATTGTTTTGGGAAATGGGCGTGGCTCCAGCATAAAATGTACCTACTATAGTGGTTGACCTAGCGGGTAATCTGGGAGGAGCGCTGAAGGACCAGTGAGCGCCGGAAACAGCGAGTTTACAGCGGGTCATGGGGCGTGTCGTGTTGCTGGAGGGATTGGCTCCTCCAGGTGCGGTACCTTTAACGGCGGCATATGGGACGCAAAATAATCAGGAGGCTGGTGTCAGAATTACAGAGAACTATGCTTCCGTATAATAGGTACTATATATATTACATATGTGGATGAAGAGAATATCAGGAGCAAAATCTTCAACTGGCCCTCGAAAAAGAATGATACAATTAATAAAAGAATATTAAATTGGCGATACGCCGGCTGCCAACAGCCCACCTGACGCGTTTGCACGCGTCCATCGTCCATCGCCGCCAGCTGCCAACCCACTTGCCAGTCGCGCTGGTTGTCAGCCATCTCTGCCAGCTGCCAGCTAGAGTGAGAAAAATGCTTCTAATTTAAACCGTAGGTACACTGAGCCTTTGTTTGCTTCCCGCCCCCGCTGGTTTATCGGCTCTCGGCAGCTCCATCCACCGCCACCAGCTCGCCGAGCCCACGATGCCCTCACCATGTACATCCCACCCGCCAAAGAGGAACCCGTCATGGCTTTATCAACGTACTGCACTCAACAGAGCTGCCATACATCTCACGTCAATCAATCTGCCAGCTTCCATTCAGACGGATACATTTCCGTACCTTTCATTCTTGTGCTAATTCATCCCTACTCCAAACCACACACAACTTTGTTTGACAACGTTCCAACACCTCATCACAAGTATCCACGGCCAATGTCATCAACACCCCTACATCAATCCATCCATCCGACAAACCTCTCCTCTCCCCGCTTTGCAATCCCCAGTCCAATCTGCTGTCCATCTGCTAGCCTCAGCGTCGTCAATAGCCGCACCGTCTTGAGCGTCTCCAACGTTCTCCGTCTTGCCTCAGCATACAGCGCCCGCTCCGCGCTTCTCTCCTGCACGTCCTCATTCACAACCAGTTCGATGCTGTGCCCCCGAAACAGTACCGCCAACGCCGCCATCAGCTCCGTCTGTGCTATCCGTCGTCCGGGGCAGCTGCGTGCTCCGTCACTAAACGGCGCATACGCTCCTGCCACCGGCCGAAACAACTTGTTAGTCGTTGCCGCGTCGTCTGCGCTTTCGTGCATGGTTTTCCCATCCTTCCTCGGTCCTCTGTTCTTCGCTGCGCCTCTAGCCTCTTGCCCACACTCCCGAAACCATCGCTCCGGCAAGTAGTCGTGTATATCCGTCCCTCCAGTTCCATACCGGCTCGGCCGCGTCGGCCAATACCGAGGGTCCATTGCCGTGCTCAGAGTTTCGAGAAACACTGGCATACCCCCAGGTATCGTGTACTGCTTCCCGTCCATGTGTACCACCTCGTCGTGCACCGCCATCTTGGGCAGTGCTACCGCTGCCGGGAGCATGCGCAGCGTCTCGAATATGGCTGCCCCGACGTTAGTTGCCAACAGTGCGTCGACTACTTTACCGTACTCCCACGTGCTCGGTTCCGCGTCTCCCAGTACCGCGTCTAAATCAGCTTGTACCCGTCGCTGCGCTGCCGGGAAACATGCCAGGAAGACAATCGTGTGGAATAGCGCGTTTGCCACCGTCTCGTGTCCAGCCAGTTGCAAGATAAACGTATTTCCGATAATGGCAGTGCGATCCAAACCACTACCGTTGTTGCCCTTCCGCACCAGGTGGCCGAGAAAGTCCATGCCCAGGCCCGGCAATTCCTGCCCGGCTTGTCTGTCATCTGCCAGCCGCTTCTCGAGCAGTTCATCTGTGTACTTGAGGTAGTCCCTTGTCTCTATACCGGCTTGTCTCGCAGTTTTGAACGGCATACACTCTATCCTCCGTGTCAGTATCTCATGTGAAAATGTATGCCGCTCTTCCGACGCTGTTACGAACCGAGGAGCCATAATGGAAACACCAACACATAAGTGATGTGATGCAACACGCCCGCTATTGCCTCCAGAAACGGCACTTGGTAGCCCGCCGGTGCCGTAGGCGACGAGAACTTGGCTAGCGAAATATTTGCATCCTTTGGTAGTGTCTCACCTGGCCAGAGCATCTGCAGTCCAAAGCCTACGTAGCTGATGATGTGCAGCGTTAGCTTGATGATGTCGTCTTCAGCCGACGTGAGCATGCTGCTGAGCGGCTTTACCGGCCCCGAGCCGCTGGCCTCTGGGTCGTTGCCCGTCCATTTCCGCAGCATGCCCAAGCTCTGGCGGATTGACTCCTTGAAGACAAGCGCCGTATTGGCCTCGTTGAAGGATCCCGCCGTCAGCCGCCGGTGGCGCCGCCATTCATGGCCCTCAGTGGTGACGAGATTCGGCCCAAACAATCCCAGCACAGCGTATATGGGTGTGCACTTGACAAACCGCTCCCTCTGGCTCATGATCCAGTGGTTGATCTCGGGGTCGCAGATGTGTAGGGCCATGATGCTTGGACTGACGATGATGTAGGCATCGCCGAGCCGGTCTTTCCAAAGATGCCGGGTGCGGTACGGCATGTGCATGGCCCTGTCATTTCATGTAAGCAAGAACCCATCGCAGCCCGGCGCCAATCCTTGTTTTGAAGAAGGACACTTACTCAATGTACATAAGCCACTGTTCCGGCAGCGAGAGCCACTTGACAAGAGAGGCCCCAACCCGATCGGTATCCGTACGATGTACGCTACAGGTTTCCAAAAACGTCAAGGTTAGTTTTACATATAGAACGTGGTACAACGGCCCCAAAGTCATACATACGAACGACAATATAACGGAAGCCGGTCTGCTTCGCCTTGGCAATGTTGCGCAGCAGTCCTATGATCTGGATGACCACGGCGTACAGACACAGGAGCGACAATGCAGCGACAACGATAGCCATGATGAACAAAAGAGGTTCGGGCCTGATAGAAGATGCAACCGATGCTTGGTTGGCAGAATAAAACGCATGCTCACAGAGGCGGTATTCCTCGTCTTATATAGCAGTCGGGGGGTGGACAAACTCGAGCCAGCATGGCCTCAGTCTTGACTCTTGTCTATTTGGATATGTTCATGGTCTTCCCAGCTCAAACTGTCACTCATCCTTGGTAACAAAAGAATGCTTCAGCCGTGGACATCCCCGCGCTGTTGGATGCTGGCTGTCTCGCGTTTTACTGCAATGAATGGTGCGCCGACGGCAGTGTCGTGCTTGGGATGGAGATCGCCGCCGCGAGTCTACTTTCGATCTCGCTCCCACCGTCCGATGAGGAAGCACCAGAGAGAGCATGGCAACCGAAGAAACCTGCGGTGATCTGGATCTTCCCAGGTTGTGGGATGATGGCGTGGCGCGGGTGCAAGCATGGTAAGACAGCTACCTCGGGCCGGGCCGCTGTCCCCGTGCCGGTTACAGTTGCGGTGTAAGAGTAAGTGTCTTGAATGTTTGCAGTGAACTGAAAACGAAGGGGGGATCGGGAACTTTCTCTAAACGGATCAGTATGCCGAGATCGCTGCAAGTCCGGTTGTACATCTTGAACGCGCGCGGGCAGCATAGGAAGCGACTCAATCCTGGCGAGGCCACCACATTGCAGTCTCATGATCTCGTGCGCCTTTTCTCATTGTATGGTATCCGTATGTGCTCTGACGTCTGCTTTTCAGCCGCATGTACTGCATGAGCTGAAAAGAAATGCAGTCCATGACACCTTGTCTATCCTGTCTCGCCGGTGGGGTAGACGGGCTGATGTTTCTGTAGCCAGGATGGCTGATATTTTTGTAGTCAGGATCGCTGATGTTTCTGTAGTCAGATTGAAGAGTCAGAATGAAGAAAATGCATTTATTTGACTGGATAATGATAAATGATAAATGATAAAACCTGTGCGGGATATTTACGCCATTGTGCTGTTGAAGAATTCCATCTTGCCCCTTGGATAAATCTGTTCCATTTTGTTCGTTCAGAAAAAATCCCGATTCCCATACAAGTCCCCGAAAATGCTGTATATGAAACAATACGTTGAGTGTCTCGTTTCCAATGCCCACACGCCCCAGCCAAGTGTTAAAGAGCTAGGGCGCGTAATATATATAAAAAATAATGAAGATAAAAAAGACTCCTCAAGGAGTCACGGGTTTTGTGCGTCATTAAAAGAGGCCGTCAATCTCGCCCGTCTCCAGGTCCACGTCAACGTTGAGGTAGCCGGGCGCAGTCGGCAGGCCGGGAATGGTCTGAATATCCGCAGCCAGAGCGTACAGGTACCCAGCACCGGCGGCCATGCGGACGTCGCGGATGGGAATAGTAAAGCCGGTCGGGGCGCCCTTGAGATCGGGGTCATGCGACAGCGAGTATTGCGTCTTGGCGATACAGATGGGCAGGTTGCCGTAGCCTTGCTTGGTATAGGTGT